AGGGCCGCTACTCATGCAACCCAGCCCACCAGTACCCTAACGGCCAGCGCTGCGTGACCATTGACGGCTGCCCGCTCCTGGCGGATGCCAACGGCCAGCCTATTGTCAAGGGCGGCAGCACCGGTACCAGCTCGGCAGCGCAGCCGACCTCGACTTGCGTCGCGGGCGGCAGCTACGACGCCAAGGGCCGCTACTCGTGCAACCCGGCGCATCAGTACCCCAACGGCCAGACGTGCATCTCGATTGACGGCTGCCCGCTCCTGGCTGACGCCAACGGCCAGCCTATTGTGAACGGCGGCAGCACCTCGTCCGCCGCCGCCCAGCCCTCGTCGACCAACCCCGCGTGCGCCGCCCCCGGCGAGTACGACGGCCAGGGTCGGTACTCTTGCAACCCGGCACACCGGTACCCCGACGGCCAGCTGTGCAAGGTGACGGATGGCTGCCCGTTGCTGTGCGGCGCCGACGGCAAGCCCATTGTCAGAGCCGGCAACAACACCAGCGCCGGAACAAACGGCCAGCCTACTGCCGGCGTGCCGATCGTGACCAACGGTGGCTCCGTTCTCGCTGGCGCCATGGCGCTTGTTGCTGCTGCTCTGGCTGCTGTCATTTGAACGCTGGCCGGTTGCCCGTGTCACTGCCGGTTGGGGGAGGAAGGACATGTACGATTTAGCATAAACAGTTCAGCATATTTAATTTCTGTTGAGCAGCAGTACGGAGCAAATTGGAGGGAAGCAACGCTTAAAACTTACATTGTACTGGCGTTGATGGGCTAGTTTTAGCACATCAATTACTTCTTTGTCACGTATCGTTCTCCAAGGACTTCTCTATCCATCGCCATACTTTCGCGCTGGCGAGAAATGTCTTGTTCATCTCGGCCACCACCGTGAGTTTTCTCGCCACTGCACGGCCATTGCCTTTATCAGTCTTGCAACAGCCAAAGGCCTTGGCCTCTTGCTGCTCCAATTCTGACGCCGTGTAGTCGTCCGCGCGCAGAGTCGCGAGTAGACGTTGGTTTCCCTCCTCTGCCGCCATTTCATTAAAGACTGCACAGATATGTGAGTCTTCGGCATCTGTCTTGTAGACAAGCTTGTAGAGGGCCTGAAAGAGCCTGTAGTCTTGCGTGGAGAGCAAACGAACAAGCCGCGAAAAGTGCCACATCATGTCTGCTCGCTCCCAGGATTCTGCCGGCAGCGGATGCTCTTGACTGAAACCGGCCCGAAAAGCGCTGACAAGTTGTTCTGGAGGGGGAAAGGCCGAGTTCCCAAGGCCCGGCGTGGCCTGCAGTTCCGTGATGGGGCCAGACGTTGCAGAGCCCCAGTCGATAAGACATGTGATGTTGAACTCGTCATCAACAAACATGTTCCCGAGATGAAGGTCCGGATGGGATAAGGTGTAACTCCCATCCGGTGTAGACAGACGAGCGCTCATCTGATGTAGCATCTGACCGGCGAGACAGTAGGATAGAAGGTTCTTGCTACTTTCGATTTTTGCACCGATGGCAACATAGTCGTTCCAGCGCCCTATAGCCGCTCTGTAGCTTGACCAGTTTGGATATTCCGAGTAGTCCGGGATTGGTGCAAAAAAAGCATGAGGTGTAAGCGGCAGCTCTGTTGCATGAGATATGAAGACGTCAATGAGAGACTTTAGATACTGGCTCTCGTCTAGAAACGGGCCACGCTCTACACCATCGAGCGAATCCCTCTCCTGCCAAGTAAGTGACGGCGAGAGGCACTCCCCGACCACGTAATCGGTACTACCATGTTCAAATAAAGACCCAATCTTATCAAAACGAAGGGTCGATAGTTGTCCCATAATAACTCCTAGGTGCTTCATGTAATGGCAGGAGTGGACGAAGCTGCGGGTATCCTGGTGTTTGGCGCCGAATATTAGTCCAGTCATAATCGGATAACGGGCGACCGGTTGCTTTGCTCATGAGAATATACGGCACCCCAACAGGATTATCGTGCGACCCGCTAAGAAGGGTAAGCAAATGCTTTAATTATGAGGCGGAGCGGCCAACTCCCACCTAAACGAGTACACTTCGGGAACAGGCACCGATGTATTGTTCCTTAAACACCTTAGCGTTGCAACTTCACTTATCAGCATCTTCTGTGCGGTCTTGTCAGAGACGATGGCATGGTGACCACTGCGCGGGGACCGAAAGACCCAGTCCAGCCCGTCATCAAACGAGATGAAGATGGCCCAGTTCATACTTCCTGTTTTCGGGGCGGCGGCTACGTTGCAGGTGCATTCTCGACCCCGAAGTCGTGTTGCGAGTGACAACAGAGCGTCGAGGTTGAATTTCGCATATGAGAATATCTTTTCTGGCATGTTGAATGGGGGAGAATGACGGGGGTTGTGCGTTTGTGTTGGCTGCTGGCTGTATCCTCTGGTCGTCCCCTGCCCGACCTCATGCAATCAATTTGTGGCGCTTGTAGAGACGGGGGAAATGGGCTTGCCGTCGGCGTCGCAGAGAACGGACAGCGAACCGTACAATGACTTGACCGTGTCGATTGAATTTAATGGAGAATTAAACAAAACAGCCATGATGATCCTCGACCCTGACATACAAGGCCACATTCTCAGGGGTAACACAACATCTTGATTGGCTGCCGAGTTGCCTGCCTAAGCGCTCAGGGAAGCTTCTCCACCAACTTCGACAAACGTCTGCGCCTAACTGCTCTGCCTGCTTTCTCTTCCACCGTCAAATCAATTCGTTGGAAAATCTGGCGTAATCTCATTCGAAGCAACTGCATGGGACCTTTGTTGAAATGGGCAAGCGGCCTCCTCAGCCGAGCCCCCCTGCTTCCTTTGCAATTCCCAGCAACGGGCTTCAAAGTCATCACCGATGCCACCTTGCTCGAGGAGCAGCATTACGACGAGTTCAAGACGGGCAACTACTGTCCAGTGAATATCGGCGACGTATATGACTCCAATACCTACCAAGTGCTCGGCAAGCTAGGGTTTGGGTCAACTGCGACGGTTTGGCTAGCTCGTAACCTACGGTGTGTCCAAGACACTTTGCTAGGTTGACCGACCTCTATACAATGCTGAATTCCACCAAAATCTAGTAATCGCCGGTTTTATGCCTTGAAAGTGTTTATGCGAAATCATGACGACGCGTGCATGAGCGAGCTTCGGACGTATAATGCTATAGCTGATGCCAATCCATTTCACCCTGGCCACCGACATGTCAGGACTGGCGTGCGTACGTTTCCCATAGAGCGGCAAGGGCGACACTATCAATGTCTCGTCCAACGGCCTATGTGGGATAGCTGGAGAGACCTACTCTACCGAAACTCGAGCGGCCGCTTCTCCACGGCGCTTCTGAAAGGTGGCCTACGGCATCTCCTCCTAGCCCTCGACTATCTGCACACCGAGTGCAAGCTCGTCCACACAGGTAGACTATACACACTTACCCTAGCTGTCTCTTTCTGACCTATTGCCAATAGATATCAAAGCAGACAACATACTGCATGCGATTGTTGACGAGGGAATCCTAGAGAGCTTTGTAAAAGACGAGATGGAGACGCCATCACCTCGCAAATACGTCAACACAGCCCCTATTTATATGTCTCGACGTTTCGGCCTGCCGGAAGACTTTGGTATCATTGTTCTAAGTGACTTCGGAGAGGTGGTGAATGGAGACGTGGAACGGAACCACAACGCCCAGCCAGATGTTTACAGATCACCCGAAGTTATGCTTCAGGCTGCGTGGAGCTACCCAATCGATATATGGAATGTCGGAGCTATGGTTTGTCACCCAACTCCCGAGGATACTGGTTGAGTTAGAATGGTAAACTAATCATGAAACATAGATCTGGGATGTATTTGAGGGCGGCCATTTATTTCATGGACTCGATCCCAGTCCGGAAAAAGGCTACTACACAACTAGGGCGCACCTGGCGGAAATCATCGCGCTCCTCGGTCCACCCCCCCTGGATCTTCTCCAGCGAGGGACCCGAAGTGAAGAATTTTTCTCAGAAGATGGTGAGTCGGGCTACCAGAGATACGGGGTACCGAAGCTGACCATGTGATTCAAAACAGGCCAGTGGATTGCGGACTGTCCTATTCCTCAGGGCAAAAGCCTAGAGAAGGCGGAGCTTTTCCTTACTGGAAGGAATAAGGAGATGTTTCTCAGTTTCGTGAAGGGAATGCTAACGTGGCGACCGGAAGAGCGTAAGACGGCAAAAGAGCTGCTGGAGGACCCGTGGCTGAAGACGTGGGATATCAATGATTGAAGAATTTGCGCATACCCACGATATCATACAATAAGTCTCAAGTAGGACAACTTATGTACCCATTTCGTAGCGGTACTAATAAATCTGTCTGGACTGATACAGTTATCTAGTGCAAGTTTCCCTTGAACTTTAACCCAGTTCCCCCAACATCCCCGCAACTCCTCCTGCAAGTACCTACTAGGTAGTTAGGCTATTGGCTCCTTATTAGTGCTGATCATCAGCCACGCAAGCCACTCCCCATATTCTCAGGCCGCCCCGCCCAGCCTTATTACGGCAGTGGGTAGTTCGTGAGAACGAGTCCTTTGTCTGTTTGTGTCCGACTCAACTCTTTCACTATCCCCGGCGGTGTGCCCGTTTGCACTTCCAATTCAACGGCCCATCCACCGACCACACGAAGCCGGCCCCTCTCATGCGCCCATTGCCGTGCTGTGCTCCGGCCCCTCGCTGCGGCCGCCTCCCCCCTACCCTCCCACTCGTTCCCGCCGCCGCGCCAGGTCCCGCGGGCCGCGTCGCACCATGAAGCGCAAAGCCGTCGACGACAGGACCGGCTCGAGCAGCAGCAGCTCCTCCTCGGACCGGTGGTCGCTGACGCCATCCTCCTCGTCCCCCGCGGCCAGCAGCAGCAACCGCTCGAGCGCCGCCGCCGTCGCCTCCGCCTCCTCCTCCGCCAGCAGCAAACCGGCCGTCAGCCGCCGCGGCCACTCCAAGTCGCGCCTCGGCTGCCTCAACTGCAAGCGCCGCCGCGTCAAGTGCAACGAGCTGCGGCCGACGTGCTCGCCCTGCCGCCGCCTCGGGCTGCTGTGCGACTACGCCACGTCGGCGCCGCCGCCGCACGACGCTGTTGCCACCGCGCCGCCCGCTACCCCGTCCTCGGCCCTCAACCTCGACGACCTCCGCTTCTACTACCAGTTCCTCCACACGGCCTTTCCGTCGCTGCCGCTGCGCGCCGAACACGTGTGGAAAACGTGCGCCGCCTTGTCGCACCAGGTACGTGTAGAAAATGAACCACGAAAAGGACGACGAAACTGACCCCTTTTGGCTGCAAAGTCCGAGTGCCTCGCACACGCCGCGCTCGGGCTCGGCGCGCTGCACCTCACCAAGCACGGCAACACCGACTACTCGTCGCAGGCGCTCGCGCACCGCGTGGCGGCCCTCAAGATTGTGCACGACCAGTTTGCCAAGCCGCCGCGCGACCAGGACAACGCCGACTGCCTCTTCGCCGCGCTGCTGTGTCTGGCCGCGCAGACGACGCTGCTGCCCGACGGCATCGCCGAGTACCTGACCATTACGCGCGCCGGCGCCCTCGTCTGGGCCTTTGTCGTGCCCCTCCACGGGGCCTCGGTCTTCAAGTGCTTCACCAACGAGAGCCACTCGGCGAACCTGTCGCAGATTGTGAGCGAGGAGGAGCCCAAGGACCTCGGCCTCGTCGACGAGTTCCTCGCCTCCGTCGCCGGGGTCCGCGAGATTTGCACCGGCGCGCGCGAGCTGTACTACTGCCAGCGCGTCGTCGGCGCCGTTGACGGCCTGCGCGTCTCGTCGCTGCAGGCCTGGCTGGCGCACGCCGACCTGTGGCGCGCGCACTGCTACTTTTCGAATGACGACTTCCAGGCCTTTATCGCGCCCGACAATTACCCCGCGAGGCTGCTTATTGCTCACATGCTCCTGGCGGATTACCTGCTCGGCCAGTTCTGCCTCAGCAGCGCCGAGGAGTTCAAATTTACGGCTAGGAGAGAGGTTATTGTCTCCTGGGTCAGAAACGCAATTGGCGCGCTGCCAAGCGAGTTCAAGCCGTATGGAGAATGGCTGCTGGGCTATTGCGATGTCGTCGAGCGAAGCGATGGGCGATATCTCCTTACCCCTTGAGTGCTGATTCGTACTGGGAATTTAGCAGCTACACTGCAGCCTTGGTTGCAATAACAAACGCCGCGTACCACGACCGCATTGAAGCTCTGGTCAAGCCGGCCAAGCGCCAAAGCGAGCGAGCCATTGATGCCGCCGCCAGCGGTCCGGCCACGCTGGGCCAACGCAAGGGAGGTGTCAGGCAACGCGCTGACACCGGCCGCAGGTGCTGAAACGCTCCCAGGCGCGGCACCAGGCAGCCGTACCGACGGGGAATTTATACCCCTTCTGGCGCACTTCGCCAGACGCCGGCTTTTCGATCGGCTTCTTGTCGCTGATCAAATTGGCCAGCGTGCGGGCGCGACGGCGCAGGTTCGGGCTGTTGGCGAATACTACCGGCTCAAGAAGGCAAGAACGGCGGGACGTGGTGCACGCGGTGCACCCCCCGTTGGAGTTCATGACGCAGTTCAAAGACATCGTAAGCTGCGAGCTCTGCAGGCACCTGAGGCACGGGAAGTCCGGTTCGTTGTCGGACTTGTATTGTTCGTCATCAGAATCTCGTCATCCTCGCTGAACAATACGCCTGTGCCCTTCGAAGAGAAGCCCGCCTTTGGTAACGAGGCTAGCGTCTGTCGACACGAGAATGGAAAGAAGAGTGCATTACCTCTATTAAATCCCTGCTACTTTTCATTTGCTATGACATAGCACTGGTTTAACTACAGTCTCCTTATGCACAGGGTTTCAAAGGACAGTGCTACCTGAAAGTACTGGGGTTTTCAAAATACTTCTATGTCTAAGAATCAACCCCGCGACTCTGAGATGGCTCTAAGGAGCATTACTCTCTACACGATCACGTCGCGCAAAGCAGCGCCAAGGTGTGGGAACAACTACGCGTTGCCTGAGTGGCCATGACGCATGCTTGTCTGTGAGAATCGCACGCTCTTGAAGAGGCGGATAGCGTCGCGCAGGATCTTGACCTGTGAATCACACGACTCTCTTACACCAATCGAAGAGCCGTGCCAAAGCCGCGTGCGAGATGTGAGGAGCCTCTTGCGAAGAGCGCAACATCCGTCACCACAACGCAGTCAATAAACTTTAACAGACACGAAAACATAATTGGGCTAGTTGCACAGAATAATTTCTTTCTTGATAATATAACACATGATAGCGGCTTTGTCCTAGAAAAAAATCGAAGTTGCATCTAGAGACCTCTCATACCACTCGAGCGAACTACAACTGTCCCGTACGTGCCATGGCGTCTGGAGCAGCAGACGAGTACTGCGTCACCGGCCTCAAAGAGCCGGTACATATGCTCACTTGTGGCGCCAATGCCCTCGTCGCAACCATCGTCAAGTGACGCTGCCCTCTTAGCTACAGCTGCCGCTTCATGTGAGTCTCGGAGCCCAGTTTTGGCGTTGTCGCGTAACGGGGGCTTGACGTTGTCGTAGGGCGCGAGCCGGAACCGAGCCCGTCTTGTCTTTGCGCTCGGGTTTTGCCAAGGATTCTTTGGTATAGTTACTTTGCGCGTCCATCGTACGACGGCCGCCGTGCCGGTCGTGGGGGTTGCTCCGAGACCTGGAGCAAGGCCTGGACCAAGACCTGGCTGGGTAGTTTGTATAAATGTCTGGATGATCACTTGGCACCTTGCGGGGGAGAGAGAGGTGGGCAATTGTAGGACTAAGGGACCAGTGATGAGGCCCTGCAGTTCTGTTTCTCGAGTTCCTCAGGACGCATCTTTCAGCTTCCAGTGAAATGGCACTTTGTCAGCCCCCGACGCCACTAATCTCAGCGGGCGCGCGCTGAAGGTACATGGCTCAACTCGAGGGCTTTCAGCCTTGCAGGCACGAGAACAAAAGGACGAAGCCGGGGTTTGAGTGCGCTAACTAGGGCTGCCACGTTTGTGACAAGGTGACGGCCAACGGACGGACATGGGACGCAATCATCTTGTCAAGCCAGAAAACCCCCAAGAAGAAAACCAACCAAGGCAATTGATGCGACGACCAAATAATTGCATGGCTTTGCGGCAAGCTGTCGATGAACCCACTTATCGTCCATCACTCTCCGGTAATCATATGCGGAAGAAGCAAAGGTGAGACAGTTGCTCGGATCCATAGACCTCGTCGGTGTCTTGACCGAACCGTGCGGTGACTCGACCCAGCGTCCTCCCACGGTGACATGCCATGGACTCGGAGGGCGGGCGGAAAAGTACGGCTAACTAGACTTGACAGGTCAATCAGCGCAGGGGTCCAAGCGGGAAGGGACCATGGATGAATATGTACGGAGTAGTTAGTTAGCTTGCGACGAACGGGCGGGCGGGAGTCAATCTGCCCTTGGCTATCCGTATGGTCAACTTATTCACCTACGGGTAACAAACTAGGTGGTTGACTAGTTATTTGTAGAGTACAAGTACGGAGCACCCGTAGGGATCCCATTTTTTAAACTATCAGTCAACGAACACATGCGACAGCTCGGACCCTATTCTCAACTGGCCATCCACTACCAAGCGGTGCATTGACGCATCTTCATGCCTTAATGCGGCGATATCACGCAGCCCAGACCTCTTACTACAGGTAAACCCGCCGTTGAAGCTTTTCGTTGAGGGGGTTGAGTCGCGGCAATAGCGCACGAGTTGGAAGGTGAGTTGGCAGTTGAACATGGTGAATAACTACCTATGGTAGTACAGAGGAACTAATCCAATCCGTCCGGCCCGGCCTCGGGAAGTCGGTCGGCTACCACCGCTACTAGACCATCTTCAACACCATGGCCGCCACGAACCGGGGCACCGAGCTGCTATGGGTCAACATTGCCTTCTTCGTCCTGGCTGCTTGCACCGTCCTGATGCGCTGCTATACCCGCGCCTTCATTTCAAAGTGTTTTGGTCCCGATGACTGGCTCATGGCCGTTTCTTGTGTACGTTCTTCTTTGGCGCGCAAAAAAGCCGAGGGCTTCCGTTGACTGACATGCGGGCAGGCATTCTTCTTGGGTTATGTGATTTGCTCCAACATTGGAATCGGATACGGGACGGGCCAGCACCGCGCCGATCTGACGCCGGAAAACTATGCCACTGCGAAACGAGTGAGTAGTCACGACGGGCAATGGGGGTGCGGCATCGAGACAAACTGACCGTGCTAGTTCTGGTACTTCTGCTACATCTTCTTCGGCCTGACCATGATGACGGCGAAGCTGTCCTTTGGCTATCTTTTGCTCCGCATCGTCATCATCATAGAGCACAGGTGGATCATCTACTTCACCTCGTTTTGCGTCATGACGGCCGGAACGACGTACTTTTTTGTCACTGTTTTCCAGTGCAATCCTGTGGCGCATTATTGGAATGACGCCATCCCTGGCCGTTGCATCCCGCTACACGTCTACGTTGGGCTGGGCTATCTCTACAGCGCCGTCAGTGTCTTGACAGACTTGATCTTTGCGCTGCTACCGGCCTTTATCATCTGGCACCTGCAAATCCGGTCCGACATTCGCTACATCTTGATCTTATTGATGGGTCTGGGCTGCGTGTGAGCTGTCTCGTCCTTGTTGCAATCTGCGAGTTTACTGACCGACGCTAGGGCGAGCATTGCCGTGTTGGTGCGCGTAGCCTATCTGCATACCTTTTTCGATCCTGATTTCCTATGTAAGGATCCCGCTGTCGTTGGTATCGTTGGAATCTCCAAAAGCTAACGGGACACAGACGCGACGACGGACATTGCCATCTGGTCGACGATTGAGATGGGACTGGCGCTCACCGCGGCCAGCTTTTCCACCCTGCGACCGCTGGCACGCTCTCTGGGATTCAAGATTGGCTTCACCGACTACGCCTCGGCGGGAAGCGAGAGCGTGAACCACAACGACGCGCGACGGCAGTCCAAGAAGCCGGCCCACCGTCGACAGAGTAGGCCTCCTATCCGCGTGCTCAGCGCGCCGGGGACGTCGCAGGATACGCTCAACGAAAGACACACGCGCGACAAGTCGAATGGCTCGCAAGTCACGGCCAGGCCGGCTGGCGAGCGTGCCACCTGGCCGGCCATTGCAAATATCGATGTTGAGCGGGCTATGGGTGGCTTGGAGCTGGCCCAGGTAGACGGAGCGATGGATCACAGCACATCGAGTCGTGTCGAGAGCAAAACTGCATCTTGACGAATGGGGGCGGGATTGGGATATTCATTGTTTTTCTTCGCATTATACCCATTGCCATGTCGGGCATATTTAGTTGCTTCATATAATTACCGTACATTTCTTCACGTGCAAGGCTACACACCTGCACTCGTTGACCACAGCACGCACTTGCTGAATAATAAAAGTTCATGTGTCTTGAAATAGGTGTTTTTGAAAAGCCGCCATTACGTTGTAAGTACTTCTTATAAATGTAGAAATATTTCTTGATAGATTGGAGGAGCCCTCGTGGCTGGTCGACGACGATATGTTCTATTAGTAGGTGCGCCACAAAATGTTTATCCATTTTACAAACAGCGTTCACATATAAGCTACCTTGTTTGATCAACAGCTTAAAGCCTGTCAACCACGTGATATGAATCACTATTGTACTCGCATCAAGGACGAGATGAGTCTTGTTCCTGCCATAAACGGTTCTTGAGATAGCGGGGCTGCGGGGGATCTTTTCTTTATGCGTTTCTGCCGGTTCGAAACATCATCGACAACGCGCAAACCCTGCATCAGATCATCGGCCCATTTCTGAGGAATAAGGAGACGACAAAAGAAATGTCGAGGTCATTCTCAGCAACAAGAGTCGACGCAACAGCAGCTGACCAGCGCGGGGCAGTACAAGGCGACAAACGCATTCTGTAGCGTTTGGTGTATAGTCTGGCGAGACGTCGCCGGCAGGTCGAGGCCGCAGCCGCTGCAGCTGAGTCGCGTCTTCAGAAATCTGGGTTACAGAAAGCTAGTTGCGATGATTTTTTTTTTGGCGCAACGCGATACCGGCCAGGCAGGGCCTGGGCCAGCTCGAAGAGTGACAAAGCTTGTTGCGCCACCATTCCTGGTCACTGGCTCGGTATCATCTATTCTTAATACGCTCAACTAACTAGGTACCGCCAGTGATTGAAACAGGTAGCATGTGCATCACGCAGTTTACTCGTGCCTTGTTCTGAGCGGCACAGGTCGGTTCGGTCGGCAGGGCCACGCGACATGATTCTGACAGATGGACGCGCTTGCACGACTGACTGTTGCAGAGCAAGGCAAAATACTGAGAAACGCAAAACGTCGAGAAAAGGCAAAACGTCGAGGAATCGAAACGATGCAGGTTGTGCTACCAGCAGGGCGGCAAGAATCGACAATTGCAACGAACGAGTCCCTTGGCTGATCAACATCGTGTCTCTTTGAGACTTGTACAACAAGACAAGGCAGCATCGGTCGCGACTCAACTTGACCAAGCCCGACCAATGCAGAAATAGCAAAGTCGAACTAGTTACTGCGACCTCGTCTGTTCGACGCGCCGAATGTTTGCCCAGTTGACTCGTGCTGGTCTCGGCTTGCATCCACACTCGAGCCACGTGTAGAAAAGGAGAGCAACAAGAACCGAAAGCGAGGGGGACCGAAAGGTTGAAAAGTGAAAAGACGATCCCTTGCAGCCCTTTTTTGCTTGGTGGTGTGGACGCCGCCCCAATGCAGGCTTTTTTCTTTTCTTTCGCGTACAAGCTGAAACACAGACAGGCTGACACAACGCGGCATCATTGGCTGGCGGCAGCCGCAACACCACAGGGACCCCCCCCTCCCCCCTCCCTGGCTCAACGCCCGCTCCGACCTTTTCGACGACAAAAAACAACGGACCAGTCAAAAGGGGCGGGCGGCCGCTGGCCCTTGACATCTGGCCTTGCGAATGTCCGATTCTTGGTCACCATTGGCCGAGGCCCGGCGGGTACCCGGAGGAATGTGGTCCCTGCAGGGGAGAAGCAAGCCTCTGCAGATGGGGTTCAACAGCAGGTTTCAAGTCAGGGGTATTCTAGAGCAGACGAAAGAGGAGCCAATGGGTCACCAGGGTTGAGCATGGAGGGTTGAACATGATTGAACATGGGGGAGGGGGGCGGCGGCTTTCTTGTCCCCCAACATCTGCCCAAAGGTGGCCAGGCCTTGAAAGGCATTTATTTATCTTGTTGCGACTCCCCGATGTGCCTGGTCTGTTCTCGTCTCTTCTTCTCTTTATCCACTACGGAACACATCATTCCCTTTCCCCTTCGCAGACGGTACTGGTGCCCGGTCTAACCATCCTTTCATTCATTCACTCCTTCTATTCGCAAAATCCTCATTCCTTTTTACAGACTTGTCCTTGGCTTGCGCAGGTCGCTTCACTCAATCTTCCATCTTCAAGCTCTAGCAACGTCCGTGTTGTACACGACAATCGTCATCAGTCGAAACTCCTTCGACTCGTTCCTTACCATCCTTTCGCGTGGATCCCTAGGCACCAGACAAAACCAACCGCTGCGCGGCTTCGACCTTCCTTTTTCCCCTCTTGTTTCTATACAGGCCCAACTTTTCGTCAAGATGAAGACCTTTACCTCTGTGGCTCTTTTCAGCCTTGTCAGCATCGTTGCGGCTTATCCCGCCGTGCAGAGCATCTATGCGCGCGACTGCCAACCCGGCCACGTCGTCTGCCAGGGCGAGGCCATGTTTGGCCTTTGCGACCTTGACGGCAAAGCCACCTTCATGAGCGTCGCCGCGGGTACCAAGTGCGTCTGCTCTGGAAGCGACTGCACGATTGTGGGCCTCGACGGTCCGCCTCAGCCCTCTCAGGGAGCTCCTGCTCCCGCTCCCGCGCCTACCTCGCAAGCTCCTGCGCCGCCTTCGCAAGCCCCGGCTCCTCCTCCGCCCTCCCAGCCGGCTCCCGCGCCCACGCAGTCTGCCGCTCCTGCCCCTCCTGCCGCCACTTCGACTCCTGGCGGCGTCTTCCAGGAACACCCAACTGTCACCCTACCCAGCGCCGCTGGGCCTACCGCTTCGGCGGCGCCCTCTGGTGGCTCTGGTGGCTCTGGCGGCTCTGGCGGCGGCGTCGACATTGGCGCCGGCAAGCCCTACTTCAAGACGTTCGTCGGCAAGGGTGATGCCTCGGCCGGCTGGCCAGAGCAGAGCTCGTGGGCCAGCTTCGAGTCGGCGTGGAAGGCCAACCTCGAAAATGTCATCAGCAAGTCGTGCGCCGGCTTCCAGCAGGTAAACAACTCGCCCGCCGAGAGCGCCGACATCAAGTCGGCCATTGAAAGCGTCTCCCAGTCGTCGGGTGTCGACGCCCGCTTCATCCTCGCCATTCTCATGCAAGAGTCCAACGGCTGCGTCCGCGCGCCGACGACGAACTATGGCGTCACCAACCCGGGCCTCATGCAGTCGCACAACGGCGCCAACTCGTGCTTCAACGTCAACCCCTGCCCCAAGGACAAGATTAAGGGCATGATTGAGGACGGCGTCTTGGGCACCTCGTCGGGCGACGGCCTCAAGCAGCTCCTCGCCAAGGCGGGCGGAAACGACGCGACGGCCTTTTACAAGGCCGCCCGCATGTACAACTCGGGCTCGGTCGACCCCAGCGGCGACTTGGGCGCGGGCATCGCCACGCACTGCTACTGCAGCGACATTGCAAACCGCCTCATTGGATGGTCCTCGGGCGTCGGCGGCTGCCACATGTAAATGTGCTTTTTGGCCTTGATTTTTGGGTTTTGGAAAACAGACGTATATTCATTTTACGGAGTATTTCTCTTTCGTTATCACTTTCACTTCTCTTTACTCCTCTTCACTTCACTCGTTTATAGTATTTTCGCAGACAAGATGCGTACACTGGCACACACAGCCATTTGCAACAAAAAATTACAATGATTTCATCTACAATCAAATGCACCATCCATGTACCCCTCGTGAAGCGCTCCACATGTAATTGTATACATCAAAATTTCCCGCCTCTCGCTGGCATCTGCTGATTCGTGATGTGACATGGTAGGCCCTGCTGCGCTGGTCTGGGCTTCCCTCCTCGCGTGCCGCGGGGAGGCTGGGAGGAACTAGTTCACCCGGCTGTGCGACGGCATCACGATTCACAACTGAACCAATTGTCTCACTCTTGAAAGTTGTTTTCCGTCTATACGGATGTCTACAGACAGGGGTTCGCGGGGCTCGCGTGAGGGGGGGGGCAAACTTCCATTCCGCCAAGCCCTTCTATTACACGGGGGTGCAGATGAGGGTCGCGAGCCTTTTATTCCACGGCATCGGATGAGGGTCGCCCAATCTTGATGCGAGTTTACTGCATTGCATCCATAATCCGTATGATCAATTTCACTTCACTGCTCACCCTCATTTATCTTCATGCTCATTTGGTCGAATGTAGACCTTCAAAGTGGGGCAGAAGCTGTCACTTGATGAAGTCAACATGTCCACCAATATCAAGAAATTTGATCTTCTGTATGAAAAAATAATAACTAAAAATACGGGATAATCCTAAGAGGGGAGGAGAATGAGCCGTTTGTGCCACCCCAGACGCAGCTCTGCGGCTTTGCCTCTGACGCAACTACCTCACCTCATAAATCAACCGCGTAAATCTGCTTATCCGTACATACATACATACGAATTACATACATATATGTAAATGCCGCCATGGGCTTGCCATGTAGGATCAGGCTGCAGTTGCGGCGTGATAGCAGACAGCCGGGTATAGGGCTCGGGAGATTAGAGGACGGGCCAATATAGAGCAACAGCCTCGCTCAGATGCCCAACGGGGGCGTGTAAATTGTGCTCAACGCCGCCGCCCAACGACCACACGCAACCCCTTCAATCTCATACTGCAGGAAGGCTCCGTCATCAACCGCGACTTGCCTGCCCGGTGGCTCCCTAGGTTGCGCCGATGGAGTCTTGGTTTGCCTTGACTCCGCACAGTACGGAGAGCATTGGAGCAGTGTGGCCCGGCTCGGAGACGGGCATCGCCAAGACAAGGTCCACTGCAACGATCCGGCACGGCTCCGAAAAGCGGCGTTGGGAGGGGGGGGGGCATGACGAGAAAAGATGAGTGCAGGACCCATAGCACGGAAATGAATGGGCTGTAACTAGATGAAGAATCGGTAAAAGACCCGAATACCCGGCCGGGCAGCCGTGCTGTGGATTGTTCCTCCGCAATAGAGTGAACTTGCGCAATTAGTAGGGATTCGTACCCCTGATGCGCGCCACTCGGAGGAGGTCGCAGGATCGGGCTGCCCCTGGACGAAATTGACAGGCAATAAGTCGCATGTACGAGTTAGTTTCGAGTATACCGTATACAACGACTTTTTAAATTTGCTCTCTTTCGGTCATCATGGTCGTCATGTATGCGCCGTGTGCTAACGCGTTTCAGCGAGAGTGTGAAAACCACCGCAGTTTGGGCACGTTTTCGAAAAGAAATGAAATGAAAAAAAGAAATACTCTCAGTGGCGCACACCAAGGGTAAAATTACCATTCAAAAAGCAAGTGTATTAGTACTCAAAAGCCGCATTACAAAAACTAAAATGAGAGACTAGGGTAGGGGCCAAAGAAAAAAGAAAGAAAAGAACAATGACAAATCTACCGCAAGGAAAAAAGGAACGTGGCCATGGAATCAAGCGTAGAGCGATTGGTGCCATGGAAATAAAACAAGAAGCCATCAACGCCCCGCGTACCAGTCTCAGAGTTCAATCGGCCAGCCAACCAACAAGGAGTGTGTGAGATGATGTACTTTGACAGCGTCAAGAGGAAGAAGGATCTTGTTCAGATTGTAAGGAAAGTGATGTGATGACCTGCATCAAGTGAAGCCAGCCTTGCAAGGAGTGATGGAAACCAAGACTTGTCGAGCGACTCTTCAGAAGAGTCCAATATGAAGAAGCTGTTGTGTTGTCATGTCGACGTATGAAGTGAATAATGTGGAGTGAATGACGAAGAAAGCTCGAGCTCGAGCTTCCACAGGTTGTTAACGCTGCGCTGCCGGCGGCGCGCGAAGTGGTAGACGGTAAGGACAGCGTGAGACGGCGAGTTGTAACAAGAGCAGGCAGTTTGTGCGCCTGGCAGCTGCTGTGCTCTGTCGACAAAATGGGTGGTGCTCTAGGCACATGTAGAAGCAAAGGCAGAGACATTGATGCAATGCCTCTTTCGTGGAATGATTGGAGTTGCAGCCTTGTGCGGCGCGGACGTGGAAGTGATGTGCCAGACATCAAGGATAGGTTTGATTGGACCAAGCCAAGTCTGTAAGTTTGCAAGCGACTCTCTCCATACAACCATACAACCAGGCAGGCGTTGCAATGGAGAGTTGGTGTAAAATCAGGTGGCCAGCACCGGTTTCAACTTGCGCGCGCGTGTCAGCGGCAAAGGCAGCGAGCGGCGTTGTTGTCGTTGTGACTTTTCGGAGCCTTGCGACTCATTGGTGCAGCGGTGCGTATATACCTGCAACCAGGCAGGAATTCGTGTAAAGGAGTGTTTGGTTTTGATTCTGTTTTTTTTCCCTCGTTTTTGATCTTCTTGTTTCGGTCTGGCGATGCGCTGCACCCTTTAGTGGTGGTGGTTTGCCGCCGACATTCTGGACATTGCGCGGCTGCGTTTCAGCTGGTGCAGGACCATGTGGCTCGACGGGTGCGTACTCAGCGGCATGGCCTGGATGCCTGTAAATGCCAGCGCGAGGAACACGAGCCCGAAAAAGGAGGAAAGCAGAGACATGGCGGGATGTCGTTGGAAAGAGGAGGGGGGGGGGGGGGTTCGAGGTTGCAGAGGGCGGCGGGGGGACCGTGCCAGAATGGAAATCAGGCAAAGTTGGTCCGTTCCGCAGTAGATGGGCAAGGTTCTGCTTTGGCTTTTGTTCGTTTTGGTTGATCGGTTATTGTCGTTGTGGTTGATGTCTCAAAGTGCAGAAGGGAGAGCGTCGACTATGGCTCTTTATACGTTGCGATGCAAGCCACACCCTTGCCAGCTGAGCGCGTCATTGACAATGCAGTTCTGCCTACCAGCCCTCGTAGAATATCCACGTCGCTGCTGCCTCGACTCTCTCTCATGACGCAGTCTATCCGGCCGGGCGGGTAGGCCAAACGGGCGACTGGAATGCTGGCTTTGCAACGTTCCCCATTGTTGGTCGCGCCAACCTCGCGCAGCAATGGGGGGGTCTAGGTGGCCTTCTATTTCTTTCCCTGCGCACTACATTCTCCTAGTTGGTTATTTTGGTCAACGTGCAAGTCATTTTCATTGTATTACGAGACCTTGTCGCAAGTGAGAGGCTGGTGGTCAGGAATGGGTGGCCAACGACCAGCCTCTTGACAAACGTGTGGTCAGGCTGATGATGCTTTGAAGGCGTGTCGAGGAGAGCTGAAAAGATGGCTGGCGCTCCGTAACAATAATGATGAACTTTATTCTAGAAATGAGGATGGATATATTGAAGACTTGGGGAGAAGCTAAAAAGTGAGCAACGGGCGCCACTGGACGTTGCACTACCTCAGAGGCTTAATAAGAGCAACGATTATGTAGACAGTAGCCTCGTTCCTCTGTTAAGCGGTTAAAGGTATTCCACCGGATACACGTCATGAGCCTTTGTGTGTTCATATCATCATCAGTACAATTGTAACTCGAATACACCAGGCACCTACCCTGGAGCGCCAGGACTACTGGAGCAGCCTACAGGCTACAGGGGCTGTGTTCGGGAAATACAGTGGACGCCTGGCATGACTAAGCATTCCTGACCAATCAACCCCCGCCATGTTGGCGACAACCGCGCTGTACCGCGAACCACCGTGGCCTCTACAATATTCTACTGCCCCATCATCAACGTAATTACAACCTGTCCTTTTGGAAAAGAGTCATACTTGCTCTGCCGGGGCCGGGGCGTCTTTACAGAACTACATATCAGAGTTGATCCCCTCTCTGGCAGGTCCGGCTCCTCATTCTCGTATGACCGTTTTCTTCCCCTACCCTTAGTCGGACCAGTGGCTGGTAACCAGCCATCTTCTGCAATGCCATCACAATCACGGCTGCTGCGCCTGCCCACGCTCTTCGCCCTCCTGCTTGGCGTCGCCCTCGCGGTCCTCTCCACGCCGGTTCTGGCCAGTGCAGAAAACTCAAAACCAGACTTGATCTGTCACACCAGCGACCCCCAGGACTGCTACCCACGCCTCTTTGAAGCCACGGATGAGTTCCAGCAGATCCGCGACGGCCAGGAGATCCCACAAGGCCTCCACGTGCGCCTCAACATCTACACCGGTGAGAAGGAGGCCAAGATCAACGTGCCCGGCGAAGGCGACCCCTCGCTCGAGGGCCTCCTAAAGGAGCAGGCCGTCGTCGTGGTCGAGCCGGCCGCGCGTGATGATCCCATCATACCCCCAGGAGCCCCCGTCTATGAGACAGCGGGCCAGATAAAGACACCGCCGCACGCCGCCAAGGCGTTTGTCGACGCCATGAAGCTCTTGAAAGCCGAGAGGGGCGAGCACGACCCGAGCTTCGACGCCTCGCTCGAGGGTCTCGAAGAGCTGGCCCACGACATGTACTACGGCCTCCAAATCGCAGAGGATCCCGACGTGGTCAAGGCGCTCGTCTGCCACATGATCCAGGAACCGTACCCGCGGGCCCAAGATGCCGAGGATCTCGCCGTCCTGCCCAGAGACCAGCAGGCGGCCGCCATCCTCGCCGCCAGCTTGCAGAACAACCCGACGGCGCTCGCCGCGGTCAGCAAGCAGTGGCCCGGCCTCTTGCAGCACTACTGCCCCGAAGGCATGGCGCCGCTGGCCAGCGAGCTCTTCCGCAGCATCGGGCCGCGCCCGGACCAGGACGCCGCCGCGGCGCCCCTGATCAAGGCCCGGGTGGCGGCCATCAGCGGCCTCATCAAGGATCCCGCCATCCGCGCCGACTTTCTGCGCCACCATCTCATGGGGGAGCTGGCGCGCGTGCTCGCGCGCGAGGACAAGGCGTGGGCGGCTGCGCAGCGCAAGGTCGGCCTGCTCGCCGTGGACCACTTCCTCGACGCGGACATGGGCGCCGTGGCCGGCGAGTGGCCGCGCGCGCCCAAGCTTACGGACGAGCAGTGCGCAAAGGAGTCGTGGCAGGCGCCCGAGGGCTGCTGGGACTATCACGTCGCGCGCATCGCCAAGGCGAACAAGGGCGACAAAGGACACTGGAGCAGAGATGTCCAGGCGCGACTGGCGGCAGCACGAAAGAAGAATACGGCACCGTCCAAACATGTGGAGCTGTAATATATAATGTATATACTAATAGACTACAAAATGTAAAATGAATGCTAACAGGTTGTGGTGATTACGCGTGGTGATGTGCTATAGAAACTGTGTTATACGGTGCCAACTTGGTGGAGCTTCACTAGCACTAGAAGTTTCCATCTGTACATACCCAACCAACGAACAATCTCCAGCAACAGGCAACGGCACCCTAAGGCAGCAGTGTGCTTCGCATCCATCCTCAAAATGGCGCCCGCCGTTCCCGACGGCGTGGTCATCAAGCCGCACTCGACCAGAGGCCGCGCCCTGCACGCGACCAAGACAGTCGCAGCCGGCGGCGTCCTCGCCGTCTTCTCGCCCCTCATCCTGGTGCCGTCGCTGTCGCACCTCACCATCGTGTGCTCCTTTTGCCTGCGCGGCGTCACGCCGCGGCCGTGCTCGCGCTGCCGCGCCGCCTACTACTGCGACGCGCAGTGCCAGGCGGCCGCGTGGTCCTCTGGGCACGCCGCCGAGTGCGCGGCGCTGACGGGCGCCATCCCGCCGGCCAGGAGGCGCCGCGAGATCCCCGCGCCCGTCCGCGCGCTCGTCCAGCTGCTGCTGCTGCTGCGGAGTGGTGGCGGGCACACGCGCGACTTGCTCGACGGCCTCGAGGGGCATGCGGCGCAGAGGAGGCGCGCCCCGGGCTGGGCCGACATGGAGTTGATGGCCATGGCCGGCTGCGCGTTTGCAGGGATGGAGACGAGCGAAGGGGCGGTACGGGAAGCGGCCGAGATACTGTGCAAGGTGGGCTTGGACGGCTGCTGGACGGCTGCTGGGGAAGAGAGATGCTAATTGCTGGCTTTAGCTGCAAACAAATGCCTTTCACAGGTTTGATGCCGACTTGGGGCACGTCGGCATCTTCCTCGAGCCTACACTGGCCATGGCCAACCATTCCTGCCTCCCCAACGCCTTTGTCCAGTTTGTCGGACGGACCGCCGTACTACGCGCAGAGCAACGCATCCAGAGCGGCGACGAGATTGAGATTTCTTACACAGGTATATATATAAGCCCCCACCCCCTGCACACCCGCCTACTGCACCAGTTCCAGACGCTGACGCTGTCAAGACTACACGAGCTCCCTCAGCAAGCGCCAGGCCGCGCTCGCGCCGTACCATTTCGAATGCCGCTGCCGGCGCTGCACCCAGGACCTCTGCGTCTACCAGGCCAGCGCGCACTACCGCGACTTTGCCCTCAACGACGACAGCGTCCTCGGCGACGGCACCAAGCTGCAGACGCACCCGGCCGTGAGCACGCCCGCGCCGCAGGCCGTTGCGCGCGCGGCGGCGGCGGCGCTGCACTTTGAGCCCTTTCCCGCCGCGCTGACGGACCGCCGCGCGGCGCTGGCGCAGCAGCTGGTCGGCTGTCGCGGCCTCATCGACGCGGCGCTCTGGGCCGTGACGCCGCTGCCGCAGACGCTCACGGAGCTGGCCATCTACTACGGCCACAAGGAGGATTTCGCGCGGGCGCTGGCCGTCGCGGCGCTGCTCGCGCGCGACGCGGACCCGTACCGCTTCCCCGCGCCGTTCCACCCCGTGCGGGCCAAGAACCTCTACCTGCTCGCCAAGCTGCTCTCCAACACGGCAGCCGAGACGGCGGCGGAGGAGGGCGGCAGGGCCGTGCAGGCGTCTGCGGCGGCGGCGGCCGACGTCGGGACGAGGCTGCGCGACGCGCTGCGCGACGTAGACCAGGTCTCGCTGGCGCAGATGCTGCTGCTCATGGTGCTCGACACGGCGCCGCCGCCGCACCTCGCCGCGTGGGAGCTCGCGCAGCAGGCGCGCGACGTCCTGGCCATCATCGCGAAACTCAAGGGCCGTGAACAGGAGCTGAGTCTGATCCGGCTGTGGCGCCAAGACCCCAAGAGCGACAGGGCGCAGGCGTTTTTCGAGTATGGTGTCGGGCAGCAGCTTGATATCCTGGCCGACTTGGGGCGGGATGTGCTCAAGGAGGATTTTGGGCTGTAGACTGACGATGCACACGACAAGATGTGGTTTCATATGCACCATGTCTCATTGAAATATTCGGAACCTAAAAATACTATATTTTCCGTCTTAAAATAGTCATGTACATGTATCACTATGATTGTGTCCATGTACACAAGCTTTGCTACTAAAGCGGGGCCGGTCAAGAACCCGATCTGGAGCTTTCTATTTTTTCTTGTCTTTTTGCAAACATCATACATCAACAGCAAGCCAGATTTCCCATTGTGCGCCATTACGTACATCCTTTCCCAATAGAATTGCCGGCAATCGCTACTGTCCACAGTCCATGCTCACATATCTACGCGAAATCATCAAACAAGCCAAAACCGTCGCTCGCAGCCTCCTCGGCCTGTCCCTCGACGACAGCGGCACGCCGGGCACCACCACCCCAGCCATGGCCTCTGACGACGAGAACAGGGCGGCGGCACCAACCGCCAAGGCTGCCGGCACCGACGATGCCGCCCATCCGAGCAGCAGAAGAAGCAGTCTGAGCCTCAAGCGCACCAGCCCCCACGACGGGCACGACGACGACGACGGCGACGAAGCCGCCGCCGCCGAGAAGAAGCCCAAGACAGACGACGACGACGGCGGCAGCGAGTGGCAGACCATCAGCCGCTCCGCCAAGAAGAGCAAGAAGCCGCCGCGTCCGGGCAAGAACTACCCCGCCATCACCTTTTCCCCCAACGCGCGGCTGCAGTCGCGCATCGGCGTCAGCCACCTGCGCGACCTCGTCACGTACATCTTCGCCGACGGCACCGGTCCGCAGTGGTGCGCCGTGTCGCACCGGCCCGCCTTTCGCAAGATTGTCGCCCTCATGGTGCCCGGGCTGGAAGAGGCCATGTTCCAGCCGGGCGTGGACCTGGCGCGCTTCAACGAGACGCGGGACGACGATAGTGCTGCGGCGCCGCCGTTGCGGTCCAAGGAGCAGCAGCATCACGAGTCACCAGACGACTACTACCCGCGGGCGCTCGTAAAGGAAGACCTCGCAGAGGCGCTGCGGCCGTTCGCCGACATGTTCCCGCAGCTGTGGCCGGTCAAGACGCCCGGCGACGACCGCCATGGCAAGATGCACTCGCCGCTCGCCGCGTTCCTCACCGCGCCCGCGCCCAAGGACAAGCAGCAGGGCAAGCAGCAGAATGGCGGCGTCAAGCATGCCCGCGAACCGTCCGGGTGGAAGAATGAGCGCACGCGCATCACAGAGTACCTCGCCACGGCGTCGGAACTCGCTGAAAACGGGTACCTGGTGCACCCGGCGATGATGGCCGACGACACGGCGGCGGCGCGGGACGCGTTTGTCCTGCCCGAAGGATGGGTGCGCACGGCGGTTGACCGCCTCCAGGACGGGGACGTGCCCGAGGCCGAGGTCGAGCACGGCAGCGTGACGGCCGGCCGGACGGTGCTGGCGATTGACTGCGAAATGTGCCTCACGGGCGCCGACGAGTTTGCGCTCACGCGCGTCAGCGTCGTCGACTGGTGCGGCGACGTCGTCCTCGACGAGCTCGTGCGCCCCGCCAAGCCCATCACCGACTACCTCACGCGCTTCTCGGGCATCACGGCCGAGATGCTCGCGCCCGTCACCACGACGCTCGGCGACATCCAGGCGCGCCTGCTCGCGCTGCTCACCCCGCGCACCATCCTCCTCGGCCACTCCCTCGAGTCCGACACCAAGGCGCTGCAGCTCACGCACCCCTTCATCGTCGACACCTCGCTCCTCTTCCCGCACCCGCGCGGGCCCCCGCTCAAGTCCTCGCTCAAGTACCTGGCGGAAAAGTACCTCGGCCGGCGCATCCAAAAGGGCGGCGAGGCCGGCCACGACGCCGTCGAGGACGCGCGCACCTGTCTCGACCTCGTCAAGCAAAAGTGCGAAAAGGGCAAGGCCTGGGGCGCGTCCGCCGCCCAGGGCGAGAACCTCTTCCACCGCCTCGCCCGCGCCGGCACCGCGTACAAGGCCCAAGGGGGTGACGCCGCCCGCGGCGGCGCCGAGCTGGGCAAGACGAGCGGCGCCGTCGACTGGGGCGACCCGGGCAAGGGCTACGGTGGCGGCGCCACCGTGCGCTTCGGCTGCCGCTCCGACGAGGACGTCGTCGCCGCCGTGCTGCGCTGCGTCCGCGGCGACCCGGACGGCAAGCAGGTCCGCGGCGGGGGCGTGGATTTTACGTGGGCGCGGTTCCGCGAGCTCGAGGCCCGCCAGGGCTGGTGGAACGCGAACCGGCCGGGCGGCGACGACGGCCGGCCCGAGGAGCACACGGGCGAGGAGGGCGGCGGCGACGACGTCGAGGCCTGCGTGCAGAGACTGACGCAGCGCATCGCGCGCATCCACGACGCGCTGCCGCCGTGCACCGCGCTGCTCGTGTACAGCGGCTCGGGCGACCCGCGCCGCATGGCCGCGCTGCAGGCCATGCAGGCCCAGTGGCGGAGAGAGTACAACACGCCCGGCCGCAAATGGGACGAGCTGAGCGTGCAGTGGACCGATGTCGAGGAGCAGGCGCTGAAGCGGGCGGTGCAAAAGGCGAGGTCGGGCATTGGCTTCATCACGGTCAAGTAGACGGGGTATGTGTGCGGCCATGCTGTAGAGCATGGGAGAGGCATCACGGACATGAAAAAGAAGAGAGACATGGCTGCATGCTTGGCAGGGATATATACGGCGGTATTGATTCAAGGAATGCACATCATGTCTACGGAAATAGAGGCGGCAAGGCATTGAAGTAATCTTTATACTCATGGCCAATAACCAGTCTTGGCCTGGAACTTTGCCCAGATATTATTAGAGTCCAACCAAGATGAACCTATATAGGTCCCAATTTGTATCTCTCCTATGAGAGCCAATATCCAATAAAATAAAACCAAAACCAATGTACATTTTGTAAAACCACGCATGCCGCTAAAATTCAAATAAACAAATAAAATCAATTTCGCAATCCAAATCCCTTCGTATTAACTCGGCTCTAGCCATGCACATGTATGCTTTTAATGTCCGTATGTGGTGTGGTGGTGGTGTGTGGTGTGTGGTGTGTGGTGTGCGTCTGCGTGTGTGTTCTATCAAGAAAATCGTTCATCACGTCTGGTGGTAGAAGAGACATTAAACATTGGGTGCTAGTTCGTCTTGGGCACGCCATTCTCATCGACAAGTTCCGCCGCGCTGCTGTGTAGCCCAGCCCGAGGGTGCTTTGGATCGACTCTACTAATCGCGTGCTGCGAAACCATGCCATAGCTGGCTGGACGCTCATTGCCCAGATCCACAGTGGTAAATCCGTCGCGGTACTCCATCGAGGACATGGACGATAGGCGCTTTTGAGATTTGGTCCGCTCAAACGGCAGGTTGGGCAACTTTGGCGGGCCAATCGAAGGTGAGCCGGGAGGCTTTTGAGCCTGCTCGGATCTGTCATCTTGAACGTGAGATGAGCCCGCATCTTGCGAGTCCACGACGCTAAGGGACGGCATGCGGCGGTACGAAAGGTTGGCTGAATCGCGTTTTGAACTCTTGCGAGGGATATCAGGTGCATCGTAGTATGTAGAGTCCTGGCCATCATCCTCATCTTCGTCGTCACTCGATATGGGACTGACAGGTGTCGGCTCCCCAGGCTCGTGCTCATCGTCCGAGTCGCGAGCCTCTCCTCCCGTTTTTAGCAGCGCAGTGCTCGGTTTCGGGGCACGGTTGGGCTGCAAGTTGTCGTCTTCGTCTTCATCGTCGATGGGGCCATTTCTAAGCACGCCAAGAGCGACAGGAATGCCCTCAGGGGGTGTCTCGTCCCCAAAGCCTGCATTGCGGGCCATGGCAGGCGGCATCCGGGAGCTGCGAACGACTTCGAACCCCTTGCTCTTGTCTTTGCTCTTGCCGCCCATCATGTTGCGGAGCCAACTCGTAGCAGTAGCAATGGGACCAGTCGGATCGGCGGGTCCTGTGCCAAGTTTGCGACCGAGGCCATCAGAGTTGAGGGCCGGGCCACGGACACCATAGTAGAAATCGACTTCACGCGTAGCATAATCCGGCCTGTTTGGTACAGCATTCAGGGCCGCGGTGGCGGTGCCTGGTGGACCAAATGCCGTTCCTGGTGCTATAGGCGTGGCACCGCGCGAAATCTCGGTCCCAGTGTCGCCAGCCTCACCGAGCTGGCCGGGTGGTTGCAAAAGACCGGGTTGGTCAGGAGCAAAGTGCCCCGAAGCCGGTTCTTGCGGTGAGTTCTCGTTGGTTGACCGGCGTCTGCGAGGTGGACGATAATATGGGTCAGCAGCTTCGAGAGCGGCGAGGGTTGGAGGCTGGCCAGGAGGTGCATGACTTGACCGCGCGGCGGGATTGGGAGAGGGAAGGAAAGAAAAGGTGCTTGTCTCGCCAGGTGTTCCCGGTAGGTACGAAGCTGGGCTCTCTGCAGGTCGGTGGTGAACGTTAGAATAGACGTCGATGCCGTCGAGAACGGAGCTGCTGCGGTGCCTGTGTGCAGCCATGATAGTTCCAAGGCTGCCACCTGAGCTGCTTCGCACTCGTCCATTTGCTGGCATGTATCCTGCACGGTTGGCTTTTTCAGTATCAATCATAGCCGCAGTAGAGATCTGGCTAGTCCTCGACGGAATCGGGCGATGGGATTCGCGCTTGTTGAGTTGTCTCACGCCAAAAATCTTGGAAAGACCGCCTCTAGTAGAACCAACAGTGCTATCCCGACCAGCACCCATCATGCGGGCGACGACTTCGAGAATGGTCTGCAGAGCACTAAGGAGGAAGCCGAAAATGAGGACACCGCCATGTATAACGAGGATAGCATACCCTATCCAGCCCTTGGGACCTTCCGTGACACCGAGGCCAGGCACAAAAGCAACCATGAGTAGAATGGTAACGAGTCGCAGGCAAGAAAAGACGGTGTGATATGCATTCATCGAGGTAGGCGACTGGAATGGCTTCACGGCGTTGAGAGTGAAGATTTGAATGACTTCGCAAATGGCCAGAATGACAATCTGGGCCAAGCCGCTCGGCTGCACAGCGCCGATGGCCAGGCCACGGCAAAATTGCAGCACAAGCGGGATGAAAGCAAAGGTGGCGGCTTCGTCGGAGTAAGTATTATAGAGAGGGCCAAAACGGAGCACAGTAGGTAGGTCGTCGAATAAAACAGACTTTGGTCTTGTGGTGACAATCAAGAATAGCAAGTAGGTAGCAAAGGCAATCAGAACGACCAAGGTCACACAGGCCAGGACAACGCAATACACTGGTGCGGAACCGGCAATCACGAGCTGGTAAGCAGAAAAGCTGACAATAGGTAGCAGCATGTAATTGTAGAGGATGCGGACGACGTTGCCGATGGAAAAGGGTATGTTTTTGGCGCGCAAATCCTCCTCTGCGGTCTTGGTCGAGCGGCGATAAATCCATTGGATGAGAAAGCCAAGCTGCACAACGACGGCAGCAGCGAGTATAATAACGCAAAGCCAGACCATCATGCCGGCCCAGATGTCCTGGTCGTCAGCCATGCCGACGAGTTGCCCCATGTGCTGTAGGCCATATCTGTTGTCGAGGTGTGTTACATATATGCCGTCGACGACGTTGCGCCAGCCGGGCTTGTCCGTGACAAAGCTCTCATTGAACATGATGGTTGACCAAGCGGCCTGGCTTACAATAGGCTGGTAGAAGCCGGGGTAGCCGATGCTGAGAGCGCCAGTCAAGACGGCGAACTGAAGGTACTGTAGGCAGTCGCCAAAACCTGGAGTTACCAATCTCAGCTGATCGGCATCGCGGCCATAGTTGGAGGACCATTGGAAGATGTCGGTGGAACCCCAGGGACTAAAATTGCCGGCGAAGATGACAGCGAAGCCGCAGATGACGAGAATAACGAGGGGCATAAACTTGATGACGTTGCGATTCGAGCCGAGATCCGGGGTAATGGTGGAAGATATACAGCCGATATTCGTGGCTTCTTGGTCGCCGTAAAGCATGAGCAGCGTGGAAGAAAAGGAGGAGAAGGAGTAGGAGGATCCAAAATCGTGAGTTAGGTTCACGTATGAAAACGAAGAAAGGCTGCGCGGGAGAGTGGTCATGGTGAGGTTGTTGGGAAAATCGCTACATGAAGATTAGCAGAGGATCTTGCGAGCATAATGAGTTTAACATACATTGGTGATGTGTTGAAGTAGGGACCCAGAGGGCACTGGCCGCCGTTGAGGCCCTGCGAGCAGAAGAAAACACGCTCGTTTACCGGGCGATAAGTGAGAACGTCTACTCTGCGGAACAGTGTGGTGGCATTGTTGCCGTTGGCGCTGCTGATGATCTTGCCATTCGTCTTGCCGTCGTCTTTCCAGTAGATGGGATCCTGTGCCATGGTAGGGGGAGGATTCGTGGTATCTTGGGCGCCGGTGACATTTCCCCAGACAACGACCTCGAGCATGTGTCTGGGGTCGGTGGTGTCGAATCTGGCATCGGCGTAGACGGGCCGCCATTGCAGCTTGTGGGCGATGATGTACTTTTCGTCGAGACAGTTGGTGAAGGGGATGCGCACGGCCGAGACGGGAACGGCAGCGAGTAAAAGCGCCATCAAAGCATATACAAAGACGACGGGGGTAGACATGGCGCCGGTGAGCTGGCGCCGCCGCGAGCGGGCCTTGTGTGTCAAAGTTGAGAGCTCGAGGGCGAGAGGACGAGGGTGGCCGTCGGCACAAGCGAGGCTGCGGCGTCGGCACGGTTGCGTCTCTAGCCGATGCCGTTGACGATGCGAACCATGCTGGCAAGCTGTGTGGGCGCGAGGTGAGGGCGAGTCGGGCGTGGTCGGGCGGGCCACACCAGACTGTGGTTTTCGCATCATGGATCGATCAGTCGGTTTGGATGTGGTCGCGAAAGCAGCCAGTGAGGCGAGAGCGGTTTGGGCGCGGGTGGCGACGCCCGCGAACAAAGAAGCAAAGAACGAAGCCGGCAAGGAATTGAAGGCTGGGGTTAGAACAGACGCATCATTCTAGAATGCTTCGACGGGGGCGGTCTTCTGCGAGGCAAATGGCAATATTCGGTTCGTGTTGGGTTTGGTAATGGCGGGTAGGCAAAAATAAAACTGGGCAAACGGCGACGGATTCGGACTCGGGCGGACGGGAGGGATGGCGTAGAGAAGCGAGGGGGGCTTGACGGTAGGATGATGAAAAATCAATACAGCGGCGAGCGAGGGTGTTGAATAGAAGAGGACTGCCAATGAAGGAGGCCGAGAGCAAAAGATGGTGATGGAGGAGAGGAAGAGGAGATGATAGGCTCGCGGGAGCCAAAGACGTGGTGCGGTGGTGGTGAGCAGAGAGATGGCCCAGGCAGCTGTTTGGGTGGTTTTTTTTTCCCAGCGATGCCAGGCTCGGCGCTGGCCAAAAAGAAATAGGTGGAGAGCACATATTACAGTGAGCAAGGTACCTTAGTACCTTAGTACCTACCTGTAGGCAGGTACCTTGAAGTACCAAGCACCATGCCTGTAGCAATCGCAATCGCACCAACTCCATCAATCTGCCTCGTCATCCTGATATTAATAATAAACCCCAATCCGAGGCAGTTCGTGAGTTGCTCTCCAGTACTCCGTATCGACGGCCCACTGGCAGCGGCCGCCGACAAGACGTCGGGCGCCGCCAACGAGGCCCAAATCATCAGGGAATACGTGGCCGAAGAGCTCTTGGGACGCCATCATCCGCGCGGTCGCTAGGAGGGGGGCGATGCTCCTCCTACTGATATTACTGGAAATGAAAGATGCACCTCTTTCTGCTGTCGTCCCGCGCATGGCTGGCTGTCAGATGCGCGCCGTCCATCTTCGACCTACATGCATATTGGTCCAGCCAGCCACTACAGATGCCTGCCTACAGGGAAATATGCAGACTGCTGCAGTGGGTGTAGACGCGCTGTAACGATCAAGGCAGGTACCTGGGGGTACAGCGGCCGCCTGCCTGCTGTCAGCGTTCTAATGTTACCTGCAAAGCTGGGTATCCACGAATTGCATCTGCAATACAATGGAATACATACAATTGAATACCACATGGTCTGATTCATCTCCCTTTCTCCCCAGACTGCGTCATGTCTCTGCCCCCCGTGCGACGCAAACATGTTGTGTTCTTGTTTCTGTAACAGCGTCCGAGCCATCAGTATTCGTACCTACCTACAGGTAGGCAGCATCACCAACTCAACTCGCTAATAGTCAGTCCGTTATCCAATTTATCATTTATCATGGCCGAAACTTGTCTTTAAAATAGCAAGACATAGCCCACAGTACAGGGGATGGGGCCCTGGTCCGTCTGTTGGCATGGACAGAGCCAATCCTTTTCCGCTGCCTTGCTGCGCCGCAACACCAAGACTGGGGCTGTGCAAGCTTTCAAGACAGGTTCAAGATGTTACCGCCGGCATGACGAACCAACGAGCTTGTGCGACTCTCTCTCCCCCCTGCTTCGGCTCCTGTTCATTTCAGGCCTCGCAAAGTTGGCAGCCCGCCCGCGCCGTCACCCCGAGCCCGTCCGCATCTTGGGTCTGTCGTCTCCGCTCTCGGCCGATGGCACTCAGTACCATGGTCAATTTATCACCATTTTCGGCAACATTCATCCTTGTTTTCGGCAGCGAATAACCCTCTTCCAACATTGTCCACAATAACTACCTAGGCTTGGCTCCCGACAAGCCCTACTCAGCCCTTGACCGAACCACTGCACTAAGCCACCCCCTACATGCCGCCGCGCACGCCGGATACACCACTCTGAGTGAACTAACGTTACGTGTAGCTGTGAGAATCAATTACTAACAAGGGATGTCTAAACGTATGCCTTACACTCCCTTGTTGTCCTGGCTGAAACTGGAAACAGTTCCTAGTTAGTCGCGGGTGCCTGGCCTGGCCTGCCTGCCGACGCGTCAAGGCGAATTGTCTCCCATGTACTCTGTATATCAATCAACTTATCAAGACGCCCTAGTAGTTCGGTAAGTAGTCCATCCGCATCTAGCTTCCTAGCCCTTGCCATATCGGCCCATGGCCGGCGAGAGAGGAAAAAAGTCTCAGATCGTAGTTACACCAGCCTCACTCCTTCCCTCTCCCATGATTCCCACCCACCACGATAAACAGCACCACAACAAAGCCCTTGGAAACTAAAACCGGGTTATAAATATCACAGTGATCCCTCGGACGCCATCCAGCGCCACCTCCTCCTCTCCACCGCCCAGCTCCTGGGTATATACGGGGGCCAATCAACAATGGCCCACTGCTGGATACGAGCCGCTACTGCACGCCATCTACCGCTACAACTTCTCGCAGGGGACGCCAAGAATCACGGGTTTCAACCATGTCGATAACTCGATAGAAACGCTGTCGCCAGGTCCCTTGCTGCTGCGAGGCTAACTAGGCTGCGAGTTGAGCTTGATTCCGGCATCCAGCATCCAGCACGGCAGTCGTGCCCTGATCCGATGCGCAGGCCATCTATCTACGAATATGTAATTCGTACAAGGGCCATGTCATCTGCCAAATCCCGTGTAAGCAGACACCAGCTGAATCAAACCCGCCCCCCACGGACACTTTTCTACCTAGTTACATAGTGGATGGCTGCCAGCTTATGTATCAGTCTGTCGCAGATTGACTGAGGCGTTCCGTAACCAGTTTGGCGCCCACCACCCACTGACAGCTCCGGTCACGTTCCTGTCGCTTAATTTATACCTTCATCACCGCTACGACTTGTTTCGACGTCGATACTTTTTTGTTGTGCGTGCAGGGTTTGGACTTTTAAGCCAAACTTCAAACTGCCATAATTTTTGCCATGTATTCTTTTTCCCGTCATTGCCTTGTACATCGTCGTTTAACTAGGGCACCTCAACACTCGCTCCCGCGCCACATGCACCCCAGCCTTCCCCGACCACCCCGACCAACAGCAGGCGCGCTACCGCTACCAGCTGCACATCTGGCGTAACCAACACGCTCATAGACAGAGCTCACACGGAAATCGGCCCATGGTCGCCTAATTCTTCGCACAGCGCTATTCCCCGTGACGCGGGCTCCGCCATCTCTCTCTTTTCTCATAATTTTTTTTTCTTTTCATCAAGGTTAAAATGCGCGCACAGCACCCTCACTCATCAGCCGGGAACGAAGCGCACTTTCGTGGAGATGATGCTCGGAAATCTCTCCTGCGGCTCTTGGATCTTGGTCCAGCACCCCAAGTCGTGTTTGATTGGGACACCCTTTTCTGTACCCAAATTCTCTCAACCACTGTCTCCAGCTGACACATCCTCTCATCACCGCGTCGGCTATCCTCGCAGCCCAAGACAACGAACAGTTCAACTTGAACAATGAGTACGCATAAACGCTCGAGACGGCTTCCGACTCTCACCGCAGTAAACAAGAGCAACAAGTAGCTATTAAATCCTCCTCAGCTATCCCTAACGTGCTGTGAGCTTGCCACCACCCGCTTTCATCTGCCCATCTCGCCACCCGTCTACGCCAAACTTTTCCAGTTCCATTGAAGAGTAAACCGACATTGTATATCATCTTTGTAGCTCCGTTTCTAAATACCAGCCAGTGTTTTCCACAGCAAAAATCAGTTCTCATATCCACTCCTCCCCTCTTTCAAGCCCGACAGAGCCGCCTCGCACACTCTTCCAGCCGCGCCGCCTCGCCTCCCGTCAAATCCCGCAGCCCCCACGCCAGCGTCCCGCTGCGAATATACAAGTCCAGATCCCTCTCCAAGTCCGTCCACAGTCTGATATCCGAAAAGCTGACACTAGCCGTGACGAGGATGCCCCAAGTCGCCAAACTAGATGGTATGCTTTCCAACGGCAGGCCGCCATCCACCAGGTGCGGCGTGGCGTGGCGAGTGTGTGATGCGGACTGGACCGGCGCCACTACATCTGGGCTCTTTTGAGCGCGGCGTCTCTTTGGCTGCGGATGGCTGTCCACGCTTTCCGCGTCACTCATCTCCCAATCGACCAAATTAGTCTGCTCCAGCTGTGCCCTGCCACGGTCGCCATATCTCATGTAGCTTATGATGCCCCTTTCGGGGGCAGCGGCATCTCCGTGCTCTTCGTGTTCTTGCCGCCGCGGCAGGAGCCGCCCCATAGTGGTGGTGGTTGTGGTCCGTTGCCTCGGCAGACCCAGCCTTGGCGCTCCCGATGCCAACACGCCCCTGCCTTGATTCACCTGGTCGTTTCTTGTACCCGGCAACGCTCTTCTTGCTCCTAGTCTTTGCTGTTGTTGCTCGCTTCTGCCCCGGGTCTCCTTGACCGGGATGGCACCGCTCTCCAAACTGCTGCTCGAGCTGCTCGCCGGCGACGGCTGTCTTCTACTCTCCGATCCCGCTCCGTACAACGAACCAGGCAGCACGAACCGCGATTCCTCCCGCATCGGGTCAGAAGGCGGCGGCGTGCGCAGAATCGGCAGTTGGTGGGTAACCTGTCGCCGGGCGGCCTCGTGCAGACCACCACCTCGTGTTTGTGGAACCGGGCTGGCCGATGCTGTGGCAGCAGGGCCGCCGCCTATACCAGTGGAGGGCACGTCTAGGACACGCTGATGGATCAGGTTCTGGATACTCCAGCTCGTGCCATGAAGGTCGCTCAGACGGGGACCCTCGCCTGGGCTGCTGGCGTCCTCTGACGAGGGCGAGCCGTGGATGCCAGCCAGAGTGTTGAGCGTGGTGTCAGGCACGTCGTGTAGGGGCATGCGCTTCAACGCTCCGTTTAATACTATCCCTTCTATAGTTCTGCTCGTCTCTTCGGGTTGTGGTCTCTCGGGTGTGGCTGTTTCGTCTGTGGCTATTTCGAAATCGGCCCCCGTCGGCTGAAAGTATCGCTCAATGCCGCGTGCTGGCTTTGGCGTAGTGTCTACAAAGAAGTTGGTTTGCTTTTTCGGGCCCTCCTTCGTTTCCAACAGGCGTATTTCCGGAACTTCCACTTCAATGATCCGAAAGTCCGTCTCCTCATCGGTTGCGTTGCTGTTTGTTCGCTGCATATTGACTTTGCACGCCGTTCGCATCTGCGCCGAGACGAGTTTCTCCGTGGCCGGTGCCAATGCACTATCCGTAGACATCCCAACCAGCTCTTGGCTAGTTTCCTTTATTCTGGAGCTTCCCAGGGCGGCAGCATTGCAGTAAACCATGACACACAGCTCCTCAAACGTCCGTAGCAGAGCACCCGCCTCGGCAAACATCACCTCGTCCTTCATCGTCGCCACGTTTACATCATATCTTTCCAGCGGGCAGCGAATTTCGAGTAACAACAGCGGCTTCTGCACAGTCGGTAGTCCCCGCTGCTGCCAGTGTTGCTGCACCTTTGTCTTGAACACCCCCACGAGCGCCTTTCCGATGCCCGTGGCAGAGCTGATGGGTCGACCGTTGACCGATATAAAGGCGCCCTTGCCTGCCACAACCCTCTGATCGCCGTCCACTGCCGGCAAAAAGGCTACCAGCGTAAACGCGCCCGCACCGTCCTCCGCGCTGGCGAACCGGTGCGTCTGTCCACTCGCCGCCACCGCCGCCCCGAAGACCTCCAGCACCGATTGTGTCATGTCCCTGTCCCTTGACTGTCCCAGCCTGCACGTCTGCCTCTCGTCGCCCAGTACCTTGAACGTGACCCTCAGTGCCGCATCCGCCAACACGTAGGCCGTCAGCAACCCCTTGATCCTTACTATCGTCTTACTCCCCTCCTTGAGCAGCATCTGCCACCGCGGCCGCAGGCGGGCAAACAACCCCATGACCTGCACCGCCGTGCCCGTCGGCGCGGACACTGGCGGCAGCCTTTGCTGCTCAACACCGGCCTGCTGAAGCTGGACGCGCGCCGCCACGGGCTCCTCGGCTGTCTTGGTGGTTACCTGCACCGTGGCCGCGATACTGTTGATGCTGGCGAGTGCCTGGCCGCGGAAGCCGAGCGTGGCTACCCGGCCGGCTGTCAGCTCATCCAGCGTGACCAGCTTGCTCGTGTGTGCTGGCCGGCCGAGGCTGTTCAGGTCGTCAAGGGGGATACCGCGGCCGTTGTCGCGCACGCGCACCTGGTCGAGGGTGTTGGGCGCGATGGCGATTTCGACGGTGTCGGCGCCGGCGTCAATAGCATTGTCTAGGAGCTCTTTGACGACGTCGTAGGGTGAGGTGATGGCGGCGGACGACCCGATGAGCCGGGCCGCTGCTGCACTGAGTTGGGTGATGGGCATTCTTCTAAATGAACATTATTTGATATGGGCCGATAGAGTAATATTTGACCAGAATTGTAGGGTGTTTGCCTTGCATTGCTCGTGGCACGTCCAGAACGTTTGGATGCCAGCTGGCAAAGGATGAATGCCAGCTGGCAGGTCGTTGGGCCTATTCGACGCCAGTCCAAGTCAAAGCATTGTCCGTCCCATCTTCCAGTGACTCCGTAGTACCTCCAGTTGCAGAGAGTAGTAAGAACTAAATCCAATTCCCTTTTACTGCCGAAGTTGACAAGTCTAGCTTACCAATGTTCGCCTGGAGCTTAGAGAGTTGCCCCGCCCAACAGCTGCCCCGCGACCCGACCCCTCCATCATGAGGCCTCACAAATCGCAGCTCCCGGCTAAGCCAACCACTACAACAACAACAACCGCAAAGTCTTTCGCGCCTCTGCATCGGCATCTCTCCCAGCAACGCCAGTCTCGGACTCAACATCTCAGCAGCCCCCCCCCGCCTCCCCCATCATGCCCTCCACCTCCCTCAAGGGCCCGACCCCCCAGCAGCACGACGGCGCCGGCCTGCGCATCGGCATCGTCCACGCCCGCTGGAACGCCACCGTCATCGAGCCGCTCATCGCCGGCGTCCGGGGCAAGCTCCTGGAGTGCGGCGTCAAGGAGTCCAACATTGTCGTGCAGTCGTGCCCCGGCGCGTGGGAATTGCCAATCGCCGTCCAGCGGTACGTTCGGTTCTCGTTTGTCCCTTGCCACGCGCCGCAGAGAAACTAACGCAACCATGCAAAAAAAAATATAGCTTATACGCTGCTTCTCAGGTCCAGTCCACGTCTGCCGGCGGTGCCTCTGCCGGCGACCTGCTCGCCTCCTCAACAGCTGACCTGTCCGCCACCGCGACCACGTCGGCGTTTGACGCCATTATTGCCGTTGGCGTGCTTATCAAGGGCGAGACGATGCACTTTGAGTACATTTCCGAGTCGGTGTCGCACGGCCTCATGCGCGTGCAGCTCGACACGGGCGTCCCCGTCATCTTCGGCGTGCTGACGGTGCTCAATGACGCGCAGGCCCTTAACCGCGCCGGCGCCGACGGTAAGGGCCACAACCACGGCGAGGATTGGGGCCTGGCGGCCGTCGAGATGGGCGTCAAGCGCAGCGAGTGGGCTAGCGGCAAGATTGAGGGCTGAAAGTTAAGGAAAATAATAGTAGAGCACATTTATCAAGATCTATTCAAGACACATTGTAGAATCCACATAACAGTGGTATTAGATTCGAATTAATCCTATCACCACCCTGTTAAATATCTCCCACAAGTCTATCATGCAACATGAGATGCGATTTTGCAAACATCAAAGCCGGAACTGCCAGCTTAATGTCTAAAATAGTATGAAAAAGTAAGTCGCTTCCCAGTAAATAATAAAAATTAAATCCAATCTCCCAACGATCCTGTAAATGGCTGGAAAATCATAAACCAAAAAGAAAGGGTGGTTTACATGGAAATAAGAGGTATCCCAAAAAGAAACATGAAAATGACATATAGAAAAAATGATTCAACGACTCTCAATTCTGTGTAGTTTTCAAGGGCGTTGTCGACGTTTCGTCTTGTATATGCAAGAAACAATCAGATCCAATAAATGTGGTGGGTGGAGGAAATCTGACGCTTAAGACAGCACTCAGAAGTGGCTTAGATACCAGCAAGCTGCTCGTTGGTAAGATCGCCGCTGAGAGGCTTCTTCCGGTGCCATAGAGATCGCTTGTTGTCGCGCTTCGCCTTCATGGCTGCCCAACCAGACTCGTCGTCGTCGTCGGATCCCTCAGACGCCTTCCGGGTTACGGTGAGAGACGAACGGCTCTTACGGCCATCAGAGACCGTCAGCATGATACCAGAAGGATCACTATGCGGGCTAGGCTTCGAGGACGGCACGGCAAGTTGAGACACTGCTCTGTAGCGGCCAGGAAGTCCAACGTTGCTGCGTTCCGACGGTGCAATGGAAGGAGTATATCCCATGCCGCCAGAAATGGAGCCATGGGTAGAACCGGCATAGCCAGGAAGATGGCCCATGAGCTGCGGTGGAGGCTGAACCATGCTCATGGTGCGCATATTGGGATCGAAGCGATCCATCATCGGTTCCAAGCCTATGACTGATTGGCGTGACGACAGGTTACCCATGGACTGGGTTGCACCATAGAGGCCCTGCTGCTGTTGCATAGGGTAAGGGTTGTTGGGCATCTGAGGCATCTGAGGCATCTGAGGAATCTGCGGCATCCCTGGAGGGGCTTGTTGGTTCTGGTTCATCGCCATCATCTGCATGAACTGCATCTGCATTTGCATAAATTGTTGCATCTGCTGTGTCATTTGCTGTTGTGCCTGGTCCCCAGAGCTCATCCCAGGCATCATATGCCCGCCACCCACGCCATTCATGCCACCCTGACCATACATCATCTGGTGAGGGATACCTGTCATAGGATCATACCCACCAGGTCCAGCTTGCTGGTACATGTTTGGCGGCATAGGTCTGCCAGCATCAATGTTGGGACTTCCACGGCGCATAGCCCTGGAACGTTCCTCATTGGCGATGACACCGACCAGGCCACCGGGGTGCAGCAGGCCCTGGCTGTTGCGTGGGCCCTCGTGGAAAGAAAGCGATTCTCGGACGGCCGGCCTGTGGATGGACGCACCCACGAAGGGGTCCTGTGGGAGGTTGCGGGCGAAAGCGGGGAGTGTCGAGAGTCGTCGGTTGGCTTGGTTCGAGGGAGCGTCACCCATGACAGACTGAGGGCGAGAAATGGATGGTTGATAGGATGCTCGGAGGTTCGGGTTCGAGCCTGACACGTGCAACATGGTCGGGGGCCTGTTCTTAGCAGGGAACCCGTGAGCCTGAAGAATGGCCAGGGGGACTTCGTCGTCCTCATCCTCGTCGGAGACGCCGGAAATGGGGTTTGCTGGGTTTTTCATTGTCGACAGCTGTGGAGCGCTCAGCGTCGCGGGTAGGTTGGGACGGGCAAGGGGAATTGGAGGAGCGGCATGCTCTCCAGTAACCTTCATCATTTGCTGGCGGTAGACAGCCATGTGAGCCTCCTGCTTACGGCGCTGCTTCACTTGCTGTCTGGACTTCTCAGCGTCGTCCTCGTCGTCGTCATAGTTGATTTCGTCTTCGTCATCCTCTTCTTGCTGCTTGGGTGGCGGAGTGGGTGTCACATGCTCAGCGCTTGAAGCAGGGCCAGTTGTCTTTGGTGTCATGCCTTGCCTCTCCTTGTCCTGCCTGTACTTCTCGAACTCGGCAGGGGTCATGACCTTGTTTCGAGGAGGGTGGGCGGTGCGCTGGCTGATGTATCTGTGGTTGTTTTTGGCGAAAGAATACGTGCGGCCCTCAAACAGGTTATCCTCCTTGTCCTTGGTGAAGCTCTCGGCAATGGTGACTGGTTTGCGGACAATGGGATCGTCTCTGGGCTGTCGAGCGTAAAAGGATTCGGTAGCTGACAGTCCAACGCCGGGATTAGGGTGGTTGAGGAATTTCATGGCAGTAAACGAGTCGCGGAGGAGCTTGGCGTCTTCGTCGAGGACAGGAGAAGGGGTGGATTTCTTGTATTCGATGGGGTACGTCGGGGTGGGCGTCGAGTCTGTACGAGAAAATGGCTCTGAGATGGAAGCAGGCATGGTGTTATTTCGGGCCCCCGTTAGGGACCTGGGGTTCGAGGACGTTTCGCGGACAGTGTCGAGACCCCGGCCAGAGAACATGGCACCAAAGTCACCACCAAGGTCCAGGGCTTTTTTCTCTTCAGGGGAGCTCGGGGTGGCGGGTAGCCGAGCGGGTTGTGTTGGGACGCTGGCAGAACCCGTTTGTATTGTCAAAACGGGCGGCAGGTCGGGAACAGCGGGTTCATCTCGGGGAGGCGGAACGGACTGTTTTTTCTGCCCTCCAAAGGACCAGGTGCGAGGAGCCTTGAACAGCGAGGTGCTGATGGACTTGGTCGAGGCCCCACGACCAGGTGAATCGTGTTCTGGGGGGGTAGGAGCCTTGTTCGCATGGCGGGCCTCAATAGGCGAGGAGTTGGCATGCATGTCGGCGGATGAGGGTGCAGTTGATGCATTGCTGTGGCGGGACGAGTTATCGGTCGAGGTGGCCTGCGTAGTATTCGAAAGGCCGCTGCCGCTGATGAAATATGATTAGCATGAGAAAAAGGCAAGACTAGCGCGATCATCTCGGCAAGTCACTTACCGGCTGGTCTTGAAGTCGGCAAACATGTTGTCCTCATGGGGGTCCTGACCGGGCTTGAGGAGAGTATGTTGAGGGGGTCTGGGTATGGCCATCTTGACGCCACCATCGAACGATCTAGTGACGGTGTGTGTGTTTCGCTCTAAAACCTTGAATGAAGGCTGGGCGGGAGCGTTGAGGTCGACATTTTCGAGATTATCGGCGACAGACTTGCGCCGGCTGAAGGCGCCGGAGAATCGAGGCATTGGGACTTTTGCAAGAAAGATGCACCGAAACTATTCGCACATAAAAGCTCGGTGCAGGGAAATGGTCAAAGAAGGTCTGCCCAATCTCGCAGGAGCAGTGGTTTGTTTTTGTCTTTTTGGAACCTTTTGTCGTCGTAGGCGGACGGGGCGATACGAGGTCCCACAACGCGGCGTAAAGGCGATGGCGCAGCCAACGTCGAAGCGTCGGGGCCGTTTAGGGAGGCGCTGAAGAAGCGACGGAAAATAACGGCGATGCTCGCAAGCCAAAAGTGACGTCGAAAACGATGTGGGATTCTGAAGTGAGTAGAGAAGCGGTGTTAGCCAAACAAATTGCAGTTTCTTTATTTTACTTGACTTTTGCCGCGACAGCAAGCGTGAGTAAACAAGCAGGGGCCGGTTGGAGGGCTTTTGGGTGAACTGTTCGAAAGCAGAATCTCCGAGACAAGCGGCCAAGGTGGCTTTAGGGACGTGGCAGAGGTATGCTGGTGGAGAGAAAGCGTGAAACTTACATCGACTAGGCAAAGAAATCTGAGACTTTGGATATAGCAATGGCTTAGTTGGGGTATTCAGTATGCAACGTATGCCAAAAGCCAAGAAGCTCGTGTAGATGGGTGCTGCGGCGGTGCTTGATCGTAACCCGGGAGGTTTCTTTGTTCGAAGAGAGCTCAGGGAGAGAAGCAGCGAGCGACTGTTTGGGTTGTCGGTCGAGAGTCAGGCCTGGCAGGGTCCTTTGTCTAATTCCTGTGCACTGAGGTTGACTGTAACTAGCGAGCGAGGGCAGGAAGACGCGGAGCCCAAGAGGTTGACTGGAAAAGAAGAGGAAAAAGAGTGGTGCGGATTGGGCAGCGTAAACGGGCAGGTGGACAAGAAAAAAGCCGTTCGAGGTTCAGGGACCGTGGCGTCGAGAAGAGAAGCGGAGATATTAGCGGAGTAGACAGGCCCTCCCTGGTATACTGGAGGCGAGAATTCAAAAGGCGAAACGTTGAATTAAGGAAACGACAAGGAAAGGAAGAGGTTCGACAGGGGCGCGAACTCTTTTGGGGGGGAAGGGCCGCAACGAGTGTGATGAAGAAGGGTGGAAGAGGAAGAAAAAAAAGTGTAGAGACCGCGAACGGAGAGTGAGGGAGGCGCTGAGAGCGTGGGCAAGGTTTTAGCGGCCAGGAGAGAGCGGAAGCAGGCGAGACACAGAGGCAAAGGCGCAGGCACACAACACACCTGGGACTAGGTGGGCAAGACAGCAGACGCAACGGGCAACGGGCGACACGAAGCAGCGGCGGCGGCGTCATGGAGCCATCGAGTTTTAGTTAACTACTGGGTTATAATTTAGTTTGGTACAAGTGGTAATACGGTGGCCCCGTGGAGGTACCTTGTAGATTCATTATTACCTTGGTACCTTAGTAGTAGTTATTTGGCTATGCCCAGATGGGTAGGGTCAAGGGGCCAGGCGGCGGGCTAATATTAGGTACGTGTTTACCCAGGTACTCCGTACTTGTTGTTTCGGGCCCAGAGGTGAAGAATAACATGTACCAGTATGCTTGGTACCAGCAACTCTCATGGTGGTGGCGGCAAGATTCATGATTCAGCCAAACAGGCTCGCTGGCTTGCTGGATCGCTGGCACGCAGAGGACAGAGGACAGGACAGAGACCCAGCGGCCTGAAAATAGCAATCCCTTTCAGTGGGTATCAGGCTATCAGCGGCCAGCGCCGACACAGCCCCCTGCCAGGTCATTGGATGAAAATAGAGGACGGACAGACAGACAGTAGTTAGGCGAGGTAATCTGTACTCGTCTTCCATGTAGCTGCAGTTGCGAATTGTTGCAGCACTCAAAAGACTACCTACCTAACGTTAGACGCCGAGGTCCAGTTCTACACACGCACCTGCGAATCACTTGGACGGGATTTCAGTGTCTTGTGCCCTGTGCCCAGCAGGGGTGTTGCCGGTGGTCCCGCGACCTTGCACTTACCTGTAACCCAGCTCCTACCACCCAGCCCATCATCCATCAGTAACCCAACAGCCAAATCAAATAATAGGGATTTTGTAGCCTTCCCAGGCTCGCGGAGGCCAGAAATGGGCTCGACAGAGAAGCTCCACCAGCCACCGGACAGGGGTTGGCGACCCGCCGCTGGACGGGGCGCGCGAGCAAGCGAAGAAGAAAAAAAAAGTCTCCTGATATTACTACGGATATAGCTATTACTTGGGAAGAAGAAGAGGAGGACCAGTGTCCCGGGAAAAAGAAGGAAAAAGGAGAAGAAAAGAAAACAGGTCGATGGCCCACGCGGACGTTGCGCGAACGGGACTGGATGGCGGCGCCAGGTACGACGAACGCAGACGCCAGGCGCAAGCTGGACAGAAACAAATTCATGATGAAATGGTGCTTAAAAAAAAACAAGAAACTGTCCGGTTGCACATGGCATCCAGGAATACGGATAGAAGGGATCGGTTTTCCGCATGACAATCAAGATGGCTGTGGTGCCAAGTGCTAGTAATACAGCTTGCAACCTCGCACCTTGTTCCTCGACACCGGCGGCAGCACCGCACGACACGAGGGCCGTGATGTCATGCCCGTATATTCCATGCATACCAGGTTGTCCATTGTCTAACGGATACATGTCGTTACATACATACGTACGCTTGATGCCCGGATGCACCTCTGACTCGCTGGGATTTAATAGTTAATTCTTCTTCTTTTTGTTTGACTGTCCATCTGGCTCGCCAACTAGGTCAAGGTACCCAACACCTCATCACTAGCGCTGTGATGATTCCTGTTCCAACCTTGTTGCAAGTAGTTAGGTCCAGAGTACAATGAACCTTGTCTGTTCACTGCGGGCAAGAATTTCTCAACATCTCAGACACACCCATTCTTGGCAACTTTTGCGTCTCATTCTTGACCAGTTGACCAGTTGACATGGCAGGCATCCCATCCATCCGTCCATCCGTCCATCCAGACCATTCCGCCGCCCCGCCGCCATCCAGAGCGGGCCGTTCAGCTCTCAACTCGCCCCATCCCGTACCTCTATTTTTTTCGCTTGGGCACGAGAGAAAAAAAGGTTCGATGATGCAGTCATAACTCGGAAAATGCCATGTACATCTGCCTAGATTCCTGACGAGATGCGGACATTTTTTTCTTCTTTTTTCGGGCATGACCTTGTCTCTTTTGACAGGGGGGGTTTGAGAAGACGCTCTTGATACAAAACATGCCATGCACGCTGCGTGTGCGTGCGCGCAACACAACGCCCAAGAAACGCGCCAAGGACCATTGATTGTCCTGCATGATGATGCCCGTCTGCGTCCCGTCTCTTGAAAAGAGCCTCCTTCCCCCCTCTTGGCTGGCGGTGGGATACGCCGGATATGTCGGGTGGCTCGCAAGTAGTCAACTACTAACTAGGTACCTAGGTACATACGTACCTAGTGAGTTAGCTTCAATCCATCCCCAGATCGGCCATGGCGCGCCTCCATTTTTTTTATTTTCTTTTTCCCGCGCCAGGCCAAACCATCACCTCCCTCACTCCCTCAACTCACAGCCTGAGCAAAAAGCTAGAAAAACCTGGCCACCATTTCCGTCCATGGCCCTGTTTGCTCGGCCTGCCGATCAATCACAATTGACCGGCACTCACTGCACTCAGACACACGTCAACGGCACTAAGAAAAGCTTATCTGCTGCGCGGCACTCTCGTTCAACCAACCTGCTGGTACCTAATATAAACGACGTGTGCTGAGAGACAGCACGACTGCATGTTGTACAAATTACGCGGGTACGGATACTCACATGTGCTACGGGAGTACCGACACTCGGGTGCTGTCACTCTTTGTTCCCCCATGACAGTGCCGGAGTCACAGCCACGGGAAGCGACCTGTCTCTCGCTGCGGCCACGTGAGACGGGGCCAGATTCGTCGCTTCCATCTTTTCATTACACAGTAACAGGTCACTACTCCGTTGTTACAAGAAACTCCGTAATAGTTACAAAAACCAATTCGCATTCTCAAATCTTTGCTGCCCTCGTGCAAACACAGTTGGCTCTCAGAGACCGCAGTGGGCTAGCTTTCTACAGTGGGGACAGCCCGAAATTGCCAAAAGGCCAACTAGCCTTGTTGAGAGGCGGCGATATATCCGGTGGTGTGATGTTGTCTCCTGAAAATGAGCGTTGATCAATTATTATTAGTTTATTTTAGTTATTTTGGCAAGCTGCAGCTAGCTCGGTTGCTCCAGTAAAAAGCCTCTGGAACTGCCAACCCGTCGCCAGGCAAACCAAACCGCCCCCATGCCAGGCAATCGAGCCCAAATTCCTGCCAGACCAGTCAGACCTGCCAGACCTTGGCTTGTCGTCTTTGTGCCTCCTATAACGTTATTACCTCACTGAATCTTGTACGAATTAGTAGGCTCCTCTCTTTGTCTTTGCTTGTGGGTGGCCACCCGCACACGCCGTCGCCAGCCGATTGATCATCGGACCGATGGCCATGACGATCCATTGCCACAATCAGGATTCCAGCTGGCACAAGCCCAGAGACAAGCAGCAAGACAGTTCGCGCCCCATTGTTGGTGGGTTTCTTTATGCATGTAAATAGTATGCCGAAACCGGCAACTTATTCCCGCCTCGTCAAGCCTCCTTTTCTTGCTTACCTGTCTGTTTTCACCTTGTCGTTTGCCCTCCCAAAAGCATGACAAGACAAAATCCTTTTGCGTCGGCCGGTTTGCCTCTGAGCTTGTCAAGTTTCTAGGCAGTCGAAATCGTATCGGGAGATTATGAATCTGCTCCCATCTCTCTAGAACCTCAGTCTGCCACGCGTTCTCGTATCCTCGCCCACACTCCTCCTCGTTCCTGAGCCGAGCTGAGCTGAGCTAACTAACTGTTCATGGTTCTTCCAATTTCCCCCCCACTGGTACGATGAATGACCGGGGGAAGCGCGACAGCCTACAGGGGTGGAAATAACTAGTGCTGCGTGCCAAAGAAAGAAAAAAAAAGATTCAGCTGAATGTACGGACCTTGACGCCATTCGCGCAAAAAAGGTGGCGCCTGCATCCTGCATCTTTGGCCGACAGCCTCATTGTGTCCATGACAGGGGAAGAGGGGACAACACTGCCAATATTTCAATTTCGAACGAGGCAGCCACAGGGTCTTTTCCTGCATCTGATATACAGGGGTGGCTGACGGCTCGCTTGTGTGTTCCTTGGCCATCGGCCCCAATGCGGCAATGTCGAAAGTGCGTCTTGCTGTACCGCAACTCCGTACGGACGTTATCATTCGTACAAAGAGCAAATGCCGCCCAGTCATCTTTGCCAGACGTTGGGCGCTTCGCTTTGAATAATCCCAACGACTGCATTGGCCACTCGAGCCCACGCAACGGCACCATGGCGCAAATAACAAAATAGTTACGCAGACAACACCCAACAGCGCCTCTTTTGAGACCCAGCCACAACTACTGGCCTACCCTATACTACCAAGCATGTCGGGCGGGACATGGCGCACGGGATGAAAGTGTCAAAAAAACGTGCCGTGCCGCAATAAGGAATGCGCTGTGGCTTGGATGCTGTCCATAACTACTTGTTTTTTTTCTTGAGACTTTGCAAATTTGGCAGACCAAGAGGAAACAAAAACACAGCGTGTGTGTCGGAAAGTGAGCGCTTGCATCGACGAGGCGACGGCGCCCGCATTCCAGTCGGATCCGAGCCGAACGATTGCGCCCAAGTTCCAGCAAAGCACAATCCCGATGAAGAGGAAGCGACAGCACGATCAACATCGCGGAGATGTGCAGGCACGTACATATAGTACGGGGAAGCAAAACCACCCGCAGAGGAGAAGACTATGGACCATGGACAGCACACCTTGCTCGTGCGGTGGCGCATCGTCTACCCATGCGATGAGAGCAAAGCGTCCTACTCGATGCGCATGCGCGGTTGCAGATACAGGGAAGTTGCTCAAATCGTATCGTAGTCATCCATGGGCGCGCAGGGAACAAGCCCGGCATTCTCCCCTTCGCCGCGCCGCCCTCTGCAGCAGCAGGTGAGGCGGAAATAATCCCAGACATGCATGACGAGACACTCGGCGGGATCCGTCCTGAATAAAAATTCACGGTCATCAGTAATATCAGTATGCAGAGCCCCAATCTATCCATGGTAGCCTAGTAGGGGGGGCAGCGAGGGTACGTGCATGCTTGCTTGCAGCCTGGGTTGGCAGACGAGAGACAGGTTCACGGGTCGGAAGGGCAACCGCCTCGTCGATGACATGCAGCGTGCCAGCCGGTCTCGGCAGACCGAGGATGCGGTACTGAATGTACTGAATTCAGACAGACAGAGAGAGAGAGAGAGAGCTTGGCAGACCTGTCCAGGGCGCGTGCGAAGCGCGTGGCACCGTGTCTTTATATTCGCACGGATATTCCCACAAGACACATCTGGGGTCGCCGAGGAGCATTGTCTGTGGGGGGGAGGCAGCCCAAGGCGCGTCGGACCAATCAAGTCGACAGCGGAATTTGGTATTGGATGACCCTGGCGATATGTGGCTTACAAAGTAATACAACCCATTTCCTGTTCGATGGTCTGGTCATCCTTCAGGTTTTGTTTGATTATTCTTCAGCGACCGCGGATCGTAGTTCCAGAGCCCCCCCCTTCCCCGTGCTGGGGGCGTCTGTCTCTGAGCATCGTGAAACAGTCCAAGTGCCATTGTTGGTTCTCACCGCCATTGCGATGCTGATACAAGCAAAGCGGAATAGAAGGAACCGGAACCAGAACGACGGACGATAAGGTTATGTGGGCGGTTCGTGTTTGGAGGCTTCGCTCATACAAAGGTGCGGACAGACAGGAGCGAGACCCGCCGCGGGGATGCCGTAGTTGGTGATGGCGCAAGAGAAGAGCAGTTTAATGATGATTATTTAATAGTATTAATTGGCCGTTTTGTCATTTGTTTGCTCACCCTTTTTGCAGTTGGTGGCCTCCCACTCTCTCCGCCATCGCGGCAACTGGTCAGGGCCGAGACCGATCAACTACCTACGTTGTGCATATACAGTAGAGTAGTGCTATTGGCACGAGAGCTTTTTGCTAAGGGCACGACCCAAGGTACTTCTAATTTAGAGGCTCCCACACTATAAAGTAAGTACCTTTTTAGTATCAATTCTACACCTTTTATATAGTAAAATCTAATAGAAAGGAAAGGTAGTTTCTAAAAAAGAAAAGATACTATCTAAAAGATTAACTAATAAGGTATCTAAGAACCTTAGTTTTAAAAAGAAATACCTATTCTAGTATTAGGAATAGATGGTGTTATTCTATAGGTTTCTGTATATTCTGATGCTTTTTTAGAAAAGCGCTTAGCGCTAAAATAATACTAGAGGTACTTAGTCTTTGCAGGCTATTCCACCAATTTTTAGGTACCTTGGGTCGTGCCCTTAGCAAAAAGCTCTCGTGCCAATAGCACTACTCATACAGTATTAGTAGCCGGCCCCATGTAAGAAAAAAAAAAGACGATATGCAAAGCACAACAAAACTCATATTTTCCCCCATTCATTCCCACCGACCGGGGCCGAGCTGCGACGGTGCTAGACTGGAAGAAGCATCGCGGTGGGCTTTGCTGATGCAATCTGGGCGGGTAGTTTTACTAGTAGGTGGACGTCGATGAACCAAACAGCGACGCCCATCAACGTCGCCGAGGAAAAATAGCGCCCCAGGACCCCTGCTGGTAGTCGGCCCCTTTGACCCTAGATTACGAAGGTGGCTGCGTTGTTGGAGCTTGCGGCTGACTCGGGGGGAGGGCGAGAAGGGAAGCGAGAGAGGGTGAGAGGGAGGGAGGAAGCGGTGATGGTGACAGAGTGCGGAGGTTATTTTTTTTTTTACATTTTCTCTTCCCGGTCTGCAGCTGCATTGACAAACTAACAAGGCGATGGCTGGGTAGTGCGGGGTTTCGGCTGAGCATGTTATATAATGCCCAAAGATGCATAATAGACGCTGGTAAGATGGTTGGATGGTTGGATGGTGCTGCTGACGGCGCGGATATGGCCATGGGGATGAACAATAAGTTGGCCATCGGGAATGAACCAGTTCAATCTGTAACTACCTATTACCAGGCCAAGATTCGTCACTAGATGCTTGAACCTCGAACGACGCCGCCCCAGCCAGCCACGAGCAGATGCCGACTCGCACGAATCATGCATGTCCTCTCGAGTCCGGAGCTCCCCTCTTTCCGTCGACACATCACTCGCAGCAACTATGTGACCAAGTTTGTCAAGAATAATAAAATCATATTAAAAATAAAAATAAAAATTCATCAGAATCGCCATAGTGTCCAAGCGTTGAATAGCCAAGACCGCTTCTGCGGGGGCGAGGCAGCCGGCTGAACGCAACCATCCTCAGTGCAGCCAGTCATGCAACTCTTTTTTTTTTTCTCTTCCCCCGGTCTTGCCAACCAGCCAACGCTCAAATAATCGCTCGGCGACACTTTCCCCGTGGCCCAATTCGATCTCAATCTCATCAAGTTCATCACCAGAGAGCTTCATCCGGCACGAGACGACCCTGACGCCCTCGCCCATCTTGTTTTGACTTTGCGCTTCTTCAACCACCGCGCCTCTTGGAAGCTTTTCGCCCCAGCTAGCTCCGATCCAGCCTGCTTTCGCGCGGCGCCGCGCCTCTTTCCCTCGCATCATCCGTCCTTTTTTCTTTTTATACTTTCCGTCTCTTTTTTTTTTTTGACTTTGCATCTCTTTCGCCAACTTGTTCACCGCGCTTGTTGCGCTTATACAATCCCTCTCTCCCCTCCCTCCAAGATCGCAAATCATCATGAGCTCGCCCAGTCCGCGCCCACCACAACACGGCCGCCGTCCTTCGCTCGTCCAGCAAGACGACGGTCTCTACCACTCGGCCCTGCCTACGCGCACCGGCATGCTAACGTCCATGATGCGCTCCCGCTCCCAGCAGAGCCTGCACACGACCTGGCGCGGCCACCACCACCACGCCTCCGACGACGGCGACGAGCCGCCCGTCCGGGGCCGCTCCCGCGGCCACCCGCCCGCCGACGACGACGAGCTCGAGCGCCTGCTGCACGACGAGAACCGTCTCAGCCAGATTCTCCACGGACCCCAGAACCGCAGCATGAACCTCATCGGCAAGAGCAATCCCCGATATCGGTGGAACTCGTACTGGAAGTCGGAGGAGGAGCTGCAGGGCATGTCGAGCAAGATGTGAGTTGCGCAAATAGAATCCCAAGACATGCAGCGGCTGCCAAGCCCGGATAGAGTTGCTTCTGTGCGATGCATTCTGTCTCGTGGCACCAAACACCCACCCATGGTTCCCCCTCTTTCCGGCTCCCCCCAATTGTCCGACTGGCTGGCTGACACAAAACCCTCTTCTCTTCCCACCAGACGCGAGTACTACGAGCGCACAAACGACCTCGTCCAGCAGTACATGTACATTGACTGCCTGCTCGACTCCACCATCCCGCACGAGCTGCTCAACGAGTACAATGCCGAGCTCGAGGCCTCGGCCTTTCGCGGCGTCGACATCCCCAACACCATCTCCGAGGAGCCCGACTCGTCGTCGCTGTCCGGCTCCACCGCCGACCGCTTCAACGGCGGCGCCTCGTACGGCTCGACCAACACGCTGCCGCCCGCCGTGCCCGAGAGCGCCAACAGGACGCCGCCCCTCCCCGCCAAGCGCACCCCCAAGGACATCTTCCGCTCCTCGGAGAACCTGACCATGCTCCCGCAGAACCACGCCGCCGACGACGACGACGACGATGATCACCCCGACGGCACCCGCCACGCCGCCGCCGACGAGAGGCGGCCGCTGCTCCGCGCCGACGCCAAGGACCTGGAGAACGGGCCCCGGCCGCTGCTGCCCTGGCTCGAGGATGCCGAGATTGACAGCGACGACCCCATTGTCACCCTCGCCATCTACGTCAATCTCGTCGCCAACGTCGTGCTGCTCGCCGGTAAAATCGTCGTCATCATCTCCGTCCCCTCCATGTCCGTCCTGGCCTCGTTGGTCGATGCCGTCCTGGACTTTTTGAGTACCGCCATTGTCTGGACCACCACCCGCCTCATTGCCTCTAGCTCAAGCGACCTCCACCGATACCCTGTCGGACGCACTCGGTATGTTACTAACTGTCTTTCCCCGCTGTCCCTTGCCCTCCTCGCTAACAAACCCCCCTCCTTCGCGACAGCCTCGAGCCTCTTGGTGTCCTCGTCTTTTCCGTCATCATGGTCACCTCGTTCTGCCAGGTCGCTCTGCAATGCATCCAGCGTCTCATGGGCCCGGAGCATGAGATTATTGAGCTCGGCATCCCGGCCATTGTCATCATGGCCACCACCGTCGTCATCAAGGGCGCCTGCTGGGTCTGGTGCCGACTGGTGAGAAACTCTAGTGTCCGAGCACTGTACGTCGCATATCCCCCTCCCCAAACGAGCCTTGGCTTGAAAAACCAGCATTAACACTCTTGCAGTGCCGAAGACGCCAAGACTGATGTCATTTTCAACATTGGCTCCATCTTGTTCCCCATTAGTACGTTTACTGCATAACACAATCTCCCTCCCGCCCAAAAGTTCCCAGCCCACTAACACTCTCTCGCGCTTCAGTCGGCTTCTACGGCAAGATCTGGTGGCTCGACGCCACCGGCGGCCTGCTGCTCTCCCTCGTCGTCGTCTTCACCTGGAGCCAGACGTCGGCCCACCACGTCCGCAACCTGACGGGCTTCGGCGCCGAGCCCGACGAGCGCAACCTGCTGCTCTACCTGACGATGCGCTTCGCCACGGCCATTCGCAAGATTCAAAACCTCCGCGCCTACCACGCCGGCGACAAGCTCTTTGTCGAGGTCGACATTGTCCTCTCCGCCATCACCCCGCTCAAGGACTCGCACGATCTCAGCGAGGTCCTCACCTACTTTCTCGAGTCCGTCCCCATTGTCGACCGCGCCTTTGTCCACGTCGACTATACGAGCTACAATGCGCCCACGCATATGCTCAAACAGTCTTCTTCGTGAAGAACATAAAAAAAAGAAAAAGGACCCCTCTCCCTCTAGTGTACGAAACTAACAACAAACTTGGCTTGGCTTGGCGACTTGATATTGTAATTGGTTTTTTTTTTTGGCTATACTTCTATACTTGCCCTTGTTTTGGTATAACTGGTTTTTTTATTTTGGGGTGCATCAAAATGCGAGGAGTTTTGAAAAGAACAAAAAGATAAGGGGAACTAGATGTGGCGCTGCTTTTCCAGGATATATAGATAGCATTTTGGTCTTGATTTGCACTTTAAAATGCTTGGAAAACAAACACAAAAGGATTGTCTTTACAACTATGCTTTCGCTTCTATGAGTGAATGAATCGAGTTGGAACAGATACTATACTAATTATACGGCTCAGAGGGGTTTTATGACTTGATAAAAAACAGCGCGGAGCAGGAAAACAAAAACTGGAAGAAGAGGGCACCAACTAATAAGGGATACCGTTGGTCAGGAGCTGAAACTGGTCATAGATGCCCGTGCTGTAGCTCGAGTACGACTTCTTGACCAAGTCGCGCATAAAATCCGCCGCCTCGCGCTCCGTCTTGTCCAGCACGAAGCGGTCCTTGAAGTGGCGCACCGACTCGGGCTTGAAGCACGGCAGGCCGCTGTCCATCATGCGCTCGACCACCTGCGCGAGCTTGTCGCGGTACTGGCGGGCTGCCAGAAACGCCTTGACGCAGAGCGCCTCAAAGGCGTGGAAGCTCTGGTGGTCCGTCGCGCCGCCCATGACGGCCACCATTTCGCTCGTCAGCTTGAACGGCGCGCGCTCAAACTTGATGCCGCCGGGCGCAATGTCGAAGCAGAAGCCAAAGTCAATGTGTAGAATGTGGCCGGCGTCGTCAATCATGATGTTGCCATTGTGGCGGTCCTTGAATTGAAGCAAAAAGGAAATGACGGAATAGGCCGCCATCGACTTGACAAAGTTGCTGCGCGCGGCTTGGAAGCGCAGCGAGTCCTCATTGCCGTACTTGGCCTTGAAGTACTCGTACAGGCCATTGACGGCCTCGCGGCCTACCATATCGCGCGAGATGGAGTTGGGCAGCACGTCAATGACGCCACACCCGGCGCCCGTCGCCGTCACCCGATTCGGGAAGACATACACGTCCAGGCCGACGTTGTGGAAGATGCTACGAAACGCCGAAATCATCTGCAGCGCGAGCACGTCTTGACGCACGTCATCGCCAACCTTGAAAATGGCCGACTGCCACACCTCAATGTAGTTGTCCGGCGACTCGGTCGCTTGATGCTGCGTGCCGGGCTGTTGCCCGACCACTTGCCTGTCCTCGTCGTCGTCGGCGGGCGTGTCGCCTACGTACTTGTTCTTGCGGACGCGGAAGGTGGCCATGTACGGCGCCTTGGCGTGACTTTGTAGCGGCTTGCCCGACTTGCGATCAATGCCAATGACGATGCCCTCGGGGTTACTGGGCAGGTAAACGCCGACTTCAACCTTGATCTTCATCAGCTCCTCCTCAATCTTTTGCTTCTTCTCGGGCTTGGGCCGCTTAATGTATGGCTTGAGCTTGCCGGAAATGCCAGTGACTTCGTCAAAGAACGAGAACTCCCGCTCGTAGAATAAGCGGTCCTCAGGCATAAAGCTGTCCACCATTTTGGTCATGACAGCGTCAAGAACGGGCTTGATCTCGTCGGGGACCTCGGCATCATCACCCTTGTACGAGTTGGCCTTCATGTTCCAGATAATCTGGTGAGCAAAGAGCTGCGAGAATTGTGCCGTCTCGAGGATATAACGCTCCGCGTATCCAAGATTATCGTGTCGAAGCGACTGCACAATCTGAGGCACGTAGAAGAATGTAACATCCACGGAGTGACTTTCGAGTGAGCGCATGGCGTACTGGATAATGAAGGGGTGGTCTTTAAACGCAGGCGAGAGAAGGGTCACAGCAGTGATTGGATTGACTGGCTCCCAGAACAAAAGGTACTTGAGCTGCCAGTTGACGTCGTCGGGGAGCTGACTGCCAATCAAGAGCGGGAGCGCTTCGGGGTCATCGATGACCATTTCTGGTGAAGTCAGGATTAGACGACGAATATCGCTGCGAAGCCGAGGATAGTGGAATCGAGTAGCCAGCTCCACGGCAATGGCAGGATCTTGGTACCAAGCCGTTCGCACCAAAGGAAGAAGAGCGTTCTCGGTGGCATGCTTTGAGGCGTGGTGGCTGGGTAATTGAGTTCCCGAGAGGTTGCGAGGGTTGGCCCAAACAATCAGACGTGATTGCTCGTTTTCGAGCAAAAGCTTCAACAAGCTGTCTTTAGTTTGTAGGGACGTAACATTGCCTACAGTGTGCGAGCCAATGTGCGAGACCAGATTCAGCGAGGCAATAATGTCTGAGAGGAGGCGAATTTCCGTTTTGAGAGATATCATGTTGCTGCCGAAGGACCAGCGCGGTGAGTGGCGGAACCAGCTGAGACCAGCGGATAGGATTCGATCCTTGAGTCTCCATTGGGCTGTAGGAGCAATGGTAGTGCTGCTTCGCAGTACCTTTGTACTGAACAGAATGATCTGGAAGCGGATCTCGCGAGCCATTGGATGCGGGCTGCAATCCTTGAGCGCGTCAAGTGTCAGATCCAAGAGGCGCAAGAAGACTTTTTGGATATCCGGGCTGCCCAACCGAGTGGCGTTGAAGTGGCTGGTAAAGAACTGAAGCAAGCGGGTATGAGGGGAAAGCATGTCATGGACTTTTTGCTTTTGCTGATTGATCATATCCCAGTCGCTCGGAGAAAACTCTTGCTTCAAGAAGAACGGATCAGAGTGTTCCAATGACGGATCAAAGAGACCGACACGGCGGGAGATGGTAAACTCCCACTGCTGAGCAATGGCGTTGAGTAGCTTGGACTCGAGACGCGGGTTCTCATTCATGACGCCGAGCCAGAGGGAGGCGCCGAGCTTGATTGACTGCTTAGTGAAGAGAGCGAAAGGAATGCTCACAAGTTGGCGGGCAACGGCAGACTCGTCATGTTTGCTACGGCACAGGAGTGCTGCGGCCCTACGCATAATGTCACGGACTTCGTCAATTGAGGTCGCTTTCTTACTAAGAATGCGCGCCTCGACATGAGCGAGTGCCGTGGCAGCGTTGGCGCTTTCCACCACTGACGACTGGGAGAAGGAGGGTCGGCGATTGGTTTGCATGAAGCTAATCAACTCGGTGCCGCGGTCCGGAAGTGTCTCGCCATAGCGATACTCTTGGCGAGTGGTGTACTGCGCAATGAGATCCGAAGCAGAGTTGATGCCGTACTCGCCGACTTGGTCAACAGACTGGAGCCGGTTGTCGGTACTGGGGATGACTGAGCCGAGTTCCAGGGCAAAGGAGCGGCCCAAAGAAATGTGGCCATAGGTACCTTCGTCGTCAAACTCGGACAAGTACGTCTGGAGTAGTCCTTTGACATCGAGTGGTGCGAGGTTAACGGCTGTATTGACCCAGGCGCGGGCCCTCTGGTGCAGGTGCTTCAATGTCAAGCTGCGGAAATCGTAGTCATCCGAAAGTCTCACAGTCACATTGCAACGTCCAGACGTAAACGTAGATCTGTGCCCGTACATGTCAGTCTCGGCTTCCAGGCAGCTAGACCACATCAGAGAAAGCAGTTCAAGCAGAGCAAAGAGGGACGTGCGGTAGCAAAGTGAAGAGGGAACGTCGCGCACGACTTTGTCAGCCAATGCAAAGGCAGCTTTCTGGACACGTTCAATGCGATGGCAGCATAGAGAGAAGATCGTGGCAAGCTGCTTGGCGGCGTACTGCGCCGAGAAAGCAGGCTCGGTACCACTAATGGTCTTGTTGATGTACTTGTCCACTACCGCGCTGGAAATGCCTTCCATGACACTGTACACTTCCCTCTGTAGCATGCTACGCTCAGCAAAGTAGGACAGGACCTTGGTACAGTCTCCAGAGTCTGCGCGCAGGATCTCAACAAGATAGGCAGAGTGCAAGAAGATGACTTTGCGGTAGCTGAGGTTTTTGATCTCCGAAGCCTTGCCAGGAATGAGCTCACCCAAGAGCTTCTTTTGCAGAGACTCCCGCTCGCTGCTGTTGCCGCGACGCAGGACCGTGTTGAGTTCGATATCGCTCTCAACTTGCTCGCCACGCTGTTCAGCAGCCAGCGGAGGCGAGTGGACAGCAATTACGCGCAGCTCGTTGAGGTATCTCTTCCCCCGTTCCGTTGAAGTGGAGAATCCATGTACCACAATGTTGAACCAAGCATCTCGAAGCAAGGCATACGATTCATCATTGGCCAGGGGCTGAGCAGCCAGGTCGTTAGTCGACATGAGCACAGCTAGAGGGTGAAGCAACTCTCCAATTTCTTGCGCAGTCAGGTCAACATCGATCTGCTTCGTCTGACCCTGAGAGTATGCATCACCAAGAGCGATGATGCTATCCAGCAGGTGTTCCCAGTAAATGTCAAAGAGTGGCGAATCGCGGCGAAGGTTTGCGGAAATGTGATTTCGGCCTTGCAAAACAGCCTGAGAAAAGAACTCCTTCTTTTCGACGACGCCAAAGTGGCCGAGTCGGTTGTACATTTTCAGAAGGGATCGGAATTCCAACTGACCACCACTGAGAGCCAAGTCGGCGGCGCCGGTAATAACTTGCACATCCACAGTAGCGTTGACTTTGTCCAACTTTTGGAGGAGAATTGATTGTGCGAGAGCGGTAATCTTCTCATCTTCGCATACGGCGGCAATGCCGCAAATCGCTTGCACGACGTTGCGATATACAATGGCTGCCTCCTGCTCGCCACTCACATCGACGGAGATGGAACTAGCGTTGGAGTGGCGACGCTGGTACTCGGGATATAGACCATTCTCTCCGTCAACAGCGCCATTGGTGTGACCGTTGGCGATTTTTGCTTCCGTATCAGGGCTAAGAACGTTGCCGAGGGAGTAGAGAGTGCTAATGACAGCATCCTTGGACAATTTCTTGAGCACAAAGGCAAGGCTTCGGGATGCGACAGCGCCAGTGCTGGCATTGGTCACATCCTGAACGATAAAGCGAGGAAGCGATCGGATCACAGTATGCGAAAATGCTGGGGCGATGCGGCTGAGAAGAGCCATGCAGCGAAGGGTCGTTGAAGCAAGGGTCTCATCGCTCATCTGCTGGGGATCATCCAGAGTCTGCTGCAGCCAGTTCATCAAGACTTCGGGCTCGGCAGCATCCTCGTTGAGCATAGCGCAGTTCAGGAAGGATACCATGGCAGCCGACTTGACAGCATAGGCGAGCTTCTGCTGGGAAGGGGAGCCAAGACGAGCAAAGTCAGCACCAGCTTCGATGTAGTTCATCTGATCAATAGCAAAGTTGGCGTGCAGGTCAATAGACCGCAGGTCAACATCGGCAGCAAAGCCATCGACGCGAGTCAGAACACCGCCGTTGTCCATGAGCACGTCGAGAACATGCTTCTTGCGCAGCTGGGATCCGTCAGTGACCATCAGGGAGGTGCTGGAAAGAACCAGCCACATGAAGCTTCGCTGCAAGAGCATGGCACCAAGCGGGCGTCCAGCAGCAGAGTAGTGGCGCAAGTGACGCTTCCATTCTCGCACGTCGCGGTCGTCGCTATGGGCATTGCGAATTGTGGACAAGGATGTCTCGACAGCAACCAGGAAGGGCTCCGAGAGCAGCTGCTTGGTCTTTTGAATCAGCCCCAGTCGGCCACCAGATTTCCAAAAATCGGCCTGAGCCGCGGCAGCATCGAGGAAGCCGAGAATAGCGACAGCAATGTTGAGAGTTCGGATAGATTCGTCAATATTGAGGTTCTCTGGGTCGCCAGTTCGAGGGGAGAGTACACTTTCGGTGGTTCGGCTGCAGGCGTTGGTAAAGGCCCAGATACCGTCCGTAACGGTCTCCTTTAGCTCGTTGTACTTGATTCCGAGAGACAGGAGCGCAGCAGTGACATGAAAGGCCAGGGACTCGGTCGGACAAGGGTTGATTTTGCGAAAGAATGGCGAGGTAACAAAGGTCTGGGAGTGCGCCTCGAGGATGTACGGAATGAGCTGGTAGGAAAGCTTCTGGGCGCTCTGAGCAGACAGAATCTTGGGTGCATTCTTGCAAAGGGCTAGGAGGACCTCGAATTCGCGAATGGACTACGTTTGTTAGCGGTGGAAGCGTCTCCCACATCTTGGGCAACAGCATTACCATGGGGATACGGCTGAGCGAGCCAGCCTGCTTCGAATTGTACGCGCCATGGTTGTATTCGCGGCTGCGGCCACTGACGTTGCAGGCTCGACACAGTCTATCGAGGTCGGACTTGTCAAAGGAAGTGTTGGTAGAAGACGCAGCAAGCGATGCTATCTTGTCAAGCGCTCTCGCGCGAATGTCACCCGTCATGATGCCTTGCTCGTGCCCGCAGTCAGACGGACAATGACGAGATGACAATGGCAAGCGACAGAGGGGGGCCAGAGACGATGAATCCGTTGGCGGAGACGTGCAGATGAATAAAGTTGTTGCCGAGGTCACAGGTGCCAAAATCCACGCCAGGCATTCGTGGCGTTTGACGGGGAGCCAGGGGATAGGATGCTAGTCTCTCTCGGTCGAAGCTAACAATGAGCGGATAGCCGTGCAACTGAGCAGCCGCCAAAGGTCCTGCCGAGAGTGCGGGGCTTAGTCATTTTGGGCGTGGCTGGTGTTGGGAGCTTGCTGTAGCTGGTGGCTGGTGCTGTGGCGCGCTCACCAACAACTGTGGCAAGGCTCCAGCTGTACGCGTGCGCTAACCTCGCCGTTGCTGAGCAAGCTCCTCCTGCCTGCCAACACGATCTCAACCCGTCCGCAAGTCATCGATTCTATCCACGCAGCACCTCGATTACGGCCGGCCAGCATCATCTTCAGCTACTATACTCCCGGGCATCCGCGCACACCGTCACAATGGCCATGTTTAGCCAAAACCCGGTCCTAAATGGCCCCAACTATTCCATGTCCGACGTGCCCCGACAAGCTGGCGAGCCGCGCGAGCATCGCTTCAACCCGTACGAGACTGAACCCGCAGCATCAAGCTGGAAGAATTTCCTCCGCTGACCATGTCCCTGCAGATACACCGACAACGGCGGCTCGACGCTCGCCATCGCCGGTGCCGACTTTAGCATCATCGCCGGCGACACAAGACACACAAGCGGCTACAGCATCAACTCGCGCATGGCGCCCAAGGTGTTCAAGATTGGCGGCACCAACGCCTCGCAGGACGACGCCACCATTGTGCTCTCCGTCTGCGGCTTCGCCGCCGACGGCGACGCCCTCCGCGACCGCCTCGACACCATCTGCAAGATTTACCGCTACCGCCACGGCAAGCCCATGACACTCAACGCCTGCGCCAAGCGCCTGTCGACGATTCTCTACCAGAAGCGCTTCTTCCCCTACTATACCCACGCGCTTCTCGGCGGCCTCGACGAGGAGGGCGTGGGCGCCGTCTACTCGTACGACCCCGTCGGCAGCTACGAGCGCGAGCAGTGCCGCGCCGGCGGCGCCGCGGCCAGCCTCATCATGCCCTTCCTCGATAACCAGGTCAACTTCCGCAACCAATACGTGCCCGGGAGCGGCATCGGACACAACTTGAAGGAGCGCCCCCACGCACCCCTCAGCCGCGTGCAGGTTGAGACGATTATCAAGGATGCTTTTGACGGCGCAGCGGAGCGCCACATCGAGGTCGGCGACTCTCTCCAGATGCTCATTGTCACCAAGAACGGTATTGAGGAGGTATTTGTGCCGCTGAAGAAGGACTAAGGGTCGAGATGCACATGTACAATAGCTACGCATTTGATACGTCTAATAGATTCGATGTTTGGGAGCTGTGCAAAACCATGGTGATACTACGCATACATCTGTGTTGCGCCATCTTGGACAACATATGTTTTTAGTGGCGTTGCTTGCGTTGGACTCGTCCAATCTGAGGTTTGTATTCTGGTGATCCGTTCCTGAGTCAGCCTACTTTGTTGACGACATGGTCAACTAAAGGGTATTCCGCATCCGGGCACTGGCTCTCGCGGTGCATATTTGCGCTTGCGATTTCTATATAGTTATACAGATTGATCCAATCAAATTGGGCTGCAGCCCAAGGCAACGACCTAGACTCAAGTGGCTGAAAGATTGGCACCCTCGATACAGCCAACGGTGCAGGGCGGCCCTGATCGCCCTAGACACTCGTCTTCTTTAGCAAGGTATATTAATGCCATGTCTAGACCCTTCTAATTACTCGCGCAGCTAGTCTATAGTCCGGCTTCTCTCCCACTTGCCGTCGCTGGCTACACGGACATGCTTTGCATCACGGGATGAGTAGGCGCTCGAAAGATCGGTCTTGAAGATGCATGTATTTGAGCTCTGGGAGTCTCGACTCCCTGTGTACTTCGTAGCCACGTTCTTGTTAACCTAGCTAGCTCTTGGGGGCCGCGTTCGGGGTTACTAAAGATCTAGATGATTGACGATAGCTTCGGCTCTCCGTATTGCTACCCGGCACGGAAATTGGTCAAAGTCTTGGCGGACTTTGCAGACGCCCCGGGGACACAAGGGGTGTTTGCCAACCTCTACATGGGAGTTTTCATGGATTGAGTTTGGATTTCCGTCTTTTGAAAGTGTAAAATTCCGTGTCTTTGCGGTTAGACTAGCTATGGTTCGCCAGTCCTAATCACTGTCCCGCGAGGGTTTCGCAGCTCACGGCTAAGTTCCGTTAGTAGCGCGAACCTGCCCTTTGAACGACTTCTCATGAACAAGAGAAACGAAACCGCCGGGCCGGATAGCGCAAGACGGCACCGTAGTTTGGACTGGCCGTTATTTCAAATCAGACCATGAACAGCGCGTTTTTTCGGAGGGCGTGCGATTCGGAACCGAATAGGATGCCCTTCTCATCGTCCGTGCTACGGTGGGGTGAATGGCGCTACAAAACAGGTACCTACCAATTGGAGAAGACAGTGCCTGGATGAGAGTACCTATATCGTACTGGTAGGCATCCCGCAGTTGGGAAGTGACAGCTGGCTCTTCCCGTGGCTGTGGTGGTCCCCTGCTCCTGTTGGGAAGAGACAGGGAAAAAACGGAATTTGCCGCTCGGCAGCAGGCCAGCATTATTAGACTTTTCCTCTTCTTCTTCCCTTTTAAAACCTTCTGGCGCGTGCACTCATCTCAAGCTACAAATTTACTGCCGCCGCACCAGGATGAGTTGAATGGGGGCCGGCGGCCAAAAGTGGGGCCGTAGCCAGAGCCTTCCGTACCGAATTTGCTGGATTTTAGTACAGATCACCAGAAGTGGCTGGAAGTTTTCCATCTTTGCTCATGCCTCTGTTTCTGGAAGCTCCTCGGTGATTCTTTCCAATTTTTTAACCTCTAGAAAGGGATGGCGAAGGACTGAGGGTGTACCCATTCCCAGTCGTGCATGTTTCGACAGACAAGGAGGCGTTGTTGCATAAATCGCATCACAATATTATGAATTGGGTTGGTATGTACATAGCCGAGTACATACATTCGGCCAACGCCACTTTGTGGCTTGGATCCCTGCTGTGGCTCAGGCCTCTTGGGTTTGCAGGGCAATTGCGTAATGGTGACTCAATAAAAGAACGACTAGTGTGGCGGTGCAGGAGGAGGATGGAAAATGTACTCGAGAGCTTGAAATTCTTGGTTTTTATGGAATTAAATGTGTGTATTTTGCGCAGTTTTGGGGGTCCTCGGTGTGCGCTCGAATCCCGAAAAGTCAATGTCGTCATAATGTGGCCGAGTACTGGTGGATTCTGGTAACAACCTGGGAGCTGTCAGAAAATGATTGAAAATGATTTCGTTTTTTTTGTCTTCTGTGGGACGGAGACGGTCCACATCTTCTCTCCGTTTCCTAATCCTTCATGTGGGATGGTGATGGGGTTCCAGACTAACTACCTCGTAGTCAGTTTCTCTGACACGCAGACTATCTAACTATCTCCCCGGGGACAGCAACAGCAGTATTTCCCACTTGCGAGTACGGACACGATGAATCAGAGTAAAGAGTAGCGTCGATCAGTCCCTTGGACCCTTTTCCATTACCACGACTTAATGGGTTGGTCTGGCTGTCTGTCCATCGTCACAACTTGGTGTTGGTTTATTCAATTACCTAGGTAGGTTAATAAGTAATTGAGTGATTGATTGTCCGGAGCATTCGGTCCGGAGGAACCGATGACTTGCAAGTGTTTGGCGGCTTGATTTCTTGAATTTCGTTTGCTTGCAGATTTGGCAATAATCGGCACCCGACAGCCCTGGCCCGCCTCAGTAAGAAACGAAAATCCAAACAAATCCCCAGGGTCCAATCTTCTTGGAGGGGCGTGTGCAGCCCAGACTACCACCCCCAGCTGCCCTGGCCATGTGCCCAGTTGCTCTCTTTTGGACGGGCAGTTACACGTCGTTCGTTGAAGGCGCTGGTCTGGGGCCATGCGCATCATCTTTTCAGATGACTTGAACGTGTAGTTATATCATATCGTATCATCATGATCGGCGACGTGGCACCCGCTACTCTGATTCAGAGTTTGAAAAAAAGATGCAGTTTTGTTCAGTTTCACGGTTTATTGGCAATGGGAAACTATGGGATTCCCCATCTTCTGCCAGGCGTGCTGTGTGCCCGGCCCGGTGGCGACTATCCGTACAGGCCACGCACAACTTCAAATACGCCACCGTGTAAGCCAGTATCAGGGCGGACGGTATGTAGACAAAGTCAACGGCCCCGAGCAAGTCCCGAGAAAATTGCAGTGTGAAATAGCTCGAGGCAAGATCAGCCAGTCGCACCACAAGTGATGCTTGAGAAGTTCTAATTGTCGTCGTCATCAGCACACCCAAAAAGCAAGCGCGAGCACGAGACTGGGGCTTTTTTGGGGTATTGCAGAACAGAGAGCCCATGACCAGCTGTACGCCAGGGAACATGATGCGAGTTTGAAGGGTTCAGCAAAGGCAGAGCACCACGTCACGGAAGCACTGGGGCATCAAGTTGCACGTTCCGTCGCCAGCGAACCTAAGCATGTGCACTGGTGACAGATGTCCAGGATGATTCAGTTAGCTAGCGGCTCCCGTAAGAGGGGTAACCCGCTCGGCCCCTGTCCTTCCGATGTGGTGTCTTATTATTATGCAGCTCCAGCCACACTTGTCTCGCCCCGGCACTCTCTGCAACGTTCTGCCTGCCCTGTTCAACTCACCCTTGCAGCCTGGTAAAACGTCACGTTGCCCTTGAAGCCGCCGATGCCGTGTGAAATGGAACGCCTCGGTCGGTGATGGAAAGACGTCGAATATGGCCCAGCACGACACGCCGACGCGACGGAGGCTCGCTGTTCCGCTCGGCGCGACTGCTCTAGGCTAAGTAAGGACAGAGGGGCGTGAAGGTCTTCCGCTCTCCATTCATAGGTAGGTAGTCACTCTGTAGCTCGTTCAAGCATCGACACTACCTAGCTACGTCTCATCCTTGAACGGCGCAGCCACAACAACTTTAGCCACGTATTGTTTTCGACAGTGACAAAAAACCAAAGTCGCCACCCGTCCGCCCTGTTTAGTTGGGGTCGAGAACTGTTGTGACCCTCAGCTACGCGGCTGCCCCAGCAAAGCCACAGGTGTGTATCGATGAAGGGGGAACTGATAGTTGGTGGCGGTCACAAATCAAGGGCCTGAAGTTCCCAAGTCCCCTTCGAATCCGCACTGAGTACGGAGGAATTCGTACTGGTACTGGAAGCGGGCGTGAAGAACCGGATTTTTGCTGTGGCTTGTCTGGTGGGACTGCCGGACACCCCCCCTCCCCCCCATTTTTAGAGACGTTCTTGGATGAGCACAAGTGGCAAAAATTTGTTATTTATAAAAAAAAAAGTCAAAAACAGGACAAGCCTAATGAGCTAGAGCGATTGGGCAGAATGTCTTGAAGCCTTGCTGCGGTTGTGGAGGCTTTTGTTGCACAGCCAGCTGTGGATAGTCGGTGATGTATCAGTACCTCTCCCGCCCTGCTTACAATGTAGCTGATGGCCGCGCGAGGCTGTCACCAGTACATGTCTGGATAATTTGCTGTCTTTATAGCTACCTACATATTTTCTCCGGCATGCCAGTACTACCGTGCTTGTCGATTGATGCCATTCATAGTATCCATCCATTCACGAAGCGCCTTACACCTTACACGGGGAAGTCGGACCCGCCAAGATCCTACTCCCTACATCTACCTGCTGGCATCCAATTGACTCACATCCTGTTTACCGGTTTTTAATTTCATGTTTTTTTGATTTGCAAGCACACATCTTATTCCCCCATTCGTCGTCATCCATTTCTATTTACGTCCTTGCTTCTGACGTTGGAATATCACCAACACCCACCCTGCCGTCCACTACGCACCACCATCACGCCTCGCGATACTCGCAGTTCTATTCACACTATTCACACTATTCACACTACCCCAGTTTCTCGCCATACACCAGGGGCATACCTAGGCACCCTTGTGGCAAATTCGTCCATGTTCCTGTTCCCACGCGAGCAGGCAAAGTACCCCGATTCTCCATTCAGGCTGTGCCACGAGTGCCGAACACAGGCTTTGACACTCCTCTTGGCGTCCAAAACCACCGGAGGGGACTTCATCACTACCTTTACACCTCTGGCCCGCTCTATTCTCTGCCCATCACTCCCGGCCGTTTGAAGAAATAGCCTGGCTAGAACCAGGGCTTGAGCCAGGGCAGATCATCTTCAACTAAGCAAATCCCACATATTCACAAGCGCATATCCCGTCACCTTTCCGCACTTCTGCTTGTCCCTCGTCTTCTCAATCTCCAAAAACGGCATGCCAATTGCCTGGAGGTCCTTTTTAACTATTCGCTTCCTCACCCACACATCCCTGGGGCACTGTCAACCCTGTTCACCTTGTCCTCGATTCAATTTCTTTTTACCGATTACACAAACGACTGGCAAGACGAGTGTTAGGCTACCTTGAATTCCTACAGCGACCCAGAACAGGCAGCTCTCTTTCACTCTACCATCTCTCTAGTGGCCTGACATAGCCACGCCAGCCCTACCAAACCATACACCCCGGCTTTAGCATCGCCACAAGGGCACTTGGAAGTTCGAGATACGGTGACCTCGCCAGTTAAACCCACTGGGTATACCTCTTGAGCCTTCGTATCGCTGAACATTTGATGGGTGGGCAAGTATTGAACCACTGCCTGGACCTGTTGCTGAAAAGCTACCGCGTCTTTCTCAAGCCCAATTTGCATACCATTGGCCATTTAGGCACCTCGCCGCGCACTCTATTCTTCTTCCAGGGTTTCTATACATACAAACATCTTTGCAGAGTGTCAAATTTGCTATTTATCATAGCGCACCTTTACTGACACCTTAGTCTGGCCGGGCCGATTTACCGCCTTCAGTCTTGTCAAGCTCGCTGCTGCTCACCACTTTCGATTTGCCGTTTTCTCAAAATTCAGCACTAAACTACTGCAAAGACTTTTCTCGAAGCCTATCAAATCACCTTTTCGAGTTATCCGGTAGCTGCGGACCAGCATCATCAACTCCCTCTACTATTAGAGCTGCATTATTTCTTTCTTCATCCCGCCCTCAAAAGTCGACACGTCACCATGGGAGACATTCCCTCTCCACATACAACTCCTGTGCAAACAGTTGAGTACAAGGCCAACAAAATCGTTCCCTCAGGGCCGGCGTCCTCCCCTCAGAAGTCTCCTCCAGCACCAGCACCAGCACCAGCATCCTCGCGTCGACGCCCGTCCAACCCTCGACAATCTTCCCACGGCCATACTGCTACACAATTTGATGAACATTACGACAGAAGAAATGGTGTCCCATCTCTAGCAGGCGAATCCGGGCCTTTCAACATGGCACCGATGCTTAGCGCTTGCCCTCGTGGAGGTTACCAACATCCCCCTCCCCTAGGGGCTCATCCGCAGTACAGCCAGCAAACTTCGCAGCCTGTCATGCAGCACATGCCACATAATCCATACGTCGGCCATCATCCTGGCTCGATAATGGTTCCTGGATACTACTTACAGCACCCACAAATGCATCAATACTATGCGACAAATGCTCCCTTAACTCACCACGGCCCGCTGCCGATGCAAGTACAAGGCAGTTCTGCTTACTATCCAGTGCAATTCGTCATGGAACACCCACAATCCCTCGGGTACTACCCACAACCACACCAGTTTCCTGATCCAAACCACCAACGAAATGACCACATGAATCGCCGGTACAGCCAAGGGCATATCCCACATGAAGGGCGAAGCCAACCCCGAAGACCGTCCTACAGATCAAACAAATCTTTCGGGGATCGGAATTCGCCACCTGGTACGCTTCTTTCTCTTTATCAACCGAAATTATGATGGCTAACTAGGAGATGTTGGTAGATTCTAAACGTCAACAACAGCACACAGTCCGTGGACCGCCACGAAAGCCATATCAAAGTGGTAAGACACTTCAAAACGATATAAACATAGCTCAAGCTAAACTTCGCCGTTTAGGCCATGCGATATGGATTGGAAACCTTCCGCCACAGACCGAATTGATGAACCTCGTGCACCACGTTTGCGAATTAGCCCCGGGACTTCGATCCCTGTTTTTGATCTCGAAGAGCAACTGTGCGTTCGCCAACTTTAAGGAGGAAACAACTTCAATAGAAGCTCAGAAGACTATCCACGAGTCCAAGTTTCAATCTGTGCGATTGGTCTGTCGACTTAGAAAGAACACGGCGGAACCAACTTCAGAGAATCACATTGTCATCGCATCTGGTACCAGCATTCCTACGTCACCTACACTCGCCAATGATGCGTATGACGGGAATATATCTCCTTTGGGTGAAAAGGCCGACCCTCTTGAAGGCATTGAAACACAAGCAGCTACAAAGCACACAAGCACAAACGCTCACCGAGATCGATTCTTTGTCCTCAAAAGCCTTACGAGGGAAGACATGGAGAAGAGTGTTAAAACTGGCATTTGGGCCACCCAGTCACACAACGAGGAGCTTTTGAATAATGCTTTCAAGGTTAGTAAATACGAAAAGCTTCAGAGCCCGTTGATATACTAACCAAGCCACAGACTACAGACAACGTCTACCTGATATTTTCCGCCAATAAGTCTGGAGAATATTTCGGATTTGCTCGAATGACGTCGGAAATAAACCAAGATCCAGGCGCTGCAGTTCAATTTGCACCGCAGAATCAGGCCACCGAAGAAAGCGACCTACCACGAGCTGTGTCGATCGATGCGAAATGTAAAATACCAAAAGGACGCATCATTGATGACTCTGCACGAGGAACAATGTTCTGGGAAGTCGAAGAAAACGAAAATGATGGCGAAGTGGAGGATGACGGCGAAGTTACCAGCAACAAGGAAACGGAAGATGCGGACGAAGATCTTCAGACCTGGGGTAAACCGTTCAAGCTGCAGTGGCTTTCGATTATCCCATTACCCTTTTACCGCACAAGAGGTTTACGAAACCCGTGGAACTCGAACCGCGAAGTAAAGATCGCGAGGGATGGTACAGAACTCGAGCCTGCGGTTGGCCGCCGACTGATTGGCTTAATGAACAACAATACGCATATGGGGCAGCACGACTCGCGAGGTAGTCCTGCCTTTTTTGCTTCTGGTGGACGGCGATGAACAAATCGGGGAGGTCCCACGTGAGTACGGCAGTATGACTTGCGAAACTACACACAATCATCAAGTACGAATACGACAAACCAACGATTATCATGCTCTGAGCTGATTATTATGCGCTGAGCCATGGACACGATTGGGAACAACGTACAGAACATTCACCGCGTATACGACAATATGGTTCATACTGCATGATACTGCATTGAACCATGAAGACGACACACAGCTTGCAACACTGGCGAATCATATTGATTTTAGAGGGATGAGCATAGCAAGGGCGAATCAAGCAACTTGGATGGGAGATTGGAGCGTTCAAGGCAATTTTGGTAGAAAGAAATACAATTCTTGTGCTATATAGAACGCTTTACTTTGTGATTTTATGCTTGCTGTACTAGTGATGCTGATTGATGTCAGGAGGTTTGCCAACTCTTTGAACGTTGACCGTGGGGCCACGAGCTTGCGATTTCTTTAGCACGCAGTTGTAAGACGCTGCGCTGCTTCGAAACGATGAATCAATGACGGTAACATGGCATCAGGCTCGCATATAGACTGGAGATGGATGATGCCAAAATGCTCTTCCCAGGCGTAAAGATGGGACGACGTCAGAATATAAATGTGGCTTGCCGAGTGGAGGGGTGTGTAGAGGATCTGGCTGTGCAGCTACGCCACGACTTGCTACGATGGATGGTGGCATGTTTTTTTTTTTTTTTTTTTAGGCTGTGGCTGAGACTTGGCAGTGATGCAGCTTTTGTCCAAGTCCCGGCTATCGCTGCCAAGGAAAAAGATTCCAGCGTTGCATTGGTCATTGGACGAAGCCGTTATTTCGACGAGTGAATATGCCTTTACTGAGCTGCGAGAGCGTAAGAATGACGCAGCGCCAGGGCAACGCGAAGCTGAAATCGACACCCCTCACCACCCTCGAAAATCCCCCCGCCATCTGTGCTGCTCCAGAATTGTTGTTGGCGTTCGCAGCGGAAGGAAGAAGGGTTTTCACAGAGATCGTGGAACTATGACGTCACAGCGCCACATTCACCCGCCTTTTCCTTTTGGGATAAGTCGCTCGTTAGGTAAGCGACGTACATTGGGAATTAGTGGGGCAACATCAGCTGAGGGATGCCACCCAGTTACCCGCAGGTGAGGTGTATCCACGTTGATGCTGGGCATTGTTTTTGTTGAATTGCGTAACTACGCGATAGTAAATAAATCCAAAAAGATAAAAACATACAACAGCCGGTGTTCGCTGGTCGTCACCGACCCAACTACTAATCTGCCGATGAACAGCTTGACGATCGGGGAGCAAACGGGACCCAGTATTTTCTGTCCTCTATGGTCGTATGTGACAGTCTTTGACGAGTTTCAGTATATAAGGGTTAGAATCTAGTGACGAAAGGTGCCTTTTTGAATCGAAATTGTCAGCATAGAACACGGTCCGTAGATGAAGATGGTATTGGACTTGGCATTTTCTGCGGCACTTGTATTTTCCCGCATCGTGCTAAGACGAATAAGCCGTTGATTGGGGGGGGGCTGGCTCCTGTAGCATCTAGACAGTGCTGGGGCGTAACTAGCGGCAGTCGATCTCAGTGGAACCTTCCAGCACCATCTGCCAGATTCTAGCGGCTGCCGGCCCCTGCGGGCAACTGCTGGTATGCTTCGAAATACACGGCTTTGTAAGTCACCAGCATCTTCAACACGATTCTAGAAACCAATATCATGACGAATACCAGCTTCAGCCTAGAGAATGTTTGCTTCCTTTCCAAGTATAAAGAACCAACATGATTCCCTAGAAATCCAACTTTTCTTTTCCTCATCACACACACTCACAACAACTCAAACACTCTTCTCCCATCCACTCTTACATGCACATTTGCAGAGTCTCTCACAGAGTCGCTAAAAACAACCGCATCAACACCAACAAAATGGCTGCCTTCTTCCCCCGCACCGTCTACAACACCGAGGCTTCCCTCACCCCCCTCTTCCGCTTCCTTGACGACTTCGACTCGTACTCGCGCCAGTGCCAGCCCGGTGCCGCCTCCGGCAGCCGCAGCAAGAAGCAGCAGCAGCAGCAGCAGCACTTTCGCAAGTCGGACATGACGCAGTGGCAGCCCAAGTTTGATGTTCGCGAGACGTTTGACGCCTACGAGCTCCACGGCGAGCTCCCCGGCCTCAACAAGAGCGACGTGAGCATCGAGTTCACCGAGCCCCAGACCCTCGTCGTCCGCGGCAAGGTCGAGCGCACCTACACGGCCGGTACCTCGCCCAACGGAGAGGCTGCCGCCGCCGCCCCTGTATCCATTCCCGCTGTCGAGGAGTCCGCCGCGCCGTCGTCCCACAAGGCTACCGTGGCCGACGAGGACGACGCCAGCGTCCAGGAGGAGACCGGGCTCGAGGTCGTGAGCGAGGCTTCTCACACCGCGCCCACCACACCCGAGGCTGAGGCGGCCACCGTGGCCGCGCCCGTTGACCGGTCCAAGTACTGGCTCACGGAGCGCAGCGTCGGCGAGTTTGCCCGCTCCTTCAGCTTCTCCTCCCGCGTCGACCAGGACGCCGTCACCGCCGCCTTCCAGGACGGCATTCTGAGCATCTCTGTGCCCAAGGCCAAGAAGCACGAACCCATCCGCATCGCCATCAACTAAATCGGGGGTTTCGGTTCTGTTTTACTCGCGACAGCATTTCTTGTGATGGCTGATTGCTTCATCGTTTCTTGCCCAGCACTTGTCATTCCTTGGAGTTGGAATTTGGATTAGACACTCATTAATAACTTGCTTGTACACTAGTTATAGAAAAAATTCATCAAGTATTTTACAAAGAACTTTCCTCATGAATTGTGCCCGTGAATGTAGAAGGCAATTGGTACAAGTCAATAAAAGGCGACTAAGTACCTAGGTAGTGTCGCCAGCCTGGCCCTGCACTACCATAACATGCCTAGCACAGTAAAATTCCCGCAGAATGAGCCACCCATAATTTTTTTGATGAATAAAAAACGATAACTATTAGATCGAATTTCGCTCACTTTGTCCCCTGTCAACTAGAGTGGCGAAGTGGCGCACGTGATCTGGCGTTTGGCGATTAGCGTTGCTGCCTGACTGGGCGCGTTCCAACGCGTTATCCCACAACAACGCTGAGTAATTCAAAGAAGCGCCTTGTCCCGGCCGATTCACGGTCGCCTCTGCACGTCAACGCTGCAATACTGTGTACAAAGCTGTACAGCATGTCTCAAGAATACGAAGAAGCCCAGGTTGCCGAGGAGGGTCAGATGGGCGGCCCTGGAGCTCCCACTCCCCTCAGTGCACTGGAGGTATGGCCCCTCCTCACGGGCGATTTGCCGAAATGGCCATTTCAACGTTACTGACGGTCGAATTGTAGGGAATCGCTGGGTTGACGAAGCGTGATATTCAACTGGTGGTCGATGGTGGTTTCAACACTGTCGAGGCCGTGGCCTATACCCCGCGCCGAACGCTGGAACAGATAAAGGGCATTTCGGAGCAAAAAGCTACCAAGATTCTTGCTGAAGGTAATTGATGTGACGATGTGACAGTAATTGACCGGTATTGAACGCTAATGGTGTGCAGCCTCGAAACTTGTTCCCATGGGATTCACCACTGCGACAGAAATGCACCAACGACGAAGCGAGCTCATCTCCATTACCACGGGCTCCAAGAACCTCGACACGCTTCTCGCCGGTGGTATCGAGACCGGCTCCGTGACCGAGCTTTTTGGCGAGTTCCGCACCGGCAAGAGTCAGATTTGCCACACCCTCGCGGTGACCTGCCAGCTCCCGTTTGACATGGGCGGCGGTGAGGGCAAGTGCCTCTACATTGACACCGAGGGCACGTTCCGTCCCGTCCGCCTGCTGGCCACGGCCAACCGCTTCGGCCTCTCCGGCGAGGAAGTGCTCGACAACGTCGCCTACGCGCGCGCCTACAACTCGGACCATCAGCTGCAGCTGCTGAACCAGGCCGCCACCATGATGTGCGAGACGAGATTCTCCCTTCTCATCGTGGACAGTGCCACAGCGCTCTACCGCACGGACTTCTGCGGCCGCGGCGAGCTGTCCAACCGTCAGACACATCTGGCCAAGTTTATGCGCACCCTGCAGCGTCTTGCGGACGAGTTTGGCGTGGCCGTCGTCATCACGAACCAGGTCGTGGCGCAGGTGGACGGCGGCCCCAGCGCCATGTTCAACCCTGATCCCAAGAAGCCCATTGGTGGCAACATTATTGCGCACGCCAGCACCACGAGAATTAGCTTGAAAAAGGGCCGTGGAGAGACGCGTATTGCCAAGATTTACGATAGTCCCTGCTTGCCGGAGAGCGACACCTTGTTTGCCATTGGTGAGGATGGTATCGGCGACCCGGCGCCTAAGGATATGGAGAAGGACTAAAGGGCGAGGACATCGATATCATGTGCCATTTCATTGATTTGCATGGTTTGCTGGCGTTGGCCGTTATACTTTTCTGGGGCTTTACAATGTTTTACATGTCTTTGAGCGATTTGCATTAGAGTGTATGACGGAGACCTTTTCTGTAGATATTGCTAATGACTTTATAATGAAAGCGAGAATCGGAAGTTTCAAGTTAAATTAGATTAGACGATGAGAATATTTGTACAACTGCATATATTGTACAACTGCTTGCTGTATACGATGTGGTACGTACCTGAACCTGAACCTGAGCTACGCTCCACAGAAACAAGCCAAGGCCGATGGGGAAATTCTGCCCCAGGGCAGCAAGCAGCCTTGAACAACAGAGCTCCCCAAAAAAACAGCTCTGCGCCGCCAACACCACTTCCCATCAGCAAACGCTCTGCATCGTCGGCCTCGCAAACCATCGAATCACGCCCTTTCCCTCTGCGTTTTCTTCCATAGCGACCCACGACGCATGCGCTCCTAGAGCTCCAGGAGGCGAGATGGATTCGGGCGACGCGCAGATTCTCTTCAAAGAGACCCGCTTGAACCTCGAGCCTCCCGCCGCCGCGTCGATTGTCACGATCCGCGTGCCCTCGCTGTCCGGCGGCAGCGCGCGCAGCACGACCGATGGCGCCGCCGAAGACGAGACGGCCTTTCGCCGCAAGAACCTCGCCACCGCAACGTCCATCTACCACCGCCAGTGGCACGACTCGCCCCGCAACTTTCTCTGGCGCGTCCTCGAGGACGGCCACCTGCTGAGCGTGCGCGCCGCCGACATCTGCTGCCACAGCAAGGCGGCCGACGCCCCGCTGGTGCTCAACTTTCACTTTGCGGTGCCCATCCAGCCGGGCTGCGTCGCGCTCGCTGACCCGCAGGAGCACGACGCGCTCTGTCTCTTCGTCCTCGACACCTCGTCTCACCTCTACACGTTTACCCTGCGGCCGGACCTCTTTCGAAAGCGGACAGCAATCGACGCGGGCCTTTCCGACCTGGCCAAGGTCCAGGCGCCGGCTGGGGTCGCGTTCAAGTACCCGCATCGCATGGTTGCCGTATCGGCCAACATGCTGCTTGTGACGGTCAATGATGGTGGCATGATTCGTCTGGACCGAAACCAGGCTGACGATGGTATGTTTTGAGATTAGCTATCTAAAGAGGTGTGGGCAAAAAATGCTAACATCCGTGCAGGTGGTGTCTGGAAGGAAACCTTTTTTAACGTCCAAGGATGGAAGCAAAATCTCCGAAGTCTGTTGCCTTTCCAGGGCAGCCACACAATTCGATATGGCCGAACCAATATGGAATATAGTGCCGCCACTGCGGTACAAGTTACATCTCTAGGGCTGGATAACTGCCTGTTTGCTATTACCGTGTGCCTCGACCACCGCATCCGTATATGGAACATCCAGGACGGCCAGATCTTGTTCACAGGAGACTTGCTCGGTGCCGATAGATCACCTCAGGAGATTGGCAAATGGACGCTACATCCTTCTCAAGCTAACTTGGTGCAATTGGTTGGCCGCAGCCCCGGGCAGCGAATATGCGCCACATACTCACCCATCGGGCCTGGTGAATTCAAGTTTTGGAAAGTTGTCGCCAAGGGGCCTCATTCTCTTACCTTGGAGGATCTGTTCCCCAAGTTGACTCTTATTCCTGAGACGCCTTCCTCATCGGATATATGGACCTTGGCTGATTTCGTGCTCTCATCGCCCGAGGACGGCAGTATCAACCTCTGGACGTTGTGGAAGAACAACATGACGTACCGAGTTCAAAGGCTTGACTTGGACAGAACCAACATGTCGCAGGTCTGGCAGCGGGGCTGGGAAGGTGTTCACTCCGATACAGGCTTGCTGACGGCCGAAACCTCTGGGCCATGGGACCCGCAAGATGTAACGGAAAAGTGGCTGCGATTAATCTTAACGCCCGGTCGATTCACCAAAGCAACCCTCGAGGTGGCACTCTCCATCTATGAGCGGGGCCTTGGAAAAGCTAGAGAAGGAAACAAGGGACGTGGTCTGGCTGAATCTATATGTTCCGTGCTTGGTGCGGCGGCATCGCTGGAGAAAAGCGCTTCTGGTGCCATGGACTATGAACAATTCCGGTCATCGAGCGAAACTCAATGGCGCCGCTTCTACAGGCTGCTCATTGAACTGGATAAGCAACGCGGTGAAGCCATCAGCCTAGCAGTGGACCCCGAATCCGACATTGCCTGGATTGTTTGCGCTGATCTTGTCTCGGCCGTCCGGGATTGCAGTGACTTGGAGCGTATCTACCATAATCTCAACATTCCTGATTCGGGCAGACAAGAGGAGACTGCTCTCATCAGCTCAGCGCTGTCATTTGTTGACGGATTCTCGGACAGTTATCTGCAGCTATGCAACGCGGCTCTACGACCAGAATTATTCGAGCAGTCTCAAAAAACGGATTTGGAGCGCATTCAGTTCTTTTCCGACAAGGCTGGATTTTGGCGTGGCATTACTGACGAGGACTGCACGCAAATCGTCGACGTTCTCGGCCAAAACTTCAGCGCGGTGACGGATGAGCTGTACAATGACGTGCTCAACCTACTCACAACTCCTGCTGCGATGAGGAGTCGGCAGCTCAATAACCCCGTTACCGAATTTGGCCGAAAGCTTATCATGGCCGCCACACAGGACTGCTTGACGATGCAGTGGAACGTGTGCTTCAGCCAGCTCATCCTCCTTGTACATATGGAGTTTGAATTCGATAACGAGGAAGACATTCTTCACCACCGCGTAGACGTCGGCAGTGTGTTCCGCGGCTTGATTGCCGCCCTGCGCCGCTTGGAGCTGCTGAAACGGCTATCTCAAACCGAGCTCTCTGTGCCCCTCTTCAGGCCGGACAGGACCATCTCGCCCAAAAAGAGTGTTGACGATACGCAAGTTGTCACAGCGCTGGAAGCCAATGTTGACCATTTGCTTGGCTTTAGAAGCAGAAATGAGGCTCTGAGCAGGAGCATCACTGAGATTGCAATCTCTCTATGCGCCGCAGATAGTGATATCGAACTATCACCGGCCCTGATCCAGTGCTCACTCATCAAGAGGCAACGCGCGGATCTAGCTAGCACCCTCACACCATTTTGCAGCGAGGATCCTTTCTCGGTGTATGTTCAGGGTCGCGTCAGCCTCTTCCTGAAGGACTACAGCGGCGCGGCGCACTTCTTCCGGAAGGCTGCCGTCGGAATGAGTAAGTCTCACAGCATCATGCCACGTCCGGTATACTAATTATGACAGGCGCCGAAAATATCGAGCTTGACCGCCACAGCAGCGGCTTGCTAGACGACACGGAATGGGCTTTGTTCAACAGCGGACTGCCTTCCTACTACTCACACATCGTGGCACTCTACGACAGTCAAAAGGCGTACTCTTACGTCGTTGAATTTGCGCGCCTAGCGATCCAATTTACATCCGCACGGCCTGATCGCGGATCAGTCGAAGCGCAAATGCTTACCCGACAGTTCAGCGCTGCGCTCGCCACTTGCCAGTTTGAGCTTGCCCACACTACTCTCCTGTCTATCAAGGACCAAGCCCTACGCTCATCTAGCTTGCGCCTCCTCGTAGACAAGATGTGCGAGACCTGCCACAACAGCGAGCTCGTCGCGTTGCCGTTCCCAGGAATGCAGCAAGACGTCGACGAGTTCCTCGCCAAGCGTTGCCGCAACGCCCTCGATGTGGTGCACGGTGCGCACTACCACCAAGTACTGTACGCATGGCGGATCAAGCGCCAAAATATGCGCGGTGCGGCATGGGTCCTCCTCGACCGCATTCAGAAGCTCAAGCTCGCCGGCGAGGCGGACAAGATCACCGGTGACGACGTGCTCGACACGCCTGTCACGAGGCAGTACCTGCTGCTCATTAATGCTCTGAGCTGCGTCGACCCCAAGCAAGCATGGGTCTTTGATGAGGGTGTTGCTGGTGCCGCCGATGAAACCACGGGGCTACCGAAGAAGCGCGCCGTCGTATCGCTCGCGGATGTGCGCAAGCAATACCAAGATGAGCTGGATAGGATTGCAGCCATCCAGAACAACCAGTTTGGGTTTACAGCGGACGATGTCATGGATCTTGCATGAAAAATGCCTGGGAACTTGGAGAAGCAAAGAAAAGAAGGCGACAGATATAATGGATCTTGCGGTTTTGTAGATTAACAATTTTAGTGTCTTCTTCCTGCTATTTTGATTGTTTGGTCACTGGATAGGTGGTCTGATCGACCTGCGCACTGGAAATAAAGTGTAGCGATGTTTTTATGGACTGCCTCCCATGATTCGATTTGATGTGAATGATCTTTTTTTCATGTCTTTATCTAGGGATATATCGGTCCAAAATGGACGTTGCCAAGGTGGTCCCTATCCCCCCATCGCCCCAAGAACGCCAGTACGTATGCTAAGCAAGCAAATTCAAATAAAAGAAGGACAAAAAGGCTAGTAATCAGAACATGAAAACAGGGCAACAGAAGCGGATCTAGGCCATCTACGCTTCCGCCACCAAGGAAGCGTTCTCAGGTGGAGGAGCAGCCAGCGCGTGGCTATTCTGCTCGAATTGCTGGTCGGGAGCCTGGCGGAAGAGGATGATTTCTGACTGCTTAAAGTAGCGGCGAGCATCTAGAAAGGTGTCAGTATAAGTGTAGGGAGGGGGGGCCAAGGAAAAAATCCACGGTTGCGCGTCATACCTTCGTCAATAAGAACGAGACTGAGGTAATACCTCGTGGAGAACTTCTTGTTGACGTCGCGAAACGTCGGAGTCAGGTCGAAGCCGCCGAGGAAGAGGCGGATGGGGATGATCTCGCCGCGCGACGGCGAGCCGTCCATAATCTCGAAGCGGACGAGGGTCTCGCTCTCATTGTACTGGTTGGGGGCGGCGCCGGTGGTCTCGCGGCGGATAATGGAGAGCTCCATGTGCTTAATCTTGAGGCGGACGAGCAGGAAGTAGATGCGGCCGACGATGACATCCTTGAGATGATACTTGCTCTTGCTGTACTCAAACTCGATGTGGAGGCAGTCCTCGATGCCGACGTCCATCTTGATGCTGCTGTTGACCTCGGGCGGGATGCGGTAACTGTAGACCCAAATGTCCTTTTCGCGGATGACGTCGGCCATGCGGCGCGAGACGGTGACGCGCACAAAGTAGCGCAGCTTGACGTTGATACCGTTGTACGACTCGTACTGCTTCTCGACGTTTTTGAAGTTGAAGTCGAACGTCTGCGGGTGCTGCAGCTCGCCGGGCGCGGCGAGCTCCTGGTTGAGGGAGAGGAACTCGTAGTGGTTGCCGCGGTCAAAGAACATTTCTGGAGGGGGGTCATCTAGTCAGCATCGGGCTCATTGCGGTTAAGCTGATATGGCATTGGCTCTGCAATTGACAAGCATTGTATGCCGCGCGACAAAACTCGCCCAGCCAGATGGGGTGGGTGAAGGGGGCGTTGGGGGGGGGGTGTCGGCGCAAGTCGCGTACCTATCGTGCCAATAAACTGCACCTTGATGCCCGTGTGCTCGAGGCGCTTGCCGTCCTTGGGGCGGACCGTCACGCCGCCCTTGACCGACTCGCCGTCCATGTACAGCGGCGCCTTTTCGCGGCGGTTCTTGTCGAGCTTGACGTCGACCATGGACCGGTCGTCGGCGGCGTCGAGGACGACGTCGATGTCGACGGGCGTGGAGAAAAAGTACGACATGGTGGATGAGAGGGGGAGGGTGGTCCCATACGCCGGAGCCGCGGAAAAATATGTCGTTGTCGGGTGAGGGTGAGCTGAGAAGTCCTTGAGCTCGGAGCGGCGGAGAGGTTGTGGCACTGGTGGTACCTGGAGACATTGTCGTTCGTTGCGAGCTACGGCTACTGATGCTACTGTGGAGCCTCGAGGATAGCTGACGTATGACTGGCTTGACAGCAAACATGCGCCAACGACTTCAACAAGAACAAGATAGAATGAAGTGAATCCATGAACCCCAGCGCGACATCTTATAAGCTGGTCAGGACAATATTCCTGCTCCAAACTAATGAAATTGTCACACTCTCTGCAAGATTTCAACCTCGGCACTCACGGCAGGCTGAAGACCTCGGCCAACAATTGCATCTCATATATCACTGATTTCAACAATATGAAAACCCCGTTGTTTGATGAAGCACAACATTCAGTCTAAGCCGTCCTCATCTAACTCATGATAATCTCATCAAATTCATCCGAGCTTGAATTTCAAGATCACGTGGTTTCTACTGCCCCGCCGGAGCCGTTGTTCAGTTTGAGTGGGTCGTCAGACTCGCTCCGGGAAAACACCGGCCCTGCCATTTTGCCCTCACGTGCACCGAGCCCTAGAACTTTTCTACCCACAACGATAATCGCTAAACATTCTGTTGTGTGATCCCGCCGTGCAGTCTCTAGATACCCTCTCAACCTCACGCCCAATCCCACCCCATCAAATACCGGCAGGATGAAATACATTCATTCCCAGGAGCTCCTGGAAATTCCCGAGGGTGGTACGTGAAAATCGAATTGTTATTTCCTTGTCATTGCTCGGTTTTTGGCGCCCGAGGAAACTTAGACGACAAGGTGGACGAAAGACGAAAAGAAGATTTTTTGAAATGTACGCCGAACCTGCCGCTCAATGCTCGACCCCGACGACGATCACGACGAAAACCTCTTGCTCGCAACGATATATTTTATGCGAAATTGTCGGCAAATTTGCGATTGGAGAGGAGAAATCTACGACATGCCTAGCGCGGCGACATCTCAAAATCTTCTTCCTCGTCTTCGCCTTGCACCGCCTGCTCCTCGTCTACTTTTCACCGGCTACTAGAACTGGCAACGCAGAAATACCGACTGGCACGAGCTCTTTTTTCGCTAACCCATCACTGCGCATTACAGTCAAGGTCGCCATCAAGACCCGCATCGTCACCGTCGAGGGCCCCCGCGGCAAGCTCGTCAAGAACCTCGGCCACGTTGCCGTCAACTTTGGCCACGCCTCCAAGAACACCATCTCCATTGAGATCCACCACGGCAACCGCAAGAATGTCGCCACCCTGCGCACCGTCAAGTCCATCATCAGCAACATGATTATCGGTGTCACAAAGGGCTTCAAGTACAAGATGCGCTACGTCTACGCGCATTTCCCCATCAACGTCAACGTCGAGCAGAGCAAGGACACGGGTCTCTGGGAGGTCGAGATCCGCAACTTCATCGGCGAGAAGATTGTCCGCCGCGTGGTCATGGCCGAGGGCGTCGATGCCGTCATCTCGACTTCGCAAAAGGATGAGCTCGTCCTCTCTGGCAACTCGATCGAGAACGTCTCGCAAAGTGCCGCCGACATTCAGCAGATCTGCAAGGTCCGCAACAAGGATATCCGAAAGGTACGAAAATACATGACGCACGAGAAGGGTTTGCTGGGACGGGTTCTGGGTCATTTGGGCCCCATGACTTTGTCCCGCTCATCTATCGGTCCTCGGCTCGAAATTCGTTTCACTAACACAATTGCTAGTTCCTGGACGGTCTGTACGTTTCCGAGAAGGGCAACGTTGTGGAGGAGTAAATTATGGACACGGATTCTTGTTTCTTTTGCGTTTCTGGGTCTTACAGGAGAGGCGAAGGTTTACATTTGCATGTCACGTAGCATATGGGCTACGTACAAAAATTCAAAAGCAAAACACAATAATCTAACGTCTACTTAACGTCTATATGAGTTGCGCACTGGTGGCGAAAAACAACGATGACAGTCACATGCGATTTGGAGAGCAAGGAGTTGGTTGTGGCACTGACAATGGCAGTGAGTCAGTCTATTCGTGGTATATTTGTTGAGGAAAAAAAGAAACAAAATTAGGTATAAAAGTCCAATTTTGATCGAGGCAAGGCTCGTCGACAGTAGGGTCTTTTTTTTTTCTCCAAATTCTATCAAATCATTCAAGTCGTATCCATCGAATGCAAACGCAACGGTATGTACAAAAGGGTCCCGTGGGGAGAATGAGCAAAAGCCTCCCTCACCTCAAATCATGCTCATCATGGAGGCATTACAGTCTAGGTCCGTCCAGTCCACTTGGTCTGTCATTCCAATTAAAAAAACAAGATATAAGCAAAATTCCAACCAACGCCGTTTTCATTCATCAATGAACCAAGGACAAAATTTGAAATCAACGCATATGCCACTCAACCTATCTGGCGCGAGACCGGCCAAGGCGAGCAATGTGTTTTCTCGCTACATATACAATCGCAGTCGTAGTAGTGTGCTGCGCAGTACTGGACTGGGGCAGACACGATTCAGGTCGTAGCTTCTCCAAGAAGTCGCCTACTCATGTTGAGAGGCAGATCTGGCCGTGTAAGCCGATCTCGGCATGCCCATGCGGCTCTCGACCCGACTGCGCTCGCCAACGCGGCTCCGACTGTCCATCCGACTGCGGCTGTCCATGCGGCTGCGACTGTCACGGCTAGTCCTCGAGCGGGCGGACCGCGCGGTGCGAGCGGTACGGGCGGTGCGGGCGGTGCGGGCTCCTCTGCGGCCGGAGCTCGCGCTGCTGGTGCCGGTGTAGTCGGAGTAGCTGTAGTAGGAGTAGGAGTCGTTGTAGCGCGATGAGCCCTTGCGCGAGGGCTCCTTCTTGTCCTTTTTCTTCATGTTGAGCAGGGCCAGCAGGGTGGCGGCACCGCTGGCGATGCCGAGCCACTTGGCGCCGCTGCTCGACTTCTTCTCGCTGCGGCGGTCGCTGACGGACGAGGGACGGCCGCCGCCGCCGCCGAACCAGCCTGAATGGCGGTCGCGGCGGGTGTGGCCCGAGGCGCTCCGGTCGTCGTAGGGGTCGCCCTTGTCGCGCTTCTTGCCGAAGATGGCGTGGAAGAGGCCGCGGGCGATGCAGCAGAAGCAGAGCAGGATGAGCAGGCCGGCGGCGGCGAGCGAGCCGATGACGATGCCGGCAATGGCGCCGCCGCTCAGCTTGTTGTTGGCGGTGCCGGGGGAGGCACCGCCAGCGCCGTCGGGGTCCTGGGTGCTGGTGGGGGTGCGGCTGCTGCTGGTGGAGGACGAGGTCGGGGTGGCGGTGCCGGTGGTGAGGCCCGGGTCGGTGGTGCGGATGCCGGTGCCGGTAATGGTGGTGGTGCCGGTGACGCGATACGGGGCCGAGTACTGGGTGGTGACGACGCCGTTGGAGGTGACGATGACGGTGGTGGGCTCGCCGTAGCCGGGCTTGGCGGAGCACTGCCCCTGCCAGGCGCACGTCTGCCAGCCGGCGCAGCAAATCTCGCCGCAGGCGGCCCACTCGGGGCGCTGGGGCACGCAGGCGACGCCGGCGGTGGGCGCGGGCGGCGGCACGAACCAGGTGAGGATGGTGCTGGTGTAGGTGCGCGTCTCGGTCCAGGTGGTGGTGTAGAGCGGCGAGGCGACGGCGCCGCTGGCGAGGCACGTCGCGACGTTGTTGGGCAGCGTCGTGCAGTGCTCGTTGCTGCCGCAGCAGTACTGCCCGCTGTCGCCGCAGACGCTGGCGCAGGTCCGCCCGACGAGGTAGGCGTAGCGGCTGTCGTGGAGGATGTCGCCTCTGGGGTACGGCGAGGCGGTGATGGTCGAGGCCGAGGCGGCGAGGAGGAGGAGGAGGGGAGCCTGTCGTTTCGTACTTGTCCGCCGTGATGAGGCGGACGACGACGGAGGAATGCGAATCCCCATTGTGGTGGTGGCGGCGGGGGAAATCCTGCCCGAAGCAGAGGCTCCGAGGGAGGAGAGCTGGGGCGTGGTGGTTGTCTGATTCTCTGGAATCTTGAATGGGAGGCTGTTTTGGCACTGGAATGCGCAAAGGGCGGGCCGGCCCGAGAGTCGGCGGGCAGAGGGGAGGAGGAGTGTAATTGGCACTGTGAGCGATGCAAGCCGGCTCAAGGTTCAACGGTTTCCTGTGTGCACGAGGAAACTCTCCGGCAGAGCAGTAGTTTGACAGTAGTTTGTTAGAGGGAAAAGAGTAGCAAAGGAAGAAGGAATAAAAAGCACGATGCGGTGCTGCGTCGGGGCGCCATGCATAACTTGGACTTTTAAAAAGAAGGTTGGAGGTTGGGGGAGGCTTCTGCGCTAAAAAATAAAAAAAAGTCGACGGTTTTCCCAGCCTCCCGTATATTTAGCGTATATTTAGCTGTTTGCCAACGCCTAGGCCTGCCAGCCCCTCCATTTCGCGAAACCAAGGCCCGACCAGCCAAAAGATGAGCTATGTACTCCGTACAACGCGCGGATTTTTTACTTTGACATTTAAAAATAAAAATAAACCATTCGTCCTATCCTCATGTTCCTGCATTGTCCTGTTGACCCCCTGTCTAGCGCCGAGTCGCATCCAGGAACAAGGGTCAGGGCCAGCCACGTCGGCTGACGGTGAGGCCTTGAGGCACCTCGATTTTTAGTGCTACATGGTACTAATATCTCGCCGTGTCCTTGTCCTGGCTGTACCTCGTATTTGCGTCCTTGTTTTTCCTTGGTTAATAATCTGCCAGCAGAGCAGTACGCCTACATCATCTGAGCGTTTGCCTGTCTGCCTGTCTGCCTGTTTGTCATCCTGTAGGGAGGTACTCTTCTACAGCTGGCATCTCCACCTCGCAACTTGGGCTGTTTCTCTTCCAACCGTGCCCAATGGGCCACTGGCTCACAGCTCAACAAGACACGAGTGCCACCCGCCCTTGTCGCCCAATACCCAATGCTCAGCCGCGCCCGGAATCAACGGGCTCCTGTCAGTCACACGGGCAAGCCGTCGTGTCTAGCGTCCCGTTCATCGCCGGCCCGGCTCGGGTCACTCTAGCGGTGGGCTCGCTGCATGTCTCGATCGCCGCCGCTTACTACCCTGCATTGCTGCCATGAACAAAACAACACACCTTCACGAGGCCAAGGCTCGGCATCACGGGACAGCACTGGCTCGAATCTGCATCAATTGGCCCGGTCTGCTGGGTTAGGTGGTGTGGGCTTGTTGACCAAGCATGACAACATGCATCCATGCCCTACCGAGTCGAACCATCTCCCGCAACCGATTCACCGCTATAATAACGTGCATACACCCTCCGCCGCCGGCTGACATTGATATTCTCACATTGGTGGGCACCAAGCACGATAAGCCATCCAAGGTTTGCCACTCCAGTCTCCAGACGGAGAATTGCATCCACCCATGTCGGAGAGCTTCTTGATGCCAGTCAGGCATTCGCCATCCGTATACATGTAGACTGCTCCCCGTTTCATTAGCTGTACATCTCCCTCTCCCATAAAATAGTATAGTATATGCTCACGGTTACATCCTTGGATATTCGTCCACTGCGAAATGGATAGCACGCCCTCCTGCTCCAGCCTGTGGCAGCCCTGCGGCTCGCCATAGTTGTGCTCGGCCAGGTCCGTCATGCAGACGCGCACGTTGCCAAGTCGCTTGCCCGGCCCGTGGTTGGCACAGTCATCGTTGCCAAATAGGTAGAACTGAGTCACAGGCGCGAGGTGGTCACGGCACTCTTGGTAGTCTGCAACAGTGGGCGTGATGAGGGCGGCCACAGCCGAGGAGATGAACAGGAAGACGCGCATCATGGTCGATGGTCCTGCGGCTGCACTCTTGTCGAGAGCGGCCTCTTTTTTATACATTTGGCATCTCACCGAGCGGCTCAAATTCCCGCCGACGCACCCGCCGACTCGCATCCCACAGCCTAGCTTACGCAGAAAGTGGTGAGAATAACTATGGCATCCCACAGCCTAGCTTACGCAGAAAGTGGTGAGAATATGGTAGCACCATGATCCTGAAGGATGAACCTCTGCGACGGACGTGGTCAGGCCGCTACAGCCCGTCATGATACTCGACGGGCTTGTCGGAGAAAGCGTGCGATATTCCCGGCGTCATCTGTCATCTCCTGTGTATCGTTTCTGTATACGGGACTTGTTTCGATTTACTTTTCGTTCCAATTTCCAACTTCCAACTTCATTGCTCAGTTGAGTTCGACTTGGTTGATGACGCTTTTGCTGGTGGCTGGAACTAGCACAGCCACACATGGCCGCCGCCTCAGTGGGGTCCCTCTGTGGCTTGACATCGATAGCATGGTTAAGCTCTCTCCATTGGTAGGCTGCATCATCACCAGACTGCACCTCACCTTCTCCCTCCGCTGGCGTCTCTGGCCATCCACCCCCATCAACCCAATCCGCCGCCGAACTTGGACCGGATTGTCTGCTCCCTCGCACCTACCCCTTCTCTCTCCTCCTTCCGCCGCGACGCGCACACGGCCAACCATGTCGCTCGACCCGCCGACGTACCTCGCTTCCCTCCAGAGCAACATCCGCCAGCGGCCCATTCCCTGGGAGGGAGCGGTCCGCGCCGGCACCCTCACCGAGGACCAGCACGCCAAGATTCGCGCCGTCGACAAGGCCAAGAAGCCCGGGCAGCGCAAGGAGATTGTCGAGGCCGACCTCGATGGCTACCGCGCGCTTTTCGTTGGCGGCAATGGCAAGCCCAGTGTTCTCGAGACGGCTGCCAAGCAGGCCAACGTCATCCAGTATATCCTTGTTCTGCTTGCCGACGTCTTGGACGGTACGTTGATACTTGAAACTGTAGGGCTACAGGAGGAAGTAGCGGACATGTCATCAAAGTCCCAGAATTTCTACCGCCCTCATTTATACCTCGCAAGTCTCTCCTCTACATTTACTGACATTCACCTTTTTGTTTTCTTTAGCTGTTCCATCCCTAGCCAAAGCTCTTTTCAAGAATCCCGAGCCATACACGCACTTCCTACCACTGCTTCACTCCAACACCACCGAGGACCACATTCCTTTGCTCACCTCGCATGCATTGACCACGCTCATGGCGCTCTCGTGCGATGAGTCCAAGGCGACCGTCCAGCAGGCCCTTCCCGTACTTTTCACATACATCTCGGGACTGGCAAAGAGCACTGACGCTGGTCTGCAAGACATTGCCGTGCAGGAATACTCGACCCTGCTGAGAAGCCATGCCTCCCGCGAGCAGTTCTGGAACCAGCGCAGCGAGACGATTGCGCCGCTCATCAAGATTCTCCACAGCGCTGCAGGTGTCAGCAACTCAGGCAATGCGTCAGCTACCCTGTGGAGCGGGAGCACCAATGGCCGCACCGCCGCCGCCGAAGGGTCTGTCGGTGGCGGCGTTGGCCTGCAGCTGCTCTACCACGTCCTGTTGGTCTTGTGGCAGATGAGCTTCGAGGCCGATGAGATTGGTCAAGATCTCGACACGTATGTTCCCCTTTTCTACCAGTAGATGCATGCTTACAGTATTAGCGAGTACGATATTGTCCTCCTGTACACACACCTCCTGCGGCTGTCGCCCAAAGAGAAGACGAGCCGACTGATTCTCTCGACACTGTACAACCTGCTGTCCAAGAACCAAACGTCACTGCTTCCCACGGCGGTCCTCGCACGCCTGCCGCCTCTGCTGGAAACGCTCGGTGCTCGTCACCTCAGCGATGTCGACTTGCTCGAGGACATGGAGAATCTAAAGGTCATGCTCGAGGATTACACCAAGACCAAGACGACGTTTGATGAGTACGTGGCCGAGGTGCAGACGGGCCACCTGCGCTGGTCACCACCCCACAGGAACCAAGTATTCTGGGCAGAAAATGCGCGAAAGATTTTGGAACACCAGAATGGCGAAATTCCGCGTCAACTAGCCGAGATTATGAAGAAGCCGTGGGACAACGACAAGCAAGTATTGGCCATTGCGTGCAACGATGTCAGCTGCCTTGTCAAGGAAGTACCGGAAAAGAGGTGGCAGCTGGAAAAGGCCGGCCTCAAGAGGAGAATCATGGAGCTTATGCAGTCGGAAGATGAGAATGTGCGATGGGAAAGCCTGCGAGCGCTGGGAGGCTGGCTCAAGTACAGCTTCGAGCAGACGGCCTAGGAGGGCGGCTTGGACGAGGCCGAGTATATTTGCCGAGGATAGATGCTGCACAGCGGATAGACACAGCGACTATTCTTGTACATGGCGTGTTTTTTTGGGTGTTAGTATGAGCAATTCTTGGTTGTAGATGTGCGAGGTAATGGAGTGATTGCATGTACAATGGACAGAGTGTATTGGAATATGTTTTGGACGGCGGTGCGTGTGACTGTGTGTGACTGTGTGTGATGGTATCCTGATTTTCAGTCGCGCGTATGCATATGCATGGACGGATATGCCGCTGGAGAGTATTATTATTATTGCCTGCAGATTGAATAACTGTTTGGTAATGAGGTTTCGTAGGACAGTGGGCGATTTCGCAGTAGGAGCGCTGAAGAAAGTAGGCTACAGCGGTTAAGCCCCCTACAAGAAGCCCCAGACCCTGCTGCTGTCACCCGGATCCGTCTTCGATATCGGAGGTCTTGAGCCTCAAGTCCGGGGGTACCCGAGCCCCACCACAGCTTGGGCTGTTACGTACCAGGAACTGCTAAAACATGCAATTCGGGAAAACTCTCTGATTCTCTTCTGCCGGGACCACGAGCCGCATCCTCCTTCTCCCCTCGACCACTCTTCTCTCTCTGTATCTTTCTGTCTCGCCGTGTCTGTGACTTGTAGCCGCGGCCGCCTCTCGTCAATTGAACTCGCCAACTTCTTCCCCGACAAACGGCCCACCAAGATGATGAAGGGCATCGCCATGGCTGTGCGGGCTCGTCCTGCTCTGGCCGCCAGCCGCCTCACCACCGCCGCCGCCGCCCGTGTCCTCTGCCAGCGCGGCAACCAGCGTCACGGCTCCGGGACCGCGGCCGGTGGCGCCCTCAAGAAGACGCCGCTTTACGACTTGCACGTCGCCCGCGGCGGCAAGATGGTGCCCTTTGCCGGCTACCACATGCCCGTGCAGTACAGCGCCCAGTCGCTGACGGACTCACACCACTTCACCCGCCAGCACGCCTCCCTCTTTGACGTGTCGCACATGGTGCAGCACATCTTCAAGGGGCCCCGCGCGGCCGCCTTTCTGGAGCGCGTCACGCCCTCGGCGTGGGCCACGCAGGGCGCCATGCAGAGCAAGCTGACGGCGCTGCTGTGGCCGGGCACGGGCGGCATCGTCGACGACACCGTCATCACGCGCCTCGGCGAGGACGAGTACTACGTCGTCACCAACGGCGCGTGCCTCGACAAGGACACCAAGTACTTTGACGAGCAGCTCGGCCAGTTTGGCGCCGGCGTGGAGTGGACGCGCCTCGATAACTCGGGCCTCTTTGCGCTGCAGGGCCCGCAGGCCGCCGAGATTCTCGCCCAAGTACTCGACAGAGAGTATGCCGACGTGAACCTAGAGCGCCTGTACTTTGGCAACGCCGTGTGGGCGCAGCTCAAACTGGCCGACGGCAGCTCGACGCACCCCGTGCTCATCTCGCGCGGCGGCTACACGGGCGAGGACGGCTTCGAGGTGTCGTTCAACGGGCAGCAGTACCCCGCGTTTGACACGACGACGCCGGCCGTCGAGGCGCTCCTGGCGGCTGCGGGCCCGGAGCGGCTGCAGCTGGCCGGGCTCGGGGCGCGCGACTCGCTGCGGCTCGAGGCCGGCATGTGCCTCTACGGGCACGACCTCGACGACGGCATCACGCCCGTCGAGGCGGGCCTGAGCTGGATCATCCCCAAGGAGCGGCGCGCGGCCGACGCGGGCTTCCACGGCGCCGAGGTCCTGGTGGCGCAGATGACGCCGCGCAGCAAGGGCGGTGCGGGGGTGCAGAGGCGCCGCGTCGGGTTCGTGGTGGAGGGCGCGCCGGCGCGCGAGGGCGCGACGGTCGAAAAGGACGGCGAGAAAATCGGCGACGTCACGTCGGGCGTGCCCAGCCCGACGCTCGGCAAGAACATCGCCATGGGCTACGTCAAGGACGGCCTGCACAAGGCCGGCACAGAGGTCGACGTCGTCGTCCGCGGGCGCAAGCGCAAGGCCGTCGTGGCCAAGATGCCCTTTATCCAGACTCGGTACTGGAAGGGAGATGCGTAAGGGGATAAGGATCTCCACAGGACAAGAAGAAAAGAAAAAAGATTTTTTGCGTCCTTTTTTTTGGTCTTGTTTCAACCCATAAGACTTTTTAGGTTATTAGTTTCAACATGTACTCTTTATAGGACTGGAGTTTTTTTTTTTTTTGATGCGGATGATACCCAAGACGAGGTCGCTACGAAAGGAGCCAAGACATGGTAGATAGCAGGTTATGAGGCGTTTGCAATGCTGGGTGTGAGCATCGACTTGACTCGTTCCATCTCGAGGTCCTATGGTACGTTGAGATGGGCACATTTACCAAGAGTAACCTAGGTATGAAGCAGAAAATTGGCACAGGGCACCTTGAGCCGATGACGGCGGGTCGTGGCCAATGCGTCGTGAGAGCGACACGGATCGATCTTGGCCATGCCGGCGGCTGCAGCTGTCCGTTTGCGCTCCTCCTTTCTTGTTTTTCACACATTGGCAAATTCTTTACTGCTCCAACACCCACCCCCCAACATGACTTATTATCATTAGTACGCGCCTTCTGAACAAATCACACCCGCGGCGCCCTCTGGCGCCCACTGAACATCTCACGAACCCCATACGAAACGCCCTAGCGTCGGTGCCGTGTCCGCTTTCGCCGGCGGCCTTGGAATCTGCATCTTTGTCGCTTCCCCAATCCTCGGAACTGTTGGAGGGCGCACACAGCAACCCCCCCACTGAATCCCCGTCGACTCATAATGCGAAAATGAGAAAATGAGCTTCCCACCCGTTTCGCCTTGTCCAAAAGGAATTGTCTGATTCCGCACACGTCCAATTCCGTGGTATCCATTTGTGGCGTGGAGACGGCCGCCGGCCAAGTGACCACCCGCCCCAATCTGGTAACCTTGTCGACCGGCTTTATCAACCCCATTCCTCTGCTTTGCTGCATTTTCAATCTGTCCATTTTTGCTTTCCATAATACATTGATTGGAATCGCAAGGAAAATGCTCTCCTCGGTTCGCGCAGGCGCCCGTCGCCTCCCTCGCCATGTCACCAGGCTGCAGGCCGTGCGGCCCATGGCGACGGCCTCGTCCGTCTTCCCAAACGAGCCTCCAAAGCCGGCCGTCCAGACAGCGATTCCCGGGCCGCGCTCCAAGGCCGCGCTGGCCAAGCTGGAAAAGGTCTTTGACACGCGGAGCATGAACTTTGTCGCCGACTATGACAAGTGCCACGGAAACTAGTGAGCAGCTTGCGCCGCGTCTTCTTTTAGGCCATTGTCGCTAATTCGTCGAAACAGCATCGTAGACCATGATGGCAACGTTCTCCTCGATGCGTGCGTACTACCACCGCCTCCACCTGAGCCTTGCACAGTGCAAGAGACGCGCTGACAACAAAGGCAGATTCGCCCAGATTGCGTCCATCCCTCTAGGCTACAACAACCCTCACCTGCTTGAAGTTGCCGACACGCCGCAGATGAAGAGCGCCATTGTCAATCGTCCCGCCCTCGGCGCGTTCCCCTCGTCCGAATGGGCCGACATCCTCGAGACAGGCCTGCTGAAAGCCGCGCCCGCCGGCTTCACCCAGGTGCTCACGTCCATGACGGGCTCCGACGCCAACGAGCTGGCTTTTAAAGCCGCCTTTATCTGGCGCCGCACCCAGGAGCGCCGCGGCGCCGACTTCACCCCCGAAGAGCTCGCCTCCGTCATGCACAACGCCGAGCCCGGCGCGCCCAAGTACTCCATCCTCTCCTTCCACGGCGGCTTCCACGGCCGCCTCTTTGGCAGCCTGAGCACCACGCGCAGCAAGGCCATCCACAAGCTCGACATTCCCGCCTTTGACTGGCCGGCCGCGCCGTTTCCCCAGCTGCAGTACCCGTTGGAAGACCACGCCGCTGCCAACGCGGCCGAAGAGGAGCGCTGCCTTGCCGAGACGGAGCGCCTGCTGACGTCATGGCCACAGCCCGTGGCCGCCGTCATCGTGGAGCCGATTCAGTCCGAGGGCGGCGACAACCACGCGTCGCCCGCCTTTTTCCGGCGCCTGCGCGAAATCACCGCCGCCCACAAGGTGCTCCTCATTGTCGATGAGGTGCAGACGGGCGTCGGCGCCACCGGCCGCTTCTGGGCCCACGAGCATTGGGAACTACCCTCGCCGCCTGACATGGTGACGTTTTCGAAAAAGGCCCAGGCCGCGGGCTTCTACTACCGCGACGACGCCCTGCGCCCGGACAAGCCGTACCGCCAGTACAACACGTGGATGGGCGACCCGGCGCGCGCCCTGCTGTTCCGCGGCATCCACGACGAGGTGGCGCGGCTGGGCCTCGTGGAGCGCACCGCTCAGGTCGGCCGCTACCTGTACGGGAAGCTCGAGGCGCTGGCGGCGCGGTACCCGGGCGAGGTGCAGAACCTGCGCGGCAAGGGCCGCGGCACGTTTATCGCGTTTGACAGCCCCCGGAGGGAGCACGTGCTGGCCAAGGCCAAGGCCAATGGCTTGAATATCGGGGCGAGTGGCGACAGGGCGATTCGTCTGCGGCCTATGCTGGTGTTTGAGGAGAAGCACGGTACGTTGTCGATTTGTTCTCCGCTTCATGGTGATGCTAATTTTGCTGCAGCGGATATTTTGATTGACATCCTGGAGACTGCCATTAAGAAGTAATGGCTGGGCCGGCACACGTGCCGTATCGCGTTACATCTGGTCATGTAGCACTGAAAAGTTGGAAATTGTATCTTGTCAAACTTGTGACGGGATAGAAGCCGATTGTGTAGTCGATGCCTGTGTTGCGCCTGTGACGAGCCAGACTGACAGTATATAAGCCATCCTTGCACATAAAAAGAAACAAAGCTGCAATTTAGCTATACTGTAAGAAAAGATGCTCTTCCTCGAATCGCCTAAATGAAACGCCCAGATAATCAGTCTCCTTACCCGAGCTTTCTGTATAAACCCGGCTTAGACCACCACCAACAACCAACATAACAACCTCCAAATCTCCATCTGCAGTGTTTTTTCTTGTTTTTTCTAGTCTTTTGATGCAAAATCATCATTCCAATTCTATGCTGGGCTGCTTGTAATGCAAAATCATCACGTCCATTTCTAATTCTATATCCAGTGAAAGGAAACCAAGCAAAAAAAAACACCCAAAACCGCAACTACCACGGCACCATGGCTCCCCCTTCCTTCATGACCTTGTCCAGGCGTTGCGGCATCAGCTCCACCCAGAGGTTGACGCGCTCCTGGTCGACGGCGGCCCAGGCCTGACGCGCGGCGCGCTGCAGCGTGGCCGGCTCCCAGTCCTGCAGCGGCGGCTCCATGGTCCACTGCTTGCCGGGGGGGAAGACGACGTCGAGCGGGCAGAGGTCGGGGGCGTCGGCGCAGCCCCGGTGGCGGCGCAGGCCGCGCGCGTCCTTCCACGCCTCGGCGACCTTGTCGATGGCGTTGCCGCCCGCCGCGTGCGGGTTGTGCTCCTCCTCCCATATGACGCCGCCGCTGACATCCTCCCCGCCCCAACCCTGCACGTGCTGCTCGAGGACAACGCTCCGGTACGCCGCCGGCGTCATGATGCCCAGCGACTTGGGCCCCGTCTGCTCGTCGTAGAAGACGAGCTCGCTGCGGTACCCGTAGCCAATCGCCGCCCAGGCGTGCACGCGGCGAATGTCGCGGTCCCAGCCGAGCGGCGGCGGCGGCGGCGGCTGCTGCTGCTCGTCGGCGGCCGTCTGGCACGGCGGGCAGGCGTACTTTTCGCCCGGGCGCGGCAGCAGGCGCACCCGGCCGTCGACGCCAAACGCAAAGTGCAGCTCGCCGCTGAAGCGCACGCGCTTCCAGTCCTCGGCGTCGGGCAGCGCCTTGCGCCTGGTGCGGGCGTACTCGACGCGCGCGGCGCGGTGTCGCGCATTCACCCACGTGCCCTCGCAGCGCAGGCAGCGGCGGTAGAGCAGCGTTCCCATGGCGCGCCGCATCGTGCGCGCGTTGAACGTGGCCTGCAGCCCAAACGCCCTGCCCTGCCGCATCATGCTCTCCCACGTCGGGCCTTCCACCTTGGCGGCGGCGGCGACAACACCCACCGGGGCCGTCGCCGCTGTCTCAACGTCCTCGCCGCCGCCGGCCCCCCCCACGTCCTCCGTCGTGGCGTGCCCGCTGTCCTGCGACTCCTCGCTCCACGCCCGGGCCGCCAGCATGGTCGTCGTCGTGGCCTCGTCAAAGGTCGCGCAGCCGACGTCGCTCCACAGCAGGTACTCGAGAAACTTGAGCACCGGCTTGGAGATCTTGGCCGGGCGGCCGCGCGACTCGACCCAGTCGGGCTCCTCGGCGCGCGTCGTCTGCGCCGTAATGGCCGAGTAGCCCTGGGCCCGCGACAGGCCAAAGTGGCGAAAGATGGCCGTCTTGTTGACGACGAGGCCCGTGGCCCGCAGGTACGACAGCGCGCCTCGGACCATGGCCTTTTGCGGCGTGTCACCGTGTGTGTAACCGGCGGGTGACATTTTCGAGGGGGCGGGCGGGTAGCGCGGGTTTTCTTTTTTCTTTTTTTTTAAAAAAGTTTTTCAAAGTTTTCCTTTTTCTTTTTTTCGGCGTGTAAGTCGGGCTAACAAGAACTGCGTGTTGTCGTCGCCTTACACGCCTGTTGTGTCACAAGTCCAACTTGGCAAAAGCGTATAGTATTTTTTTTTTCTTGTCGTCAACCCTCGCCGCGTATAGTAACCCTGTTCTTGCAGGAGGGAAAGTTTTTCGATCCGACAATTTGCTCCCGTCACGTCACACAAACATTCTTCGAGCGCCCGCAGGCTGCAGCTCCCGTCACAGCCACGTGACGAATCACACGGAGGCGGCGAAACCCGAGTGCAAGAAAAAAAAAAAGTAAAGAAGAGCTACAAGTACGAGGCGTTCAGTCTGGAAGCCGGGTACATGTCTCAAATAGTGTCTTGTATCTATTCAACTGATTCTGTAGCTGATGGTGGCGCTGAGCATGTTCTACCCAACGGCAGCACGAGGCCGGACAAAAAGTTTGTACCCGCAAGGGGAAATGTGAAAGACAACAAGATGAATCGCGATAGCTGGAATGGTATACATGGCCTGGCAAGTACGTTCCGGCTAACCTTGTTGCTTGTCGGTGCCAATAAGCCGCCTGGAGAGGCCCGAGATCCAGACCGCCAGTATATACGGACATACTTCATCGTCATCTTTGTCTCGGCATTGATTTTGTCGTGGCCCCATGGCCGCCTTTTGTCAAAAAGGAGCTGAATATAATGGCTGTGGCTGGCGGGGGACTCGTGGTCGGAATTCTTCAAGATACCCTGCCCAGCAACCGGGATGGCTTCAAGCCCAACAGGGTTCGTACTTGCCAGGACTCGGGCTACAGTTTCACGAGTCATGGCAGAGATTTCATTCGGTCTCATCCCGGACTAGAATTTCTTATCTGTAGAACGGCCATGCCATTTGGAGCGCATAGCTGATGCCTGTTCGCCCCAGCGCAAATACATACATATGTATCAACCAGCCACCACTTATCTAGTCAGTCAATCAGTCAGTCAATCAATCAGTCAATCAGTCAGTCAGTCAAATCTCACTCTGACCTCGCGAACAACAAGCACTACACCATCACCAGCAAGCAAAGCAAAATATCAATGTAGTCTGGTCCAGCCCAGAGGCTTGGCAATCAGATCCACCTATCATGTTTATATATATACCTGTTACTATACAAGTCATCGCTCGCGGCGACTAATAAATTTCCATCTCCCCAAGATCAAATATCCTCCAGTCCCCAGGTGAAGGAGAAATAGTTGCATAGAATCCGACCAATAAAGAAGCGAAAAAATATGGCCAACCAATTAGTTGTACTAGAAGATTAAGTTTGTGTGTTTCCGATATACCAGTATCCCTGCGAGCTCACTGAGGAAACTCGCCCATTGTGTTTCCATGCTGTGTGTGTGTGTGATGTGAGACGATATGTGCTTTTGTTGATGGTTTCGTACTCCATCGTTTGACTTTCGAGGCAAGTCAGATTCGAATCCCGCCCAAAAACGCCGTTGAATCCAAAACTCGATTCCCAAAATTTCCCTTCTATATTTCCGCTTTTGTGACATATTTTCATGTATATCTTGGGCCTTGGCATCACGCCTTGCCGGCGTCACGGACCGTTTGAATAAACCTGTCCTCAACGCCAATCTTGCCAACCGCACGAGGTACGGTGCTGTTGGTGGATGCCTTGGCCATGACGGCCCAAATCTCGTCAGGCGTCTTGCTACCAAGCAGGTCCATCTCGCGCTCCATCAGCACGGCGACAGCAGCGCGGACCAGCAGCGCATCGCCCTCAAAGACGTACACGTCCCACAGGCGAGCGGCTTCGTCAATGGTGAGCAAGCTAGTAAAGATGCTGGAGAAGACATTGCACAGGTACACCTCCGGGACAAGGTCGGGCACACCGGTGGTCAAGTGGTCGTGGAGCGTCGTCGACTTGTGGCTGAGGGTGCGAAGAACGAGGTTGTAAGCAGACACCTGCGCCGTAGCGTCGGATGTTTGAAAGGACAGCGGCAAAGATCGGTTCAAAATATTGGCGAGGGCGACAAAGGCAGTCTCGGGATCGGGAAGATTGAGTAGCAAAAGTGCCGCAATAGTCTGCACGTGATGTCAGCATGGTAAAACCAGGGGGTTAAACGACTCGTGTTTGGGTCAACGTACATTGCATCCAGGAACATAGCCGATGTCGACGCGGTACATGGCGTACGCAGACAACACGTCGACAAGGGCTGTATGAAGAGGACCTCCTTCTTGGAAGATGCGCAGCTCGGTCCAGGTATTGTTGGTAGCGGCGTGGCGGATATCTTGGAACCAGGTAGCCTTTTCTTCGTCGCCCTCTTCCGCCTCGCCCTCTTTGATGCGCTGTTCCACGCCCTGGGCTCGGCCCAGAGCGGCCCGGAAAGAGGCGGCAGACAATCCAAGCTCGTTGCCAATGGCCTTGGACCAGACAGCGCCACGGCTGCGAGGGGCAATTCCGCGCCACCACATGTCGCGGGTGCGGCGTTCGCGAATGGCGTCGTTCCAGCGTGGGATGATGTCATCTTCCCACAGATGCATCAGAGTCTCTGCGTTGTTGTCACGGTGCGTGGTCCGGGCTCTTCGGGCTGCTTCGCGACGCTCGTCAGCCTTGACGCTGGCTGCCATCATCCTCTGGTACTGCTTGACATGGCGACGCTCCTCGGCGGGGTCCTTGGGAGGGAGCCACGACGGGCGCGTTCTGCTGAGAACAGCTTTTTTTTCCTTGGAAATGGGCAGAGGGTCGACCATGTTGTCTGTTCGACGCAGGGGCGGTAGCTCGGGGGTGGAGGACTTGCCGCGCTCTTTGCGGTCGTACGCATAATCCAGCGTCTGAGAGGAAGCCCAGGTGTTGGGACGGGCAGCAGAGGGACGGCGCGAATGTACCACCTCAACCTCGTCAGCATGCTCCTCTAGTTTCTCGGTAAGAGCACGGGCTTCGGCATTGAGTTCGGCGTGAGCCAGGTTCCAGCTGTAGGCGCGTGTCTTCATTGGGCTCGTTGGGCGCTTCTCTGCGTCGGATTTCCAGGTGGGCGATCGGAGCGATCCCTGGGCTTGGGCCACGGCAGGCGTGCCATTGCCGACACTGCGAACTCGCTCCTTTGTGGTTCTCTCGGGAGAGGTGCTTGTGGATGTTATTCGGCTGGGCGGACGCTCATGCTGCGGGCGAGGGGATAGGGGAACATTGTCGAGGACAAGACCGTCGGGGATGTCATCGTCCTCGTCCTCGTCACATTCTTGCTCGAGATCGGATATGGACTTGCGGTCGTTATTGGCTTGCCAGCTGCCTCGACGCGGGCGAGGAGGATAGAAGGAGCCGTCGCGGGACGGACTAGGGAGAGCCGGGCTGATGCTGCGCTGGCGATGGACGGGTAGCGAGGTGGTGGAATGCCCTTTTTTCAAGGTAATAGGGCGGGGGTCGGTCAGGGCAGCAGTGCTAGTGCTGCGCGGGTTGGCGGAATATACATTATTTCGAAGATTAGGAAAGGAGCGTCTCGGGGCCGGCGCTCTTTTAGCGTTGCCGGCGGCGAGGGTGCGTCCAACAGCGGCCGGAGCGGCACCGTTGGTCGTGGGCGATGTGATGCGGCGGGTGAGGATTTGGGCCGAGGCCTTGGGGGTGGTGCTGTGCTCGTCGTCGAGCCCAATGTCCTCAAAGTGGCCAATGTCGGCAAGGACACTGCCGTCGTCGCTGGTGAGGGAGTGAAAGGACGACGACTTTGAGCTTTTGGAGGTCGTCATGCCTGGGGGAGAGTCAGGACTTTGGAGCATGGTAGCGACGGCGTAGGTGGAGCTCATGGCCACATTGCAGGTTGGCGGATGTATTAGATGCGATGAATTGAGGTGAAGAGTCGGAAAAGTATAGACGGGCGAGGTTTGTACAGGATCGATGAAAAGACGTTGGACTTGTGCGCAGGTGTGGCGTGCGTGAGGGCGGACAGCAGCGTGCGAGGGGTCGATTGCCGGACAAGGGGCAACCGGGCTTGAGCGAGTGACAACGGCGGTGTGTAGGCGAGAGAGTGAAGTAGAAGGGAAAAAAATGCGGCGAGTAGACAAGATGCAACAAGTAATGTGGATTAGTTAGAATTGAGACGGGGGGGAAGTAAGAGAATGAGTGAAGGGAAAAAGAACGATATGTGAAGCCAAAGAGGATGAACAGTGACGGGCCAGGGGAGACAGGGCGGCGAGACTCGTCGATGACGGTAGCGAGTATGCTATTTGTTAGCGTAGGAGTCGGCTCACTCAGGCTCCATGTATCTTGCCCATGTGAGAGCTTATAAAAGGTACCTGATATGGTAGGTCGGTGACCAGGCCACAGAGCAAGGCCCAGAGACAGGGGTGGAAGTGGCCTTGCAGGGCGATGGAACACTGCATCTGCCCCTGTAAGCGCTGTCGAAAGCCCTGCTGAGCTGGCACCTGTGCGTGCGTGTCCGGCTGTTCTAGTTGCTGTATCTTAGTAGAAATGCAGTACCGTGCTCCGTGGGGCATCCAAGCACGTACCAGTCATAAATCGAGTACTCCGTAGCGAGGCCCAAAAAAAAAAANAAAAAGAGAATACCTTGGTACCGGGAACCTAACTGGCAGCAGGGTTGTTCGAGGCAGACTCAGGTACCACCTCTGCTGGTACGATTGCTGGTGGAGTCTCAGCACGCGCCTCGCTGGAGCCCGCTGGAACCACTGGCCAGTGACAGTGGTGCACATGACAATCACCCATCGCATCACACTGAATCAAAATAGCACAACATGCCAGTTGAATTGTCTCGACACAACAATGGACCTGCTGGTCCATTGTTTGTATTTGTTTATTTATCTTTCGGCCGTGTTGCCGACTCACGGAGTAACTACATAGACTCAAAAATTGTTATCTTTTGGCTTCGCTTCGCTCGATTACCTGCTGCAGGCACCTCCGATGCAACCGGGTCAGCCGCTGTTAACCTGTTAACCGGTAACAACCGTAACAACCAATAAGCAAGCCCTGGCTCCCTCCTTGGTCCTCTAAATATAATTAGCGCTCCAGTTTATTTTGGCCGGCGCTCCAACGAGACTGTGACTCTGTTAGTTAGTGCCCCCAACCTTGGCAACGTGCATGCTCCCAATTGCAACCTTTACCAAACCGTTTCCGGTGTCTCAGAGCCTGCAACGCCATGTCTGTAAAATCCAAGAATATGTGCTCGTGGCCGTGTCTCTGCAACCAAGATTCAACACTAACTTGGCCACCCCCATCTGACGTTAGCCTCACGGCACCATGGCCCATACCCGTCGTGTCGTGTCGTGCCATTGGCCCTGGCTTTCCCCGAACTAACTATTACTCCATGCCTAATTATCGTCCTGGCAGGATGAACATAGTTTAAGAAGAAAAATTCTCCTTTTCCAAGGGCGGCACTCCCAAGCCAGCCAGGACAGACGGGGTGGCGCGCCGCCAATGCAAGCCACCGCCGCAGCCTGTTCATCCTATCGAATCATGTAGCAAGCCGATAATGCCGTCTGGTTATCTATCCGCCTATTATTATTACATATCTAGTTACCAAGAATTGTCAACAAAAGAGGGTTGCAGCTCAGTAAATTAATAAAGTCCAGACCGAAGCACTGGCAGCTCAGGAATCAACATTTCCGAGACAAGCAGCACTGTCACAACTGACGGTCAAGAACCTGCCTTTTTTGAGTTTGTGAAGATGACTTTGATAGACAAAAGACATGTAGTCACACCTACTCATCTCTCAGTAGACGACAAGCACACAGCATCACACAAGCTTCGTTCCGCGCCGCCATTTCCTACACCATGATAACTAGCACACACCTACAGGGTCAGTGAACGAGATGCAAGAAATTATGCGGTCGCAAGACGTGTGGGGAAAAGAAGCCAACATCACCATCCGTGACTGCCCGGAATGTGGGATGCGGCTCCAGCCGCGCTCGTTGAGCCGCTGGTGCCGCAGCTGCCAGGGGACGACGATGATGAAGATAACTGAGTCCTCTGAACATAGTGAGTACCTCAAGTACTTCCAAGATCGCATTGTACGGAGTATTCGTGCTGCACAGCGCCCTACTAAATTTCATTGTCGACGACGGAGAGCTCCCGGGTATGCCGACTGCTTGTTCAATTTCCCAATCAAGGCAGATGTCCGTTGGCCGCCAGCCACACGCAAAGTAACTATCATTCGCAACTCCATCCCCCCTCTCATCATTTCTCCCTCACAATGCACATGCAGAGCAAATATTTTCCGCACTGAATAGTTGTGGGTGCGCGGATTCCGGTCTAGAATTGTCCGCCCCCTACACTCATCTCTTGCCATCTAATTTTGATCCGCCACTGCTTGCTTCCATGATGGCGCGCCATCTGTGAGAGCAAGTTGAAAGCTTGCAGTGCTGGCATAAACCCTATTCACCCTTCTCGTAGCCAGGACGGGCCGGCTGCCACTTTCCACAGGGTGCATTTGTGATTCTCTGCAACACGATGCGGCCAAGGTGGCTACGATGTTGAATCAGCCTCGGGGACCTATCCGCTGCTTGCAATAATCCGGTTCAGAATCTCATCGCGCAGCATCTCTGGCTCCCTCGTGGCGTCCACCACAATCACACTGTCCGTCGTCGCCGGCCGGCACGGGTGCTCCATCCACCTCGCAAAGCGCGCGCGGCCCTCCTCGCCCGCGTCCGCGGCGCCCGGCGGCGGTCCGTCAACCGCGGTGCGCTGGCTCAGCATCGACGCCGGCCGCGCACGCAGGCGCCTGTCCAGCACATCGATGTCGCGCACGCGGCACTCGACGTACCAGTAGTCGTGGCCGTGGCGCGCGGCCCAGCGCGGCGCCGCACGCGAGGGTCTCGGGGAAGTTGCAGGTGCTGTCGACGATGACGCTGAGCCCCTGCCGCATCAGGTCCTCGGCGAGCGTCCACTGCAGCTCGTAGGCGTGCCGCGCGGCCGCCGCAAAGTCGAGGCCGGATGCGAGAAAGGCGGACCGCAGCACGTCGTGATCGACGACGACGGCGCCGGCGCTTGCGAGGCAGGGCCGCAGCAGCCGCGCCATGGTGCTCTTTCCGGAGCCCGGGGCGCCGGACATTTGGATCAGGACCTTTGTTTGCACGGACATGCTTCGGGTTGAATAGGGGATAGTGGTATGCGGTTGAGCAGTAGACGACTGCGTTTGTAGGCACCGTTGGCTGCGAACAAAGGACAGATCGCCCATGTTACACCAACTAACCTGAACATTCATTCGGTGGCTAGGATAGTTTGTTAACTGGCAATGTCACCATCAGCAAGCTGACTCTTGGACAGTAATCAGCAGAAGGAGTTGACGTAACGATCATCATATTCTTTTTGTGCCTTGGTACCTCTGTGTCAGTTTTTAATTTTTATCCCGTGGTCCTGCCCGTCCCTTGCATAGCAACATAGGTAGCGAGGTGACAATACCCCTTCTTTTATTCACATCATCTGCATAGTCATCATCATCTTATTTCTTCCCATATTTGTTCTCTTATTTAATCAAGCTCTCTTGCTCATTTGTCTCTTTTGATAAAGTGTTAAGCTGACGTGTGTCTGTTGCATTATTCATGCAAGCGATTGTCTTGTCAGCTCCCGCCCGCCAACATCAAAATGACCGACCTTTTGCATTGCCCGATTTATTAAACAATAACATAAAGGAGGGAAAAGCGAAAGGGAAACACATAGTTGCTTGTCCGCATCTCATCCATCTCGGCCCACGTCATTCTGGCCTAGCGCAAGGGAGTCGAGTAATCCGCCCGCCCGTTTCTCCTCCATCCTCTTCGTGAGTCGTCGGCCTCTGAAATCAATCTCAAGCAAAAGCAAAATTCCTTATCAAATATAACCCCCACCTCCACTTGTACTTGTCTTCCTCCACTGTTCCTTCGTTCCGGAAATCGCCTCCTTGCACGGTAGTCCCCAGATCGTCAATGTATCAACGGTGACTGCAGCTACTCTTGCATCCATCCATACTTACTGGATGACCGCGTCCTCCACCTGCCTAGAAGCGCGTCGAAATAGCGGCCTGCCCAGCAAGTAACGGTACAGTTGGCGCGGGCGGCGCCACAGCGCTCGCCAGTGCAGCATCGCCGCGCGCATCACCAGCGCAGGGGGCGCAGCCATCTCCCGTCTCGTATCATGTGCCCGTGGGGATCGCCGTGGTGAACTCTGCCGGTAGATATTCTCCCTAGACGGATCTGAAACGGCAGCGCTGGGCGGTTCGGGGCATTGCTCCGGATCGGATCCTGCGGGGGCTAGCGTTTCGTCTGACATGGTTCGACACAGTTCGACTGATGGGAACAAATCTGTGGTGATGGGGGTCGTAGGCCATGAGTATAGTTGCTCGTCGACATGTACATGGGATGATGCAGCCACTTTTCTTTCCTCGGAGGGATGTGACCCTGCGATACCGGGAACAGTAGTTTGCGTTTGCAGCTGCTTGTTTGCGCAGGCGGAGAGCGGCACAGCGAGACGTTCATATTTCGAGGGAACACCCGCCGCCGTGGTCGAAATGGCAGTCTCCGTTTGTGGCTGTTCTTCGGCGCTCATAAGCGGTGCTGATGCGGCCTCAGTATGATCACGCACCATCGCCATCGGGAAGGGAAGATCTGGCGCGTCGAACAAATCATTGATCGAAGCCTCGTCCGCAAACGGTTGCCATCCCAACGGTTTCTGCGCAGTGGGAGGAGTGGCGGTTGTGGCTTCATTCTCAGCTTGTTGTCGTTGCCTTCGCACATACTGCTTTTCTTCATGTCGTCTTTTTTGCTCGGCAACTTGCAGCGCTAGTTGAACTTCATTAGTCTTGAAATTCTTCTCTCGTAAATCGCAAGTCGGCATCGTACCTCGAGCCTGCGCTGCTGCCAACTTTTGCTTCACTTGTGGCGATCGATCCTGGTCTGTTGTCAAGGTCAGCTATATATCAAACCCCGCAGACCAAAATATTACTTGCCAGGTGTCTTGTCACGCGCGTTATTTATCCGCTCCCTACATGGCCTACGCTGCTGCTGCTTGGTCGGCGGCGGCGACGGCTGGCCTACGCAGTCTGACTCGGAATCGGAACTAATCTCAATAACATCCATCATTGCAGTTGGGAGAATAAAGGATTGACTTCGTTTCCGAGATGAGCTGATCACGCTCATGAAGAAGACTGCAAACGCTATTGCCTGCCGTGCAGCATGTGCCAACACGGTCCGCCATTCACCCGGTCTTCACTTCTGCACGTGGTTAAGGGGTATGCACGTCATTCACTGTCCACGCTATCTATGGTATCATTACAGATTCATGTCCGCTACTCAACAATATACCATTTCTTTTGACTTTTGTTTATATCCGTTAGTCCTTTTTACATCTGCTCGCGGCGTCGTGGAGCGGCTCTGATGATATCGTCAACACGTAGTAGAAGCTAGATCTTGTTAGCATATCATTCCCTAGTTTGTCAAAGCTTTGGGGAAGCTCACCTCCGCAGCCTCGCTGGCGGACGACACAACAGCCCTCTTTAGCTTATAGCTCTCGATAACACCCAGGTCCCGCATATCGGCAAGTCCACCGCCCGGCGTCGTCAGGTCGAGACCATACGTAGACATGCCCTTGTACACTGTGTTGCGCAGACGTGCCACCAGGTCGCTAGAGTCCAAACCGGCATTGTCGGCCAGAATAGTAGGGAGCTGCATCAACGCAATGGCGAAGCTGTTAACAGCCATCTGGCGCTTGCCTTCGACTCTTGTTGAAGCGCCCTCCACAGCCTTGGCCATTAGCATCTCGGCGCAACCACCTCCAAGAGTGGTGCGTGGTTCCCGGACAGTCTGCGACAGAACCGCCAGGGCATCGTGCAAGCTTCGCTCGGCCTCGTCAAGAAGCTGTTCGGTAGCACCACGAAGAACAATAGTGCAAGCTTCACCAGAGGACACGCCAGAGAACTTGATCAGGGTATCCTCGCCAATGATGACCTCTTCGATGAGGTCGCACTGTCCCAGCTTGACCTGGTCAGGGTGGTCAAAGGTAGAGGCAATCTCGCCACCAGTGACGAGGGCCAGGCGCTCGATGCCATCAAAATCGGCATGCTCAATCGACATGATGCCAGCATCCGTGAAGAGCTGCTCTGGCCAGTTGTAAATCAGTTGTCTGTTAATGAAGCAGTTGATGCCGTGGGCCTTGATCTTCTCCACCTTGGCCTTCATCTTATCCTTCTCCGCCTTCTCAAGCTCGGCAAGCTTGGAAGTCGAGCCGACCTTGACGCGGGCACCGAAGATCTTGATCTTGTCGGTATCCATAGAAGTGTTGGCTACCAGAATCTTGGCCTTTTCCAGGCGCTTGGGCTGGTTGACGCCAATCTTCTTGTCCAGGATGAACCCTTCGTCGAGGTACGAGTCGCTCAGCTTGCCACCGGCCTTCTTGATGATCTGGATATGGCTAAGGTCAGAAGACTTCTTCAGTCGGAGAACGGCGTCGGTTGCAAGCTCGGCAAAGTGTTCGCGGTCTTGGGCGAGGACCTTGGAGCTCAGGGTCGTGCGGGCAATGCAGACGAGGTCTTTGCGGAAAGCGTCGGGGTTCTTGCTATGGTCAACAGCAGAGGCTTCGAGAGCTTTGAGCGCGGCTTGGCTAGCTATTCTGTATCCTTCGATGATAGTCTGGGGGTGAATCTTCTTGTCGACGAGCTTCTCAGCCTCGCGAAGCAGCTCGGCGGCGAGGACGGCAACCGACGTTGTGCCGTCCCCGACTTCGTCGTCTTGCACTTTTGAAATGTTGACCAGGACTTTGGCGGCTGCATTGTCGAGGGCAATCGATTTGAGAATGGTAGCGCCATCGTTGGTGACCATGATTTCGCCAGTGGATCTGTCGGTGTATTAGACATGTATCAACGAGAGCTGAAGTAGCCTCTGTGCGCTTCATTTGCAGCAAAGACTTACGCTGACTGCAGAATCTTATCCATGCCCTTGGGACCGAGTGTGCTTTTCACCAGGTCGCCAACAGCAATGGCTCCGACAAAGGCAGCGAGACGCGCATTCTCACCCTTTTCCTCGGTGGTCCCGTCCGCAAAGATTTGTGTAGGTGCAAACGACTAAAAAGCAAAACATTAGTGAATTAGAGAACACAAGCGCTTGCGTCCAAGTAGTATCATACCATTTTAGGCTTTGTTGCTGGAAAGAGCCTATCGTGTGCAATAACTGAAGCTGGAACCAGTGCTCTCCGCCCTCGAAGCTCATCGAAGGCAGCCTTTTTTTCTGGAGCTTCCAGCAGCGTCTTACAGGCACCACCCCGCCAACAATTCGCCTGCACGTGACTTGCCCCTCGATGGGCCAAATTGCCCGGCAAAGGAAGATCACTTCTCCGCCCCACACCGCACACTTTCTTTGTGGAAAGAAGTCAATAACCAGCAAATATGCGGGCCTGGGCATCACCAAAAAAAAAGCATCCCTCCTCCCGACTCGGCCACCCACCATATTCGCGCTGCACGAGCATCTCATCGGCACAGTCGACACTTTTTTCCCGCGTGCAGCTACCGGCTACATATACCCTACCGTGACATCTCGCCCATTTACAGCTTCTTGCTCTGTAAATCTCCTACAAAAGCGACAAAAGCGGGGCATCTCGAGAGACCCCTCGCTTGCAACACCACCGCGACATCATGGCGCCCTCCTTTGATCATTTGCGCGAGGCCGATCTCGACGACGACGAGTTCAACGAGGATGACATCGACTTCTCCGATCTCCGTGAACGCTTCGACGTTCAGCTTGATAAGGGCTACGACACATTTGTTGTGATTGACGGTCTTCCCATCGTTAATGAAGAGCAAAAGCCCAAGCTTGTAAAGTTTCTGATCAAGAAACTAAATACTGTTGGAAGGGTCCGCGAGGATTCCATTTATATGCCTATGGGTGACAATGAAAAGTCCCTAGGGTTCGTAGTCTTTGCCTCTGCCTGACCTGTGTGTCCGCTAACGGTGTACAGATTCGCTTTCGTCGAGTACTCGTCCGCCAGCGAGGCTGCTGCTGCCGTCCGCTCCCTCGACATGGTTCCCCTCGATAAGAAGCACACGCTGCGAATCAACAAGATTAGCGATATTGAACGATATGGCGCCGAGGGACGCATCAAAGAAGAATACGTTGCCCCCGAGATTCCTCCCTTTCAGAAGCGTGATCACCTCAAGTGGTGGCTCAAGGATCCTGCTGGCCGCGGCCGCGACCAGTTCGTCATGTACCGCGGTGACAACGTCGGCGTTTTCTGGAACAATGAAAAGGACCAACCTGAGAGTGTTGTTGAGCGCCAGCACTGGACTGAGACCTTCCTACAGTGGTCGCCCAAGGGCAACTTCCTTACCTCGATCCACGCCCGCGGTGTCCAGATCTGGGGTGGTAACTCCTGGTCCAAACAGGGCCGCTTCCCCCATCCTTTCGTCAACCTTGTCGCATACTCGCCTACCGAAAAGTACCTTGTCACTTGGTCTAACCGCCCGATTTCGGTGCCCGAGGATGGCGGCGACGGTACCCTCTCTGCTGACGACGAGGGCAAGAACTATGTCATCTGGGACATTGAGACCGAGATGCCTATTCGTTCCTTTGCTAACCTGGAGCCGCCCAAGTCCGAGGAAGGCAAGCCGCCACCCAAGCAACAGTGGCCCGCATTCAAGTGGTCGGCCGACGACAAGTACGTCGCTCGTCTGAACCCCGGCCAGTCCATCTCTGTGTACGAGCTCCCGCGCATGAACCTCCTCGACAAGACCACTATCAAGATTGACAGCGTTGTTGACTTTGACTGGGCTCCGGCCACGGTTAAGCGCGACGGTGTCAAGACATACGAGCAGTTGTTCTGCTTCTGGACTCCTGAAATTGGCAGCAACCCCGCCAAGGTCAGCTTGATAAGCATTCCTTCCAAAGAGGTTGTGCGTAGTCTGAACCTCTTCAGCGTCAGTGATGCTAAGCTCCACTGGCAATCCGAGGGCGCCTACCTGTGCGTCAAGGTGGACCGCCACTCCAAGTCGAAGAAGTCGCAGGCCACGACGCTTGAGATTTTCCGTGTCAAGGAGAAGGGCGTGCCCGTGGAGGTTGTCGACATCATCAAGGATACCGTCATAAACTTTGCTTGGGAGCCTAAGGGCGATCGTTTCGCCATCATCACCACAACAGAGCCTGTGGCCGCAACAGCGGTGGCACCCAAGACAGCAGTCGCTTTCTTCTGCCCCGAAAAGGCCAAGGGTCTAGTCGCAGGTAACTTTAAGCACCTGCGCACGCTAGACAAGAAGAATAGCAACGCCATTTACTGGTCACCCAGAGGCCGCTTCGTTGTCATTGCCACGATTGGCAACCAGCAGAGCTCAGATCTCGACTTCCTCGACCTCGATTTTGAGGGTGAAAAGCCCGAGTCCGACAAAGACCTGACGGCTAACCTGCAGCTGATGAACACTGGTGACCACTACGGAGTGACGGACATAGAGTGGGATCCCTCGGGTCGATTTGTGGCCACCTGGGCATCTGCCTGGAAGCACTCGGTACGATTTCGTCTTTGTCATGACTGTGTTGATGGTACTAACAATTGCTTAGATGGAAAATGGCTATCACATTTACGACTTCCGTGGAGAGGTTCTGAGAGAAGAGCCTGTGGAAAAATTCAAACAGTTCCAATGGCGGCCGCGTCCACAGACACTACTCACCAAGGAGGAGCAGAAGCAAGTGCGTAAGAATCTGCGCGAATACAGCCGGGTATTTGAGCAAGAGGATGCCGACCGTGGTGCGTCTGCCGACTTGGCCGTGGTGGAGTCACGCCGTCAAATGCTCGAGGAGTGGCACGCGTGGCGCGCGGACGTAGAAGAGGAGATGTACGAGGAGAGAGAGGCCCTGGGCCTGGACCAAGACCCTCACGCGGCGCTGCTGGCGGCCAAGACGAGGGAGGTCGAAGGCGGGGAGGATTCGGAGAACAACGAGCGTACTATCGAAGAGATTGTGGAGGAGGTTATAGAGGAGACGGAAGAGATTGTCGTTTAAAGGGCATTCTTATCATGCATATATGCACTTTGCTGTACGGGTAGAAAAAAGACTGAATACGGCGTGGTTTGGTAATGTCGATTTGGAACACCTTTTTTGTTGTGATTATATAGGACAAAAAACAGTTGACACATTGAGAGTGCATACGAGATGCGACATGTATTCGTAATTAGCACAGCTGTGCAGGTTGTCAACATGGGCAGACTGGGGGCAGATGACTTCTACTGGGTAATACCGACAATGCTGGCTGAAGGTGAAGGGTGTTAGAGTTAATAATATGGGACGAGAAAGCAAAAAGTCTGTTTGAGCGCTGCATGGCATAGATTGTATGGGATGCCATGGAATGTTTGAAACGTGTTTACGTTATTCAGTCGACTTGGCACTGACTCTTTCGGCTGGTGGTGGTGCTTTGGAGGGGTGAGAAGCGCTGTGACATTCAAGCGCTGTTGTGGGCTGAACAGGCCGGACAAGTTGGGCAGGGTTCATGGAACGTATTGGAAGCGCATTAACTATTATTACATGATTACAGTCAACAGAAGCAAGAAGAAAGTGCAAGGGAGCGACTTTGGGTGGTGGGGCGATTATTTTCGTGTGCTTGTCAAACAGTCTGGGCCGTGTCTTGGTTCCAATGGCGGGCGGGCTTGGTTGAGTGGCAAGCTGGCAATCAATGGCTGGGCTGCACAGCCTGCTTCCATATGCAGGGGGGCCACGGGAGAATTGAGACGACGAGGAATGAAGCTCAGGAGGCAAGTTGAGAAATAATTCAAAAATAATAAGAATACTGTAAAAGGGCCTGCCCTGGTAGTTACGTGAATGCAGCCTCAACATCTGCAGTGTTTTCCAGAGCTGCAGGCATATTTTTTCGATACATTTACCAATAGTACATAATGATGATATTAAAGCCATTGAAAGCACGCAACGCACATTGCACCATAAAAAAAAACTAGAACTCGCGTTCAGGGGGTTGGGGCTGGGGTTGAGGGCCCGCCTAGTTAGAGGTATGCCGTAGCTGCCCAAGTAGGCGAGTTGAAGATACAGGTACTTGCAAATCGAACATTGCATATCGAACAATGATAGAGATAAAAAAACCGTGAAAATACAGAAAAGAAAGAAATAGAGACCAGTTCGAAAATCAATAAAATAGAGCAAAGCAGCTCATATTATTGAGCCCTGTCCTGCGTACTGCGTACTGCGTACTCCGTACATGTGTGCGAATTACGTAGGACCTAGTAACCAGCATAAAGCCCCTGTGGAGGAAGCCCACATGCAACTCGCTTGCCGCGACTGCCCATTTATTATTATGTACCAGCAGTTACACCATCAAAAGTATCGAGTCAGCCCACCATCCGCCTCTGCCGTCTCCGCTTCTCATCATCCAACCCTACGAATACTTACAGCGGCCATCTTTATTCCTCTCCAGCGTCAACCAGCATCCTTTCTTCTTCCTCTTCATCTTCTTCGTTGTCCCGGGCATGGCTGATGCTTCCATACAACGGCATCCGCTGCACCCGCCCTGGCTCAACAACAATCTACCATCATCGCCCATGTGCTCTGAATGTCATTGACAGGCTTGCCTGATTCTTCATTTCACTCGCCATCCCGCCGCCGCTGCCGCCGCCGCCGATACAATGCTTCGGCGCCGTCTGCCGGGTGACGGGCGGCGTTCCGCCCAGAATAAGCTCCTGCTCGCCATCGCCATCGTTCTCCTCCCATGGCTCCAGCTCGCCGAGGCTCAGCAGCAACAACCTCACCATCAGCAGCAACAACCCGCCGTCCACCCCGGCTCGCCGCACGCGAACTACGAATTACACAACGACCGGGTATCCGTCGACGATTCTGCCCGCTGGGCCGCCTCGTCCATCGATGCCGTAACCAGTCAGCCAAGCAAGGCCGCCGACGCCTCCTCCAGGCCCCGGCCCACACCCCGAAGCTCCAGCCGACAAAACCAAAAACGAAACATCATCTTACCTGACGATGAGAGCGCCCTCGCAACTTTAGCTCCGGCCCAGCCCGTCCGAGCACCAAGACCCCCCAGCGATCTTCGACCCCGTAGCATCCCAGCCTCGGGGCTGACAACGCCGCAAAATGCGCGGAACCTGGAGGATTGGGAAGTCGAAGACTTTGTTCTTATGGCGACCGTCGATGGAGATTTATATGCCAGCGACCGCAACACCGGTAAAGAGCGCTGGCACCTTGAAGTTGACCTTCCCATGGTCGAGACTAAGCACTATCGTCTCAACAACTCCATCCTCGACGACAACTACAGTCCTGTCGATCACTACCTTTGGGTCGTAGAGCCCAACTCCCATGGTGGCATCTTCATCTGGCGACCCGACCCCGAAGCTGGTCTCATCAAGACGGGCTTCACCATGAAGAGCCTTGTCGAGCAGTTAGCCCCATACGAAGACGCCGAGGGTGAGATTGTCTACACGGGCGACAAAAAGACCACCATGGTCACACTTGACGCCGCCACAGGTCGCGTCCTCAAGTGGTTTGGATCTAGTGGCTCTCATGTCAATACCAACGACTTTTGTCGCCAAGCTAACACCTTTGACGACCGCGACAATGAGGAATGTCTCACCACCGGAACCATCACCTTGGGCAGAACCGAGTACACCGTCGGTATTCAAGGCTCCGACGGCCGTCCCATCGCCACCTTGAAGTACTCCGAATGGGGCCCCAACACCTTCGACAGCGATCTTTACATGCAGTACCACAACTCACTCGATAATCGATACATTACGAGCCAGCACAATGGGAAAGTCTACGCTTTCGACCAATCCCAGAAGGACAACAACACTCCTCTCTTCTCCAACAAGTTTTCTGCTCCCGTCGCCAGCGTGTTTGACGTTTGCCGACCGTGGGATGCTGTTACCGGCAGCAACCCGCAGCTTGTCGTTCTTCCTCAGCCGCCAATGCCAGCTCGTGACAAGAATGAGAAACAAATGCGTCTTAATAGCATATTTCTGAACCAGACCGAATCGGGCAGCTGGTATGCCATGTCTGGCCAAGCATACCCTCTAATCATCAGCGCGCCTGTCGCTCAGGTTGCAAGTCCCGACTGGTGGCAATTCATGCCTTCGTCAGATACTATGAGCCAATCTCGCATCAGCAAGGCACTTGTTGGTACCCATTTCTTCCACTCGATTCGGGGAGACAACAATCAAATCCGGAGTTTGCCTGAAAAGTCGACCGAAGACGTCGTCGGACCACCCGAGGCGAACTCTGCACCTCGAAACGACGCGACAATCATCACAGAAGAACCCACTATCCTCACAAAGGTCAAGTCTCTCCCTCAGAGCGCTGCGAACAGCGTTTACGACTTTTTCAGCAACCCGGTTCTCATCATCATCTTCTTTATTGTCTTGTTAATCTACCAGAACAATCTTCGTCGCGCCTACCATAGACTCCGATCCAACGGCCTTCACAAGGGCTTGGTCCAAGAGGTTCAGACGCTTTTGTTTTCGGAAACTCTCCCAGACGATAAGCAAGACATTGCTGCTGGGGAAAAGAATGAAAAGAAGAGTGAAATCGACAAAGAGCTCCACGCCGTCGACGTTGAGGTAAAGGGGGATGCAGAAGCCAAGCCCACTCAAAACGTTGCGCCAGTCGATGAGGAGGTCAAGGGAAGCGACTCAGATGGAAAAAAGACGCCCAGACCAGAAGAGGGCCAAGAGAACAAGGCGATTGATGGCGATGGTCCCGAGACCCCGGCCAAGGGGAAGAAGGCTCATCGTGGCCGACGCGGAGGAGTCAAACACCGTCCTAAAAGGCAGCGAGATACTTCGCAGTCTCGTGACGATGAACGTGATGCCTCGACTATTGAAGAGGCTGTCAAAAATGCTAAGCGTCTTGGAGATAAGCCCAGCCTCCAACCGGATGTCATGACGGTCCAAAATGACATGAGCGCTGTTACCAACCCAATCATGCGTATGGGCAATATCGAAGTCAACACAGAGATTCAACTCGGCACGGGAAGCAACGGCACGCTAGTATTTGCCGGACGCTTTGACGGTCGTGATGTGGCTGTGAAGCGCATGTTGATCCAATTTTACGACATTGCGTCACAGGAGACGAGACTGCTCCGTGAAAGCGATGACCACCCCAATGTCATTCGATACTATTCGCAGCAGATGCAAGACGGCTTCCTGTATATTGCCCTAGAGCGGTGCGGGGCATCTTTGGCCGATGTCGTGGAGAGACCCCATGCTTACCGAGAGCTCGCCACTGCAGGACAGATGGATCGTCCTGGCGTACTTTATCAAATCACAAATGGTATCAGTCATCTGCACAAACTGCGCATTGTCCATCGCGACTTGAAGCCCCAAAATATTCTCATCAACATGGACGACGATGGCAGGGTCAGACTCTTGGTTTCCGACTTTGGTCTGTGCAAGAAACTTGAAGGGGGCCAGTCGTCTTTTGGAGCGACCACTGGTCGCGCTGCCGGAACTTCGGGCTGGCGTGCGCCAGAACTTCTTCTAGATGACGATGCGCGCGACATTTCTATGGTCGATGCCAGCACGCATAGCGGCTCTGGCTCGGTACTTTTGAATGATGGCCTTATGCCCGGCAGTCGTCGAGCGACGCGCGCTATCGACATTTTCTCGCTCGGACTTGTGTTTTTCTACGTTTTGACCAACGGTTGTCATCCATTCGACTGTGGTGATCGGTACATGCGAGAGGTGAACATTCGAAAGGGCGAATACAGCTTGAAGTTACTCGAATCGCTAGGTGATTTTGCTTCCGAGGCTAAAGATTTGGTTGGCTCCATGTTGGATGCGAACCCAAAGAGGCGCCCACCCGCGCGTGAAGTTATGGCGCATCCTTTTTTCTGGACAGCGAAAAAGAGACTGTCCTTCTTGTGTGATGTGTCGGATCATTTTGAAAAGGAGCCGCGAGACCCGCCATCGCCTGCTCTTGAGGAGCTGGAGCGGCACGCACCCGAGGTGACGCGTGGCGACTTCCTCAAAGCGTTGCCACGCGATTTTGTCGACTCGCTAGGCAAGCAGCGCAGGTATACGGGATCTCGCCTGCTGGACCTACTGCGAGCTCTGCGCAACAAGCGCAATCACTACGAGGACATGTCGCAGAGCCTGCAGCACACCGTCGGATCGCTGCCGGATGGCTACTTGAGTTTTTGGACGACAAAGTTCCCTTCGTTGCTACTTGCGTGCTGGAATGTGGTGTACAATGTAGGGTGGGAGGAGACGGACCGATTCAAGGATTACTATGAGCCAGCGACTCGTATGTAGGGAACGTGATGAAATTTTGGTAGTAGCGTTTGTGAGAATATCTGATTTATTTTGTACGCCTTATACGCTCGTTTGATGATATTGCTCTGTTTGAATTGATCCTGTCCCTTCCCTGTTGTGACTTGATTATTCGTTTGTGGTGTTGCATTGAGTGTTTGGTAGTTCTTCGCTATAGTTGGTAGGTGGACGGGCCATTACTAGATACCAGGTAGCGAGCAGCCTTCCGGAAGTGCTAGACATTCCAATACTCTAAGACTGATGGATATAGTTATCGGTAAGGGGACCATCTCGTAAATTTGCGAGAACCGCACCGGCGCGTCACACCAGCTACACCACGAGGTTATGGTGCAGGAGTACACTGACTGGCTTTGCCGGTGAAAGGACGGATAGTATACATCTTGATGTAACCAAGTATCGAAGATAAGATTTTTATAGTCTTATACAATAAATACAAGCATCCGACTGTACACGTAGAGGTTGATTGTGTGCAATGTCAGGACGGATGCTTACCGCACATTGTGGCGTCACCAGCCACAATGGCTCGGCACGGCCGCCCCAGGTTCCGCCTTGTCACCGGATCACCATCCACACTTCTGCGTTTACCTTTTTTCTATCAGTAACAGCAGCGCCAAATCGCGACGGGCGAATCTTCATCCATTGCCTCTCTTTCCTACCGCTTCTCTGCTCCAACTCACACATCTTCTCACCTTCCATTCTCGCTTTTCTTCTTCCTCTCCATCGCCTTCCTCCCTGCGCTCTCCGTTGCGACTTGGCCCTTGAGCCTACGGAGCCGTCGATCCTTGCCACCGTCTTTTGAGTCCTTTCTGCTTGCGTTACTTTGCGCGTGTGTGTGGCCCGCCAAGTAGAGAGCCGTCCCGCCGTCTTCTTTGGCGCCAATTTGCTGGTGTGACGCTGGTTCCTGTCTGTTTTCTAGTTCACCAGCCATCAGGTGACGGTACATTGGGCCGCCCGACTTCAAACCCACTGGGCCACCACAAAGGCCTGCATGCCATTTGGATCTGCGAGCTTTCTTTCTGTTCGCCAGAACCTCTACGCCCCTTGCTACGATCGGCCGATCTAGGTTCTCGGACGATAGGCGCCATTGGGCCCTTTTTTTTTTTCTTCGTCGGCTCTCTTTTTTTTTCGGTCACCTTGGCGCGTACCTTGACCCGGGGGCATGCACTGACTCGACCCTCCCGTGCCTCTACCGACACGCCCGTCTCCATCCTCAGCACGCTCGCTTCTTCCCGTACCCGCAGGCTCGTTGTCCTAGATTGACGATTATCGTGGTCGTCATCAGCTGCGCCGACTCGCTAAACGTCAGACGTGCCTTCCTGTGCCGCTCGCATTGCCCTCCGGACGCCTCCCCGCGTTGCCTATCGTCACACGATAGCAGCTAGCACGATGAGCGCCCCTTGTACGTCTCCATATCGGCTGCATGGCCAGCCACTCCCCAACATGCTGCCTGATTAATGCCAGACTAACGATTGTATGCGTTAGTGAGCTCGGACGAGCTTCGACAGTACACGGCCATCATCGACGGCATCCTGGCCACAGCCAACCTGGAAACCATCTCGCGCAAGAAGATTCGGCAAGGTCTCGAGACTTCACTCGGCGGCAAGGATCTCAGCGAGCAAAAGGTACGCATGCGCGCAACTATGCCCTCCACCACACTGACATTTGGAAAAGGACGCGATCAAAAAGTTGATAGAAACACGTTTTGATGCCGTCTCGGGCGCCGATGCCGACGACCCCCCAGCCTCACCGATTCCCGCACCGACACCGAGCAAGCGCTCTGCCAAGAATGGAGACTACGACCGCTACGATTCGGATGTGTCGGCTGGCTCTGAGCCCGCAAAGAAGAAGGCTAAGCGATCCTCGTCGGCAGAGGACGGCGACGCCAAGCTCGCGGCTCAGCTGCAGGCCCAAGAAAACCGCCTGGCTAGAGGGCGTACCACGCGTGGTGGTGACAAGCCTGGTGGCACCAAGAAGAAGCGACCTGCCAAGAAGAAGAGCGCCAAGCGCGTCCGCGACGAAGATAGTGAGGTGGATGGAAGCGACGCGGCTCCTCCCAAGCGCAAGGCCGGTGGAGGGTTTCAAAAACCGTTTAATCTGAGCGAAAGCCTTTCCGTCTTGTGCGGAGAGACCCAGGTATGTCGACGGCATCGTCTAACGTCTCGCCAGACCCTAACAATCACAGCTCTCGCGGCCCCAAGTCGTCAAGAAACTCTGGGAGCATATCAAGGGAAATGACTTGCAGGACCCGTCCGACAAGCGCCAGATCCTCTGCGACGAACGAATGTTTGCTGTGTTCAGACAGCCCAAGGTGGACATGTTCAAGATGAACAAGGAAATCGGTCACCATCTCTACCCAGTCGGAGAGGAATAGTCGTCCTTGCAGACGGGTCCTGTGGCCCGCCGAGACGACTTGCTAAGCCAACGGCGTTGGGCATGGTAATATTTGTTTTCGGCAATCCAAGTTGTCTCCTGTGTCTTTTATTTGCGAGGGTCAAGTCTATTTTCTGCGTTTTTTGGGTTTATTTGGATTTCCCTGGGGTAAAGGACGGCGCAGTCAGGGATCGTACAAATTGTATTTGGTTTTCATACCGATGCCAACAAATGGCACCAGGTTGCAGCGAAAAAAGGGTTATTTGGGATGGACAGAGATGGACAGAGCTGGACTACGATAGTGCGTGATGTGGAAAGAAATCGGCCAAGAAGCACAGTTTTGTGAATCTGACAATACTCTTGAACAAGTCTGGGTGAGACGATTTCCTACTGATTTAGTGGGATTTAGTGGGATGTGCCGCTAGATCTCTCGTTTATGGAATGTCCGAGCCGAAAGACTGATTCTTGAGATTCCTCATGTCTTGAATCATTAGCGTGTTGTCATGGCTGACCCTGCCCGCGGTGTGACTCTTTTGTTGCTGCTGAAAGTTGTAGCTATGTAGGGCGCGCGCCTCAGTGGAAGTTTATTGGCTGAGTCATCGCACCGTAATTCGTACCAGCCGTTGATTTGCCCCCGGTTTCAAATTTGGGGCCCCGAATTGGCGAGAGGTGCCCCTCTAAAAATAAGTGGAAGCCCTGGAGACACCCGCTATCAAATTCGCAGTTCTGGCAAGCTCTTGATTTACCCTCCCTCACAATTTTTCCACATTCATTATACAGACATTTTACGTTTATATATCCGGCATCAAGTATACAGGTACCATATCCCTCATTTACAGCACCATCAAGCGGAACCGTGCCCAAGCACTCTCGACACAGCAACCTGCAAACACAACGATGCCGGGAGAGGCTGGATCCTCACCAGGAGGCGGCGGCGGAGGCCAGGCTTCTCGCGGACGCGGCAATCGCAACAGAGGACGAGGTGACCGCGCCGGTCAGAGTAGTAACCGCGGAGGTGGTGGCCGACGTGGGCGTGGAGGCAACCGTGGAGGCGCCAAACAGGACGACCTCCCCGCCGAGCCCGCCGCGCAAGATGTCGCTCTTGCGGCTCGTGCTGCCAAGGAAGAGGCCAGCGCCAACAGCATCGCGGCCCCAGCCCACCAGGCGACGCAGAAACCTGACGACGACGACGACGAAGCCGAGGAGGTGTGCTTCATCTGTGCCAATCCTGTGGCGCACCACTCCATTGCTCCCTGCAACCACAAGACCTGCCATATCTGCGGTCTGCGAATGAGAGCGCTCTACAAGACCAAGGACTGTGCTCACTGCCGAGTAAGTCACAAAGCCATACAGTAGACATGACTCTAGTCTTTTAACAAATCGCTGCCAGACCGAAGCTCCATATGTCATCTTCACAGACGACGCTGAAAAGAAGTTTGAAGACTACAAACCCACCGACCTCACCAGCATCGACACCAACATTGGCATCAAGTACACCAACGAGGACATTGTCGGCGATACGGTGCTTCTACTCCGGTACAACTGCCCCGACGCCTCGTGCGACTTTGCCGGCCTCGGCTGGGTCGATCTCCACCGCCACGTCAAGTCGACGCATAAGAAGCGTATGTGCGACTTGTGCACGCGCAACAAGAAGGTGTTTACCCACGAACACGAGCTCTTCACCGATCGCGAGCTCGAAAAGCACATGCGCCGCGGCGACGACAAGCCCGGCGCCGCCGACCAGACCGGCTTCAAGGGCCACCCGCTCTGCGGCTTCTGTGGCGAGCGCTTCTACGACGACGACAAGCTCTACGAGCACTGCCGCATGAAGCACGAGCGCTGCTTCCTCTGCGACCGCCGCGATTCACGCAAGCCCCACTACTTTGTGGACTACAATGCGCTTGAGCAGCACTTTAAAAAGGACCACTACTTCTGCAATGATAGGGAATGCATGGAGAAGAAGTTTGTCGTCTTCGAATCCAACATGGACCTGCAGGGCCACAACTTGGCCGAACACGCTGGCGGCAAGACGGTCGGACGCGATGCAAGAGTGGTGGACATGGCGGGCTTTGACCTGCGGCAGCCGTATCAGGAGGAACGACGCGGTGGCAGAGACGGCGGCGGCGGCGGGAGGGGACGGGGTCGTGGACGGGGTAGAGACCCAAACGAAGACTCATTCCAGCCTGTGCCTGCGCAGGGTCTCCGTCGAGACGAGATTGCCTACCAGCGACAAATGGCTATCCACTCGGCTCAATCGGTATCCCAGCGCACATTCGGCGGCCAGCTGTCAGCCCCTGCCCCGGCAGCGACCACCGCCGGCCGTGGCGGTGCCTCCCCACGTAACGGTAGCTCCTCCAACACCCCGCGCGTCGGTCCCGCGACCGGCGCCAGCCTCGCCGATCCCATGGACATGCTTTCGCTCACCGACACAGCCAACATGACGCCAGAGGAGCGCGCGCGGCTCGTCCGGCACAATTCTGTCATTGAGCGCGCCGCCAACCTCCTCGGAAATGACACCACCAAGCTCGCCAGTTTTCGTCAGCACGTTTCCGCGTACCAGCGCGGCGCGCTTACAGCAACGCAGCTCATTGACGCCCTCTTCACGCTCTTTGTCGACGTGTCGTCCAACGCGCTCGGCACTATGACGCGTGAGGTTGCGGACCTCTTTGAGAGCAAGGCCAAGGCCGACAGTCTCCGCAAGGCTTGGCAGGACTGGCGCGCCATCAACGAGGACTACCCGAGCCTGCCAGGCCTTGGCGGCATGGAGGGCGAGACGTCGGACTCGAGCGGATGGGCGCAGGCGGCGGCGGCCAACCCGGGGGTACCGCACGGCGCGCCTGCGCAGAAGCATTCTAATCGCGTGCTCAAGCTCAAGAATAGTACCCGCCTCGGCGGGCCGGCGCCCGTGACGCGTACGGGGCCGCCGGGATGGACGCCGGCAGCGGCCACGTCCCGTGCACCGGCTGCCTCGTTGTTCCCGTCGCTCGCTGCGTCGGCCGCGTCCAAGTCGCGCGGCGACGGTGGCAGTAACGTGGCATCCTCCTCTTCCTCACGCCCGTCCTGGGTCTCGGCCTCGTCGTCGGCGGCGGCGCAGCGGGCGAGCACGCGCGGCGGGAGCGAAGACAACTTCCCCGCTCTACCAGCGGCGCCGAAGCCGACGACGACCATTTTTGGCTATGGTGGGGGACGCGGCGTGCGTCGCGACTATGGCCACGCCGAGTCCAACTTCCAATGGGGCGGCGGAGGCTCGTCCGCGGACGCGACACCAGCAGAAGCGGCAGAGGCGGAGGACGGCAAAGGGAAAAAGGGAAAGAAGGGCAAAAAGGTCCTCGTGTCATGGGGATAGAAGCGCGTCTTTCCCTTTTTTTCTTCCGACTTTTCTTCTGTCGCTAAAAGTTTCAGCATATGCCTCTTGTTTGATCTTCTTCTGGATTTGGTTCTTTTTTCATGAGCAGTAGTACAAAGTGCATGCACGGGGAGTTTTCTTCAAGGATACGAAGCGAGAGATGCCGGTGTAGGTAGATATTAAGCAGCGTAAAGCAGCGTGTTTGACCACATGGAGTTGTTGATTAGAAAAGCATAACAGTGTAAATAGAGACAATAATTGTAGCATATTAAAATCACCCTCTTAAGAGGCTTTCATTCACCTTGAATAATGCGTGGGACTAGGAGCGCAGGTACTCGCACACAGCCTTGCCCCAGCGCGGGCTGCCCTTGTAGACGCCCATGCCGGGCGCGTTGCCCGATCCCAGACCCTCGACGGCGTCGGCAAAGGCCGGCCCGTTGCCCTCGTCCTTGAACTGCGTCACGGGGTACATGTACGTCTTGAAGGAGAAGAGGATGGCGCGCGTCTCGGGTAGCCGGGTGAGGGTCTGGAGCTCGATGCGGACAAAGGTCTGGCGCGGTTCAGCCTTGACTGCGTAGAGGGTGTGTTATTTGGGGGGAGATATGTACCTTGGAGATGTCAATGTTGTCGTCGTCAAGGGTGTTCGAGTCCTCATTGGCAAGCACGGGGTTTGCCTTGCAGTTGAAGAGCTGGTCGTGCGTCTGAACAGACCACTATGCCGAATCAAATCTCGTCAGCGTCATCTATACCCAAATCCAACAAGAGAACGCCGGGCGCCCTACATTCATGCGCTTCACGCTCCTGCCCACCTCCAGCTTGCTAAAGAAGCGCTCCATGCTCTTTGCGATCCGGTCGTAGCCGGGCACCGGCCGGTGGATCTCGCGCAGCAGCCGGCCGAGCTTCTCGCTCGGGTCGAAGCCCGCCGGGAAGCAGCACACAAACGCCGTCGACTCGTGGCCCGCGGGCGTCTCCCGCAGCAGGAAGAGGTCCTCCTCGACCGTCTCGCCGAGGATGCGCAGCGCCGCCGCGGGGTCGTCGTCTGGCGGGCGGCGCTGCGGGTGCGTCGCGCCCGTGGCCGTGTTGAGCAGACCGCCGCCGTCGCCGGTTCGCCGGAAGATGGTCGGGTACCGCGTGGGCAGGTACGAGCCCAAGAGGTAGGCGTAGAGCTCGCGGACGGCGGCGTGCCCGGGGCGCGTGCACCCGTGCACGGTGCCGCCGTGGGCGGCGAGCAGCGAGCGCCGCAGCGTCACGCGCGAGAGGTAGTCCCGGTCGATGGTGATGAGCTCCTGGGGCGTGTCGGCCTGTAAGGCTGGGCCGCGCGTTAGTCTGGTACGCATGGTGCTGTAGGTTGATGGATGTATATATATATACCCAGGGTGATGTGGTAGGTTGGCTTAAACGGCCGCAGCTGCTTGGGCTTTTCGTCTTGCCAGACCAGGCCGTCCAGCGGCGTGATGAGCGGCGTCTTGTCGTCGCCGCCATGTTCCTTGACCGGTCTCGTCAGCTCTACCGTCTGCGGGAATCGCCTCGTCCGGATCTACAAGTAGGTAAGCCGGGGGTTTGTTCCGCAAAGTGGGCAGGCTCGGTTCGCCGGGCTCACCCATGTATAAGACAGCCACAGTAGCGCTGCTGCTGCTGCCGCCGTGCACGCGACCACAACGTTTAGCATAACGACGACGAATAAATATACACAAATATGGCGAACAATAGGAAGGGAAAATAAGAGGAATGGTATAGATGACATAATTCAACTTGCGCGCCCTAAAGCGCCCATAAATTGTTGTCGTCTGATTGTCGGTCCCACCCACTTCCCCCGCGCGCCGTCGGCCGGCGCTCCGATGACGGGCACAACTGGTCCGGCGCCTTCCCGACATGCAGGTGATGCGGCACAACGAAGGTGCATCATGCCGTGTTACGCGATAAGGGCGGAGTTGAGGGATAGGAAACATCGAGGGAGAAACGCCGAGCGGCGCTTTTCTGACTGAAAAATGACCTGGTGGTGATTGATACGGCCAGTCTATTTGTGGTATCTACCCTACCAAACTACAGTGCAACTTGGCAGCAGAGGAACAAGCGCACAGTGGGAAGCGCAGTGGCGGTGGGCAACTTTGGATTGATCAAATGGGGTCGCGTGGGAATATTCGATTGCTTTTTTTTTTTTTCTCTTGCTGTGGTTTTATACTGGAGTTGGTAGTATTGGTCAGCCCTTTTTGGCTCTCGTTCCAACCACGCAACTGTAAGAGCCGGGTAGTACGAAAAAAGGGAGTAAGATAATAAAAACTGGAAATACTACGAAGATAATTGAGATGATTAGAATAATTACATCAGTATAGATTATTAAATAATCTAGACAACAAGAGTAGAACAATAGTTACAAAGAACAGCATTGAAGACGTGCATTGTCGTCAATATTTCCTTCACGAAGTTTCAGCCCTCATAACTCACACCTATATACCCGAAACCGACAAAACTCCTACACAAACCTACTCCAGACCTTCTACTCGCACTTCTTCATATTCTTCAGCAACGCCGCCGACGTCTTCTGCAGGGTATCAATCGCCCCAAAGACATCCTGTAGCGCGCTCAACGACCTGCCATTGGCATCGTACAAGAACCAGCCCATGGACCGTCCCCACGCCGCGTCGTCGCGGTGCTCCCTCTCCAGCGCGGCCACTCGCGCCTCCATCTCTCGCAGCTTCGCATCGTACTGCGCCCACTCTTCGGCCGCCCGGAGCCCTTGGCCGCCGTCACCGCCGTCCGCTGCCCCGTTGGGACCATGGTGCGCGGTGGGCGGCACACAGCCAATAGTCTCCGTCTCGAGGCGCGCGGCGAGCTGGACCTGCCAGCGTTGGATCTCGTTGGACTCGCGCTGCAGCTGCGCGCTGAGCTCTGGGCGGCGGTCTGGTGCGGCGGCAGCGTAGGGGTTGGCGAAATGGGTTAGCTTGGACTGGATGAGGACTGGTGAAGGCTTCGGCAGAGACTGTTGCTGCTGCTGCTGGACAGGCTGGGGTGGTGTCAAGTCGATCAAGTCGGGGCTGTCGGGTGATGCACCGGCATAGTACTTCTCCGGGGTGTGGTTGCCGGCAGAACAATTCCGTTTACTTGGAGCGTCTGCAGGTAGGGGGCGCCTCAACGTGCCTTGGGTATTCTCCAGGACCGGAATGAAGCAACGCTCGTCAAAGATGGAGCCACTGCCTGCTGAGGCGGGCTCACTCTCGTCAATTTCCACAATTTCCCGTTCTGACGGGGACACTTTTCGCTTTCGTTCCATTTCCGGGCCGGGGAGCCACGCTTGCGGTGCTGGCGACTTGGGCGTGCCAACTTTGTGCAGGACGTGTTTCGGCTTTCGTGTAGTTTTCGTCTCCTTCAAAAGTGCGCTGTTCGATTTCTATCAGCATCTGACTTCCCCCCTTTGCCAGAATAAAGGATAGCATAGCTTACGCTACTTCCGGGTCTGGTTCCCAGAGAGATGTGACCATTTTCTCAGGAGGATCGACTCCAACTAGATTAGCCGGCAGCTTCGAGTCCATGAGCATGTCGACATGGTAGTCGCGAATATTCAGCCAGGCGCTCCGCCTGGACTGAAGAGTTGCTTCATCCACATCCTCATAATAGGCAATCTCCGGTCGCGGCCGAATCAACAACCACTCGTCGACCAGACGCACGAGGAGGGAGACTCTCTGTGCGTTGACGCCGAGCGCCGCATACCGCGCGTCCGAGTACAAGTTGGCCACGTTGCTCACAATCTTTTGGCTGCCGGCCGTGCTGATGCCCCAGTCCTGGGCCACCCACCCCCAGAAGTGCGGATGGTGCTTCAGCGGCGTGTAAAAGAGAAGCATCCGAAAGAGCACAACTAGGTTCGCGTAGGAGCGGGCCGCCCGGTTGCCCTTCTGGAACCGGTTTCTGGCGAGCATGCCCGACATGAGGTGCTCGTCCTCGGGCTTGAGCTTGGATTTGTAGAAGAAGTCTTCGGAGAAGCCGCTGATGCGCGGCAGGGGTATCGAGCCGCCCCGAGGGCCGCCCATCGTGGTCAATGAGTATACGATTTGTTTTGTGGAAGCCGGCGATGATTTGCAAATTTGAGGTGAAGGTGAGAAGATGGAAGGGAAGATGTAAATACGGAAGGGAATATGTAAATATGGAAGGAAAGATGGTGTTTGTAAACGCGAAGTGTACTCAAGAGCACGCGCTGTTTGTACCGGCGTTTGTACCGGCGCAAGGGACGCGTGACGGTCGCAACAAACGGAGCGCCCACGCCGGTGATTACGACAAGGGCATATTGTGTCATGTTTCTATTTTGTTCATATCATTTTTATCGATTGGCTACTTGTTTGGACCTCTCGCTGATAGTTGAACTGCTCAAGATACCGGTAGAGTAGAAGGAAGAGGTAAAATCTTTCAGATCGCTAATTAACTGGATGCAGAAAATAGAACACACCCGCTCTCTTACGCCGTCTTTCCCTGCGCCGCATGAATCCGCTTCGTAATCTCGTCATTCCCCGACAGCGCCGCCGTCATGCTCTCCGTCCAGCTCGTCGGAAGGTACTGGGCCAGCCACGTCCGGCGCGCGATGCCGCCAGTCCAGTACCAGTCCGGCGAGCGGCCAAGCCAGCCGCCGAGCCAGCCCTCGCCCTTGACCGCCTGCGCGACAATCTTGGCGGCATACACGTCCGTGTCCATGGGGACCGTCTCCTGGCTGAACCGGTGGCGCTTGACGTACAAGTCGTCGACGGGCGCGTACAGGGAGCCCTCTGGCAGGCGCTGCGAGATCTTGGCGGCGATCCGGGACCGCACGGTGCCCGTGACGGCGACCATGACGCGCACGCCAAACGGGCGCAGCTCGAGGCGCAGGCTCCGCGAGTACGAGTTGAGCGCGCCCTTGGTCGCGCTGTACACGCTGGCGTAGAGGTCGGCGGCGACGGCCGAGATGGACGAGATTTGCACGACGAGGCCGCGCGCGGGCATCAGCAGCGGGATAAAGGCCTGGCACATGGCCATGACGCCAAACACGTTGGTCTCAAACGTGGCGCGCACGCCGTCCATGTCGATGTCGGTCGCGGGGAGCATGTAGAGGAGGCCGCTGCGAGAAAACGTGGTTCAGTGAGGGAGAGAAACGGGGAGAGGGAGGTCTGTCGCACGCGTTGTTGACGAGAATGTCAAGGGTGCCGCCAGTGATCTCGGTGACCTGCGCCTTGCACTTTTCGATGCTCGCGCTTGAGGTGACGTCGAGCGAGACGGCGCTCATGCCCATCTTGGTGAGCTCCTCGAGGACCTCGGCGCGGCGGGCGGTGGCGATGACGTGGTAGTCTACCGGGTCAGTGTCGTCTCTGGTAGATCAAGCCGAACGGGATAGGAAAATAAAAAGAGAAAGAGGACATACCAGCCTCATGGAATTTGAGGGCCAGTGCATGGCCGATGCCGCCTGGCGTGCAGCTACAGTGTGTTAGTCGACATCGCATAAGTTAGGCGCTCAGTGTCCTTGTACCCAGTGATGAGGACAGTCTTTTTGCCGGAAGCCATTGTGTACAGTCTGCGGGAGAAATCAGTGCCAAAAAATCCGCACACAGGGCAAAAGAAGAATTATTCGATAAATTGCTGGCACATGGGAAATGCGAGTGGCAACCCTGCCAGTATTTATTTGCCCTTGTCTCTCACAAGGTAGTCAGCTTACACCGTGGAATACGTAGCCCAACTAGGAAGTTGTTCTGTCGTGCTTATGCAGCCCGCTCTTCGCCTCAACTCGCTAGGTCAATATATCGCAGCGATCAGACTGGACGTTAGCGAGGTACCAGAATTCTCGTGTACAAAATATCGGACAAACGATTGAAGTGTTAGGTGGCGAGCTGGTGGCATCTCTTCCTGCCTAGTTCCTTGGTACTTATTGACTAGTTGACTGGTTGAAGATGATTCGTTCAAAATTCGTGGTGAAGCAGAAAAGAAAACAGCAGACGCAGTTTCCTCTTCTTTTTCAAATATGTGCTATATTGACAACTGGTCGGCAGTCTATTGCCAGTGGATTCCCTGCCACCCAGCAAGGCTCTTGCGCCAGCTGCCCACCAGATCAAAGACGGTACTGTCCGTCACAATGCCCTGCAACAACTTCCCCTCCTCGCCGCCATACACAAACGTTTTAATCCCCCTCTCAACCACGCCGCCCGACTTGGTGTCCTGCGTCAGCCGCAGGATCCAGGCCTTGGCCTGCTTGAGCGCCTCGTCCGCCGCCACGCCCAGCGCCTTGGTCTGCGCCACGACGTCCTTGGGCAGGTTGCTCTGGCCCGAGCGGTCGCGCTCCTTTTGCTTGTCGTTGAACTGGATGATCCACTGCGACGCGTTCCGGACGGCGACGGCCGTGTCGCGCAGCAGCACGACGCGATGTAGCGACTGCAGCAGCAGTGCTGTGCTGCCCATGTCAGACCCCGAGGCCAGGGCGGCCAGGTAGTCGCGCTGGCCTTCGAGCGAGGCTGTAATGGCGCTGGTGAGCTCGGCAACGAGCTCGTCTAGATTGGCTGCGCGGTCGGCGCATAGTGGGAGTAGAAAGGCGAGCAGGCTGACGACTTCAAAGTACTGCAGCTCCGACTCGGTACAAGCCGAGGCCGCGTCTGGGAGGAACTTGGAAAAGGAGTTGGCGATTTGGCTGAGAGACTCAATGACATAGGTCTGGTCTGCGACGGATCCTGCTATCGGCACCTTGTAAAAGCTGGGCGGCGTGTAGGCCAGAGTCTGCTGGAATGCCTCTGCGAGCAAGGACAAATGGGCCCTGTGGTTCTGCAAGGTGTCAGTATAGTCAAGATACCTTTAGAGAGGTGCTTACGCTGGGAGCTGGCCCAAGTCCAAGCCGCTGGTAGATGGCCGGTGTCGCACTGTGGTTCCACGAAGGGAATGATCCGTAGTCGATGATTTCGTGCATGCTTGTGCCATCACAGATTTCAGCTAAACACACGAGTCAGATTAAACCCCCAACGTTCCAGGTCTTGCTTACTGAATCTTGGATCACTCAGGAAGTCCGTGTCCGAAAGCCCAAGCAGTCGCTCCGAGCGCACGCTCTCCACCAGGCTCATCGCCCTGGTGCAGCTCACGCGCAGATTCTCCATGTACTCTGGCACCCTCAGCACGCTGCTGTAGCTACCGTCCTGGAAGGCGTCGATTAAGCGCCGGGGCATGCGCATCTTGAGTGATGTCTGGTAGTGCGTCTTGATCGACGACATCAGCTGCCAGCCGGCATTGGTCAGCGGCGAGATCATGCCGGGCGCCACCGTGGACAGGCGGTCGTAGAAGAGCGGCGCGAGCGAGTCCATGATGGTGCGCTTGACGGCCAGCGTCTCCCAGACGGCGAGCGCCTCGGAGGTTGATCCAAGACGCAGGTGGAGCTGGACGAGGAGGAGGGATATTTGGCTGTGCTTGGGAGACGAGTTGAGCTGCTGCTGGAGAAGAAGCAGTGCCTGCACCAGGTATTGCGCAGACTCGGTCGTCGGAAATGAAGACGAGACCTGATCTGCAAGACTGATGAGGCAAAATGCGGCAACAAGGGCGACCTCGGACTGCACATCCTTGGTTGACTGGGACGAGTACGAAGCTATCGTACCAATGTGCTTGTACAGGGCCATACTGGCTGCGTAGACGCTCTTGAATTGTGCTTGACGAGATGTGCTTTTTTCATCAGTGGCGGAGACCGTGTTGTACGTCTGTGGGCATGTCGCAGCAAAATACTTCAACTTGAGCGCCAATACCTGCTCCCTCAGCTCCGGTAGATTGTCGCTTCGCTCTTGCGACAAAAAGTGGTGATGCGCGAGGTAGTCGATGCCACCAGCGTCGAGCTCCTCCACGAAGAGTCGGACATCATCAAAGCACGAGGGGTTGGGCGCCTGGTTATTGATATACTTGACCAATTCCCGTAGCCGCAGCGAGGACGGGCTGGAATCTACCGCATCAGGCCCGTCTGACTCCAATAGCTGGAAGCTCGCAGAAACACGCCCAAGCATGACGTTGCGCTTATAAATGGGTTTCGATTCTGCTGCCTTGGACAACTTGAGAAGCAAGTCCTGAACGGCCGCAGTTGTTCTGAGAAAAAATGTCAGAAAAGGTCATGCAGTGGAAAGGGACACATACTGCGCGTTGACATGCTGTATTCGGCTGGCGGCTGTGATGAAGAGCCGCCAAATCTCCCAGTCGGAGGCTTGTAACGTTAATTCTCCATTGTCATCAGACACAGATAGACAGTCTCGGCAAACTTCATACAGGCTCTGCCAGTTTTCGTCTCTCTGAAGCTTTTTTATGCTGTACATGAGGGCCTCCTTGCGACCCTGCTTGAGCTGCTCGACGGGGTTCAGAGCAGCACTATCGAGAAGCTTGCCAAAGTCGGCCGCGGTGCCATGGGTGCCGACAATCTCGTACAACAGGAGAATTTCTTCCTCTGTTTGTATACTGCGAGGCGGTAGCGCCTTTTTGTTTTCCGCCTGCGGCGCCGTTAGTGACGGTCCAATGAACGGGGACGGTGGACTTGCCTGCTCTGTTGCCTGTGCGGCTCGCTCGATCTGTTTCTGCGCCAACATGCCATAGAGCTTCTTTTTTTCGGGCGGCGCCTGAGTAGATATCTAACTCAAGGCAGTCAGTACACTGCAATTTTTCCTTGGCAAAGGGACATACAGCTAGGAGGTGGGTGATGACAATATTCCAGAAGAGAAATGCCCTCTCCTGGGGAAATGATTTGTCAATGAGCGCAGCAATCTGGCTCGTTAGTGTTATCAATGCCGAATGTATAGCTTTTCACGCTTACTTGTTGCGCGCTGACAAGGTCCCAATGCAAGAGACAGGACTCTAGACATCGCGTCGTTTGGTTTTGGTCCTTGGGCGAGGCCTTGGCGGCACGAACTCGCAGAGGCCCCAGCGTCTGGGCAAAGTCATGCTCCTCGAGCAAATGCCGTGTAGCCCATTCCAAAAGATCAATTCCGTCTGCGTCCTTGACCACAGTGCCATCCTTGACGTATGTGTGGACAGCCGTAATGGCGGCATACTTGGCCGCCGGGTCGTCGAGCTGGCTCTCGGCGCAGATCTTGAGCACCTGCGGCAGGTATCAGCTACATTTCCAATATCAAATCTCGAGCAGGTAATATTCCAGCGCGCGGGATTCGATCCGACGCATCGCGACACCTCTCACCTCGTAGTACGGATCGTTCATCATCTTGGCACGCTTCTCAGCGAGCCGCACGACAGTGCTCCAGTTTTGGTCGTAAAAGGCCGACTGGAGCTGGAGATCGACCCCATTTTTGAGACGCGGCCCGGAGCTCTGCATGAGTACTTGTCGTTTGCGGTTGAGTTGTTTGTTTGCGCTGATTTGTGAAGTCGTCAGGTCAGGTTTCACGGGCGTTGATGGTTGATGTGGATTTTCTGGTGGAGTTGGTCGCGCGCCGCGCATCAATTGGCGCCGCTGCCGCAAATAAACTGTACATCACCGCCCAAAACTGCCATTTATCTGGTAGTTTTGGAGTGCATTATGAAACTGGGACCAGACTGTGAGAAACACACTCTTATTTATGCTTCCATCTACGCTCTTACCTCTGTCACGCTCGATGACATTGCTCACTTATCAGCAAGAACTACTGTTGTATTGGAAGAGTGCTGACTTGCAGAGCAGTGGATTAATCGCAAATTAAGGATATGAAAGGGGGGATACGATGAAACTTCAACATGTTCCAAAAGGCAATGTCATTTCCCTTGTCCACATCATAATCCAGTCCGGGTCTTCCCCCGTCTGCATGCGGTCAGCGCTGCTGGTACATTATGAGGCTTGCAACTTACCGCCGGGCGGATAATATACTCCCTCGTGAGCGCCATGTCAAGTGTAAATTTCTTCGCTTCCTCATCTGTGGGATCCTGATCCAGCGGAAACGTACGTGCCCGGTCGAAATCCATCCAGAGTAGCCTTTCGCCATGTTCGTGAGGCGCCATGAACATGTTTCGTGGGTACGGGTCGCCATGCACAACACGTACAGCGTGAATTTCAGCGAGCAGGTCGGCTAGCTTGGCCACGCGATTTTCGCTATAGGTCTCTAGAGATATACGTTGCACGCGAGGAATGTATTCAATCAGGATCGCTTTAGGCGGTAAAGGGTCTTTACAAAACGACCTCAGCTCTGGCCGCTGTCCCGGGTCGATGGTGGTGATGGGGCCATAAAAGTCAGGTACGATACCCCTTGTGCATAGGCCCGTCTCCTTAAATCGGCGGTAGGCAGTTGATTCCCACCTAAAGAGCGTCGACTCCACGGGTTCCCAGTATGCGTTACAGTGCCCGTGATACTGCGTGCGAATGGCTGGGCTTAGTAGCTGAGCATAACCAGCGTCAAACATAGTCAACGTACCACTTTCAGGACACAGACTTTCCCTAATGCTTCGACTTTGAAGATTTCCGAGTACTTGCCATCATAGATTCTTTGTATGAACTTGACCTCGGAAAGGTCTATGTCTTCGATGATTCCATGCTCCATGCTGGTGTGATTGCATGAAAGTTAATTAAGACGGTGAGTGACTGAATGCTTGAATACGTCAGTTCGGGTTAGAGATGACCGGAACTACTGGGATGACTAAGAAAGGTTTGACCATGGCATTCCGGTGTCTCTGCGCGCACGACCGGTTCCAGACAGGCTACCAAGCAGGCTGACCACAAAAGTTCGACGCCGAATTCGCGAAGGGGCGGTGATTGAATCAATGGCATCCAAGACATTGAATTCTTAGTGGATCTGGCCGACTGGAAGCATTGTCAAGACACTCACCGCAAATATTTAAGCGCCAGGATCGCTGTTACCCTATAGTAAAATTCTTTCAGGCGATGTAAAATTGCCGATCTAATCATAACAGTTACGAGTATAGAATATGTGGTGTTATATTCTCACACTGTGTTGACAATATCATATTTCACCTACATGTCCTTGTATCATGCCCTAAGTAGAGTACTAGGGTCTCACTGTTGCCGCGATCGTAACTTTCTCGTCCTGTGTTAATAAGTTTCAAAAGGCGTCGAAGGTCACCCGTCATCGTTCGCTGTCCCACGTGTGTATCAGTATTACATGCATATGGATAGTCTACCTCTTGATGGTTTTTCGTGAAGGCGACAATGCCGTCATTATCGAGATACAGACGCATTCTGCTTTGGTAAGCGAAGGAATGTGCTTGACCTTTTCTCGGCCGTGAAGCGAATATGGAAAACAACTTCTCCACACCCAAAGGTCATCAGCCACGCTGCACTTTTGCGCATCTCAACAATCCGTCTGCACATCAATCCTTATGTGCATGAGCACTGGTGCGGATACATTCCGAGCTGTTACGTGTTCTGAAGACGCTGTTGGACTGGACGATATTGTGGTCGATTCGTAAAAGTACATACTTTGACGATGTTGTCGCAGCAGTCGCTACGTGACAACAAACATCAAAGGCGGATATGATACATGCCGAAAGCCGTATATGCAACCTCGGAGCCAGTCTGTCGGACAGCCCCTCCCATCTGCCTTTGATCGCTCGTCTGGGTTGGGCTACTCGATCGGTCGGCCCTACTGCCTCGTCACCAGAAGCTGCCGGAGTCCTTCTTTCGCTTTTCCGTCTGTCAAGAAGTAGTCGTCAGCGTCCATCAATCTCCATGTTCCAGGCACTCGTCAAGAAACCTACCCAAGCTTGCTTGCACTCGCGATACGCCCTAGTCGCACATCACCATTAGCACCAGCCCCCTCCTGGTCACGATGTCAAAACTCTGAACAAGGAAACGCACTGGAAATAGTCGGCACACATGGCTTTGTCGCCATTGTTTCTATATAGGCACTTGTAGCTTCGCTGCGCCGCCTCCTGGCACGGATCGTAAAACTCGCTCTTGGATTTCCTGGCAGTGTCGACGGTTAGCCCGTTTCTGCGCGGCGGTTGTCGCAAAGCTGGCAGTCATGTCGCATACGTTTCGAATTTCTTCTTGGCATCGCTGGTCCAAGGACTCGGTTGCGAGCCTTCTTCTGGGTTTGACGACATGGCGGTGGTGGTAGACTGAATGATGAATGGGAAAAGTCCCGATGGGGCGAACAGGCATGGAAGCTACAGTGGGTATGCGCAGAACATTAGGCAGGTTCTGGCGCTATCGCTATCCGCTACGAACGACTTATATCCTTCCCATATACGATGATAAAAAAATTGAGATACAACATAATAAAAATATAGACTGCATTTCGTATAAACACTACTCATTAATCCCAAGAACGCCATGGGAGTGAGTGTTTTCGTGACCTGCAACCACACCTCTGGAACTGTGTTTAGCTTTCCGGTGATCTCAAATATAGCTAAATCACACCGCAATTGCGAGCGCATATTTGTTCGTGGCCTTTTCATTATGGATTGTAATTTTGCTACCAAAACCCGTCATTTTCCCAATTCGTCGCCGCTCTCGCCTTTTCCGCCGCCAGCAAGCCATCTCGGGCTTTGGCGATACAGGCCGCCACCTCGACACTGCAGCAGAGCTCGGCATGCAGCGGCTTGAGCTTGGGGTCTCCCATGACCGCCAGTGCGGTGAGACCAAGATACGAATGGTAAATGTCCGGCGGTGCGCCAGTCGTCTTGCCGAACCCTCCGATGCGGTGCTGCGTGATGCCCGTCAGGTAGTTTCTGGCCGGCTCTCGACGCAGCAAAGACTCTTGGCCAAGAAGCTGCGATGGGTGTCAGAACCAACCAAGAATTTTCGTTTGACTACAGGGCACTTACCGATAGTGCACCGGCCGCCCACCAAAAGTAGCAAGTGTCTGCTTTCTTGTTCCAGCGGCCGTTGCAGCCTATCAGGGCGGGAGGGCCGTCGAGCTGTAGCTGCGCGAGCTCCTTTTCGACAAAGTTCTCTTCGTCCTCGTCGCGCTCCATCTCCTCCTCGGCGTGGTATGTAAACTGGCGATGTGCCAGAAATTTGAGTAGCTGCGCACGGTCAGGAATGTGCTCGTCTGCTGCTTTTGCTCTGTCGCCTGCCGAGCCGGGCTTTGAGAGCAGACTGAGCGCAGAGAGCGCGCAGAATGTGTATCCGCCTATGAAGCGTTAGTATTTGAGCGGAAAGGTACTTGAACAATCTTGTTACCATGCGACTCTTGATGCGACGTCGTCTCACCCATGCCACCATCATGCGTTTGCGTCCCGGCGATGAATTCGGTCCACCTCTTGATATCTAAATCTTCCACCCAGCCCCCATCTCCCATTTGCACATTCCCTCTCATCATCCACCGAATACCGGCCGCCATGTAGCTATTCCGCACGTCGTGACCGCCCACCGGCTCGCCCTCCCAGAGCATCTGCGCCACGGCACCGTCCTCGTTCCTCTGCAAGCGCTTCAGCCAGCGCAACAGTCGTTTCCTCCGGACGCCCGCAAAGGCATTCTGCTCATCCTTTTCTGATCCCGTACCGACGGCCGCCAGCGCGAGCAGCACGAGGGCAAAAAAGGTGGCAGCCAGGTTGGCGTCGCCGGCGGACGCACCGGTTGGGGCGTGCGTTGCGCTGCCGCAGAAGCCGCCGTCTGGATGCTGCAAGCTGAGAACCCATGTCCGGATGGCAGCGCGCTCTGGGGGCGTAAGCGGCGACTGTAGGAGGTCTAAAGACGAGATGATGAAGCAGGCGAGCGTGAGCCGTGTCGAGTCATTGGAGGTGTATGGAGCGGGCAGAAAGGTGCCGTGGCAGCGCTTCCAGTATTTTATGTGGCGATCTACATCGAGGGAAGGGCTCTCAGTAGCCGCCATAATGCAGCACGATTGAGCTTTGGCAATGTTGGGTGTGTGTGATGTGGAAGAGTTGTGTTTGTCGTTTGTCGTGGCCCAGCTCAGCAGCCCCACCTACAGAGGCTCACGGGTAAATGGGCATGCAATCAGTTCTTGATCGGTTCTTGAAATAGAATTGGGAATGAAAGATATACGGGCGTAGAGGGAGTATGTTTTTAAAACAAAGCTTCCAAGTTTCCGTATCAGCGACCGAGGAACAGCATATACTGCTGATCAATTATTTACACATAGCGAATAAACAGCATCCCCGCCGCCAGCCCACATCTTGACCGTCGTCTTACACCAGCGGCTGCACAGGATGAATGTGAGAAACAAGCTGATATCCTCTGTTGCTCGATTAGGGACCTGTATCGCGTCAAATCACCACCTTCTTGCAACTCTGTCAAGGAGGTCAAGTTTTGTCCCGGTTTGTACAGTGCGAAGAAACGGTATCTACCTTTGTGATACCAACTGATGAGACGCTCGAAATTCCGCTCTAAGGTTGGACCAACCGCTAACTTGTTGCGTTACTATAAAGTTAGCCGTTGAGCGGAACGCTTCTCGCCTGTTTGTCTGTGCTACATCGGTGGCGGCGCCCCGAATCAGGTGATGCCTGGCAAGTGTTACGCTGCACCAAAACCGATACATGCAGATGATATGATACTATGAAACCTGACAAGTTATATTTCAGAGCCACCTTTTTTCCTACACCGAAATTTGGAACAAAGTTCTTTGAGGCGTGACCGCGACGGCGACAACACAGGTCCGACGCATTTTGACGCTCGCCGTCGCCCCGAATGTTTGCCCACGCCATCGTGCCGAGTCCCAGATTTGATCATCTCATGGAGCACCTCAATTGGTCGCAAACCAATAGCCGAGACAAACCGCATGTACCCTGTTTGGGGAGCACAACAATTCCCTCGCTGCATGTCTCTGTTCTCTGTCTCTGATGCTAGCACTCCCCAGACTCTGGCGACTACAGGGGTTGGACGGTTGGACGGACCGTATCTGTGCTGACCCGGGAGCCCGGTCCCTGACCCGCCGGTGCTGCAGAGAACTCGCGCCGCACACGACTGTTATTACACCATCTGGTCCCTCGGGTTGCTTGTAGATACTAACAAAGCGGGTGACTATGGTTACCCGCTTCCGTGTTCGACGTCTCCCGTGGCTGCCTGCTGCTTTGGCTTGCGGGTGCAGAATCGAAGCTAGTCCTCCGCAACTGAGACTACTACCGACGTTAGCTCCGAAACAGAGATTAACTACGTAGTTGTGCTCTTGTTGGAACGGAAACGGAGTGTTGCATTCAATAGCCAAAACCTGGAAAAACAAAAAAAAGGGCCTAGACAAACACACGTCATTCCGCTCCAGTATATCTTGTCTTCACCCCCTGCTAGCAACAAAAGGTTATTCACCTTTCATCACGCAACCATCATCCAAGCGATCCAACTGCTCAGGTTCGTCAAACGCAATTCGTCTTAAACACAATTCATCACAACACAACTCCCGCGCGCCTCTCACCATGTTTGGCCTGCACTATCTCACCCAGGCGCTGCCCCAGTCGGCCTTTATCCCCAGCCCGCCCTTGACCGAGGCCAACCTGCCGGACCAGACCGGCCGGGTGCACATTGTCACCGGCGCCAACTCGGGCGTCGGCGAGCAGCTCATGCAGATCCTCTACTCCAAGAACGCCACCGTCTACGTCGCCGCGCGCTCCCAGGCCAAGGCCGACGCCGCCATCGCCGCCGCCCAGTCGGCCCACCCCGGCTCCCGCGGCCGCCTGGCCTTTCTCGCCGTCGACCTCGCCGACCTGCGCACCGTCAAGCCCGCCGCCGACGCCTTCCTCGCGCGCGAGACGCGCCTCGACGTGCTCGTCAACAATGCCGGCGTCATGTTCCCGCCCGCCGACGTCGCCAGCGCCCAGGGCCACGAGATGCAAATGGCCACAAACTGCCTCGGCCCGTTTCTCTTCACCAAGCTGCTGACGCCGCTGCTCGTGGCCACGGCCAAGAAGGCGCCCAAGGACTCGGTCCGCGTCATCTGGGCCTCGTCGCTGGCCAACAACCTCTTCTCCCCGTCCGGCGGCATCGCCTTTGACGCGGCGACGGGCGCACCCAAGAAGCACGGCATCACCCAAGTCAACTACGGCCAGTCCAAGACGGGTAACCAGTTCTACGCCGCCGAATTCCACCGCCGGTATGCCGCTGATGGCGTCGTCAGCGTCACCTTCAACCCGGGCAACCTACAAAGCGGCCTGCAACGCCACCTGCCCGGCTTCGTCCACGCCTCCCTGACGTACTTTGGCTACCCAGCGCGCAACGGCGCCTACACGGAGCTGTTTTGCGGCTGGAGCCCGGACATCACCCTCGAGAAGGGTGGATCATTTGTGATTCCCTGGGGCCGCCTCGGCAACGATTACGTCCGTCCCGACCTGGCCAGAATTGTCGAGGACAACAAGACAAACCCCGACGCGTTGCCAAGACAACTTTGGCAATGGAGTGACAAAGAAACGGCCAAATATGTCTAACGTATCTGAACTCATGTGCTCGTGTGTAATGAATTGAAGCGACTATATATAGTAGTAGCAACTGGAGAGCTGTTGCGAGCTGGGCTCCAACACAGACATCAGACTGATCATGTATGAATATAGCAATTGCAAAATGGTATCACCCCACGAGCTTCTCTCTTGACCTGACGAAACGTGTTTCGAGTCGCTTAGCCACCGTCCTCGATTGCAGCCATCTGCGTGACGAATTCATGCTGTAGCTGCTTAAGATAGCCCGGGAGGGCATCTTCGGCGCCGTCAACTCTTGCTTGCTTCAAAGCTTCGTGCAGACCAAGGATGAGCTGACGCCGTCTCTGCAATTTTTGTGCCTCCGGGTTTTGCCGGTTTGCTTCCTTGCGAAGCCTGCTCGCTCGAACAAACTCTTCCGCCTTTCTAATCATGATCTCCGGAAGGCCCATTGCCTTGGCGAGGTTGATGCCGTAGTTTTGCTCATCACTTTCGGGACCGCGCTCGGTCTTGTACAACATGGTGATGTGCGGCACCCCGGCTTCACTGATGGAGCAGTCAGTTGCCAAGTGCAGGTTCAGCACGCCGGGTCGGTTGGCTAATGCCCGTGCGAGATCTAGAAAATGAGTCGCAAACCACACGAACGCCTTGGACTGTATAAGTGCCTCTGCCATGGCCATGGCGATGGCAAGCCCGTCACGCGTGCTGGTGCCTCTCCCGAGCTCATCAATGATGACCATGCTTTGTTGATCTACATTACGCAGAATGAATGCCATATCGCGCATTTCGACCGAAAAACTGGATAGTCCTGCTTCAATGTTATCGTTCAAGGAAATGCGAGTGAAGATGTTATGGACAACGGAGAAGGAGGCATATTCGGCTGGCACAAAGCAGCCAATCTGCGCCATAATCTGGAGTAACGCGATGGCTCGTATGTACGTGCTTTTGCCGCCCATGTTGAAACCGGTCACGATATGAAAGCAATGCTGCTCTGTGGCAAAATAGTCGTTAGGTACAAACCGCTCCGAAAGTATCTACATTCATTAGCTGGGACAGATCTACAGAGAATACGCTCAGACCTTGTCAAGTATCGGGTGCCTAGCCGACTTCAGCGCCAACCTATTTGTAATCTCTGGTCGTATATAGTCGCGTGTCGTACTTAGTTGGGTGAATGAGGCGAGCATATCCATGAGGCCGACCGATTCACACATTTTGAAGAGATGAGATGCGTCTGCTTGTAGAGCGGTGATCAGCTGCTCAATGATGGCGTCACTACGAAAGACTACCTCGTTTGAAGTGTCAGATAGTCGCATATTCAGCTTGACAAGGTCAAGAGTCTGGCATTCAATACTACCACGCTTCTTGGCGACATTGATCAAGAGACCAGGGGGATCAACACTGTTGTAGTCACCTATGCTGAGCTTCAGGAAGTATTTTCGGCCATTGTCGAATTTCAGAGTCGCAATTATGCCGAATTTTTCTAGGACAAAGGTTCAGTCAAAATTGCCAGTAATGACTTGAATATCGTACCGTTTAGTTGCTCGACGTAACTGTGGATTTCCTCGGTCAATTCTTTGTATGCTTGCCGGGAGACATCCAGCACGCCACTTATACCAGAACGCACGGCAAAAGTTCGCTGATTTCGCAAATCAAGGGCGGATTTTGTATATGCTACGTCGGATTCCAATACTGTAGTGATTTTTTGTAGCATTTCCGCGATCTTCTCGAGGCTACAGAGCTCCCGGATCTTGACTAGAAGGGGAGCGATCGCCGGGCCCATGGCCACGTGGAGTTCCTTGGCCGCTTCCAGGAACGACTTGATCATGAGCACCTGGTTGATCTGATTTTCTGCTTGGGAGATTGCTGAAATTACCGGTATGGTGATTAACTGGACCAAATTAGCGACACGTGACATACTACAGGGAAACATTACCTTGGTAAGGAGTTTTTCCACATCGAGAAAGTTCCTCAGAGCTACGATTAGTTAGTTAACTTGTCATTTGAGGGGTAACTGTAGAAGATGGATTCTGTACTTTTTCGAATTCCTAGAAACATTTCGTCGTTGATTGTCAACTCCTCGACAGCCTCGTAGCGTGGGGCCATGAACGATTCGTACAGCGTGGGCGGCTGGAGGATGTTGCTACGGAGCATTCGGGTTCCCATTGGCGTAATGCAATGATTGAGTAACCCGAATAGACTATCTTTCGATTTGGGCAAATGACTGTTTTGAACAATTTCCAAGCATTGGATTGCAGAGATGTCAATCATCATGGTGTCATCTGAAGGTTGATAACGCAGTCGTAATGAATGCGGCGCAAACGTGATGGAGAACTGGTGCTCTATCTGTGCCATCGCCTGACCATGTTAGCGAACCAAATTGCAGACAAGGAGCCTCGTCCGTACTGCAGCCAGAGCGCACACAGCATAATATTTGCCTTGAATAGCGACTTGGATGGGCTGAATGTCAGTTTCGAAAGCCAGCTTATTTATGTACTCCAACCCTTGGTTCTCGGACCAAAATGACCGGTCAGTCTCGTCAATCGGGGTATTCCCAAACATGGTTTGAAGGAGCGGCGTCAGACTGGTTGATTTTGATCCTTGACTCAAACAAACGATCCGGGAGGGCCAATTTATACGAATTTTGTGAAGAGTCTTGACATAGGACTGATTGTCGCAAATTTGACTGAGAACGGCTTCGCCGATAGAAGTATTGACAAAGGCCATGCCAACGGAGGGCGAAACGCCACGCGCCTCACAGACTGCACAGACAATAGTATGGGCCTCTCCTATTCCTAGAACGGATGAAGCATTAGTGGCCCGCGACTTTCGACCCGAGGCCGTTGTGGGCCGGCTCAGTGAAGCTGATATGTCTGACGGGGCGAGATTAGGCGTCGATGCAGACGCTGGATGGGATATGGGCTGGAACGGTTGATTTCTCTTTGGAGTAGCGGCACTTGTAGTAGTAGCACTCTTCTTTGGACGGCGTGAATGTGATGAAGCTGGTGTGTCGCTTCGAGATGCGCTCGTGTTGGTGAAGTATCGAGAAGAACTCAGACTCGGCATCAATGACCGCGGCTTGATCCGTGAACGCTCCATTTAGGCTCTGGCAGATTTTTTCATTGGTGACCAGAAAAGGTATGATAGCAAGTGTAGTTGAGACTTGCTGGTCGCAAACGGGACGCGACGGCACTTGAAGGCAGCCGCCCCACAGCTACTGCTTCGTGGCACCTTTGGCACCAGGCACCGTCAAGATCCGCACCTTGCAGCAATCATTCACCCAACGGGGGAAGACCAGTCGCGATGTTTGGTATCTTGGAGGCCGTAGCGATTCCTCGCACAGGCGTCTTTGACACGTACGACAATCTGGTTGATAATCTGAATGAGCGGATGGTAAAGGATGGTTACAAAATCGTGAAATCGCGCTCTCACAGGGCACGCGTGGTTGGTCCGGATGGTCCCAGCATGGAGATGATTCGCGCCGACTTGGTCTGTGATCGTGGTGGCCGACCATACAAGTCGGTGGCAACAGAACGCAAAACATCGACTAAGAAGACGGGCTGTCCGTGGAAGGCAAAGGCGGTTAAGCGGAAAACGGTCGGAGGGTGGGTGCTCACTATGGTTTGCGACGAGCATAACCACGAGCCAGGCACGCCGGAGCCTCCATCACCAGAGCCCAGCGATGATGAAGCAGAACAAACGGACGACTCAGGTATGGATATGAAAACCGGTTTCTATTGTTTTACTAACCACTGCAGCCGCAAATTTGCCAGCACTTGGGCCGGAAACCGCGGCTGCCGTCCAAGTCGCTGGCTTGTCGGACACGGCAGTACGGCTGACGGGAGAAACATTCAATCAGTACAAGCGAGATTACAGGAAGCTTTCACCACCAGAGAGAATGCAGATCCTTGCAAATATGCAGATGCGGATTGCTGCCATTTTCGCGATTCAGAATGAAGATGCGCAGCGGCAGCGGCGTCTGGAGCGCCAAGAGAAGCGTCACCAAGAGATCGAAGCAAGCAAAAGGGCGCGACAAGGAGAAAATCCAACACCAATATCAACAAATAAAAGACAAAGACTGAGCAACATCGGAAACCCAAACCTTGGCCAAGGCGCTCCCCAACATCAGATGCAAGAACAGGCGCAGCAATCTAGGCAGCAATTGACCGACACAGCACAACCGCAGGACAAATCCGTGCAAACCTCGGTTACCATCTCCAACAGAAATGTTCCATTTCAGCAATACGCGTTCAACGGCCGGCGTGGTCGAGCGCCAAATCCATAAAAGCTGCGCCAATGCAAACAGTGGGCCGCATCTCCCATTCGGTTCTCCAGCTTTCACCGCCTAATATATTTTTGCCAGTTGCCCCACCACCAAATATCGACGACTTTTCCAATCGCTTTGACTCTGGCACCACGGCGATATCAAAAGGAAAATGTCGACAGTCTTGCCTCCACCCTCCAAGAGACAGCGCCGCGAGGGTCTCGAGCGCTCTCGTGTTCAGCAAGATGTTTCCGCGGCCTCTGGGCCTGATGGCTCCTTCAAGGCTCGATTTGTCGACCCGGATGGCAATCAGCAGGCGTTGGTAGAGGTTCCGCTGGCCGATGCTTCAGAGAAAAACTTGTCGCTACTGTTGAATACACTTTTAGCCAGAGTATGTAGTCTAAGTTACGTTACGCTATTCCCCTTTCCTGTGCTGATTGGTGAGTAGGAAAAGGAAGATTTCGTCCCATATCGGTTCCGAATCCACATTCCCGACAGCGACATCATTGTTGACCAATATCCTACCGATCTGCTACAATTTTTGCGCAGTCATGGCATTGAGAACCCTTTTGAAACCACGGTTACATTGAGTGCCGAGCCGCAGGCAGTCTTCAAAGTCAAAGCCGTTACACGCATGTCACATCGCATCCCGGCGCATGGCGAAGCCATTCTTGCAGCACAATTTCCTCCTCAGACCAGCAGCTTGCTAGCCACGGGATCTGGTGATAACACCGCCAGAATCATGGATACCGATACCGGAACGCCTAAATATACTCTGTCTGGCCACAAGGGATGGGTGTTATGTGTCGCGTGGTCGCCGGACGGACGCCGGCTCGCAACTGGCAGTATGGACAAGACAGTACGGCTGTGGGATCCCGTGACCGGCAAAGCTGTTTCTGGCGGACCGTTGAGTGGCCACGCCAAATGGGTGACAAACATCGCTTGGGAACCATATCACCTGTGGAGAGACGGCACACCCCGATTGGCAAGTGCCAGCAAAGACTCGACGGTACGCGTGTGGATTGTGGACGGTGGCACCACGGAGCATGTGTTATCCGGACACAAAAGCAGCGTCAGCTGCGTGAAATGGGGAGGCACAGGAAGCATCTATACAGCCAGCCACGATAAGACGGTCAAAATTTGGAACGCAGAGCTTGGGACGCTACTACACACGCTCTCGTCTCACGCACACTGGGTTAATCATTTGGCCTTGTCCACCGAGTTTGCGTTGCGAACGGCCTACTTTGATCACACGCCAACCCCCGCAACGGAGGAAGAGAAGCGGGCCAAAGCCAAGGAACGCTTCGAGAAGGCTGCCAGGATACAAGGCAAGGTTGCTGAACGGCTAGTCTCGGCAAGTGATGACTTTACCATGTATCTGTGGGACCCTTCGCAGGGGACAAAACCTGTAGCGCGAATGCTCGGCCACCAAAAGCAGGTCAACCATGTAACGTTTTCCCCGGACGGGAGCTTGATTGCCAGCTCGGGCTGGGACAACCACACAAAACTATGGAACGCCAGGTAGGTTTGATATCACATCTCAGGAAAGATAACAAGATTGAATGTGCTGACATTGGATGGCAGGGACGGAAAATTCATCAATACGCTCCGGGGCCACGTGGCACCAGTATACCAATGCGCCTTTTCTGCTGACTCGCGGCTGCTTGTGACGGCTTCCAAGGATACGACGCTGAAGGTGTGGTCGATGGCGACGCACAAGTTGGCGGCGGACTTGCCTGGTCATCAAGACGAGGTATACGCGGTTGATTGGAGTCCGGATGGCAAAAAGGTTGGCAGTGGCGGAAAGGACAAGGCTGTACGGCTGTGGTGCAACTAAAATGGAAAAGCGAGATGGATAAGGAATGCATACTATTGCATATGATATGGCCTATTTAGGGGGCTGGCTGGTAGGAACTAGATGTTATGATAGCGACGGTGTTCATGCAAGGCTGGATGTTGACGTGGCAATGGAAATGAGGCATATACACTTGGGCGAGGGTTATAATAGATGACTCCGTTGTTGTTTTCTTGCTGGAATCTGAGTGCCGAATCTGCAGAGTGATGTGATTTTGAGGGTTGTCGGTCATTTTAGCCAGTTGCGATTGGCCGAGGTGGGCATGGATGTGAAGTGGTGGGAGAGGTTCGCGCCGTGGCGTTTTTTGCGTGACATGGCTCGGCCAGTGTTGAGGCTGGCCACGGTCAAGGAGAAGCATGTGAGTAAAAGAATGGTTGCCAAGCAGGCGACAAGATATAGAGACGGAAGCTGGGGAAGGATACGGGAGCGGGAGGGGATCGACCAGTACCTGAAGCTAGGGAAGGCCGGGGTAGCGAGAAGATGGACGAGTCGGGAGCGCAGTACCAAGAGCTACGTGAGACATTAGGCTCGTGCTATGCAATAGTGTGATGTACAAGTATTGCTTTTAAGCGTCAAGTCGGTTGGGCGTCGATACTATGCTAAGCATAAGGACAGCAGGAAGAATGCGATATGGGTTTGGCATGGGAGTAGAAAGTAGGACAGATGGGATAGATATCAAAGACAGCTTTGTCAATAACAGGAATCACATGGAAAACGAACTCGTGAGCTGGGTTGCAGGATGCTGTGCGAGGTTGCTCTAGGGTTGGGTGAGAAGGACGATGATGGGATGGGGGGGAGAGCCTGGAGGGGATTGTGAAGGAGCCCAAGCCACGCGCCGTGATGGCGGCGCCGCCTGTGTGTTGGGCGGCAGAGCCTAATAAAATGCAAGTGATAATACCAAGAGAGGCGAAAAAGAAGGGGACTTGGTGGGTTGCGCAGCAGGAACAAGAGAGGTGCGCTGTCTATCTGTAGGTGCTCCGTCGTCCACACGACTTACACGAAGGAGGTCACTAACACGTCAGGTGGTGTCAAAGAGTTGGGCTGAGACCAAAGTCAGCGCGTGTCGATTTCGTTAGCCAATTTCTCGTCTACCTGGCCAACTAGCGAGACTAGTTCGGTCTCATTCTGATCCCCGATAGAAAATGGCTCGTCTAAAGACGGGAAGAAGCAGATGGCACGGGGGGGGGGAGCGGGGCGGAGGGACGGCGACGCGGGCGCGGGCGCGGGCGCGGCCCAACGCTTCATCGTGGCTGCGGCCCGCGCA